GCCATTATGAGATTATCTTACAACAGTGTTATAAATTGTCTTGGCAGAAACTATGCTGTTTGTGTGTTTTTTGTGCTGCACCCATCCAATGGTTTAATATATGGCACAGCTACTTGGATGCGATTTGGTGATTGGGAAAGAACATAGCTGAACTATACTGATAAGGTGAGTACCGGTGCTTGAGAAAGATTCATGCTGCTTGGTCAAGAAATGGCGCAGTGCATGAGAGGTGCTGCCACTATGCTGCCTGAGTAGTGCATGAAATGCACCTTTCCTTTATTGCTTGTCATTAAAAGATGTGGCAGCTAATTTAACAAGGAAAGTAACAACCCTTCTTGTACTTGCTAAGCCATGGAGGAGGCTTTATTTCACACTCCTCATGCTAAGAAGATTTGTGGAAGATTGGTTAAAGCTTTAAAATCCCCAGAAGCGAATCTTCTTCTTTTCATTTGCATTCAACCAAAAACAACCTTTAGGCACACTCTGCTATCATGCAAGGATTGCAACATGGATTCAGTGGTTCACATGCAAGAGAGCTGTGAATAATTTTTGAAAGCAGGAAAATGTAACTTTTCTTCCTTCAGTACTCTAGGGAGATTAGATGTGTTTCTAAGGGAGGCTGTTCCGGTCTACCTTTTGACACAATGGTTATTACCATTCAAGAGGAAAATCTTATGCCTGGAATGTAATTTATCTGAGAAAATACATACATATATAATATTTCCAAGGCTATCAGTAGAAAAATAAATGTGTTTCGCACCATTTATCCTGTTCTGGTGTAAGCCAATGTAATATCCTCCATTCTCATTTTTGCAAAATTCAAGATTGGCCCTATAGTCTACCTTCATATCTACTATCTTTAGGTGCCAGGCAAAAACATTTCTCTTCAACCAGGTGGTTAGCTGATTAACATTCTATGGCTTTTTAAATGTATTTGTGGGGAGGAGGGGTTTGTTGGTTAGTTTTTGTTTTATTAAATATTTTGTATTCTCATTTTGTATTTTTCTGTTGCGAACCACCCTGTGACCTTTAGATGAAGATAAAATTTGTTACAAATTTAAAACGAATTGAATCAACAACAACAACATCTTTCTTAGAGCTGATTTGCATGGTTCGTAGGCCAGTCCACAATGAGCTGAATTTTTGGCTTGTATTAATTTCCTCATGTAAGGACAGGTGGTTATAACACATGGTGAAGGACACAGATTCAGTCAATTTGCACCATGGTAAATTAATGGCCCTTTGACCATTGGGATCATGTACCATATTGTTTGAAAATTGAAAGTGGAAAGGAGAAAACAAGATTGCACTTTGTGCACATTTTCATGTGATTCTGCCACACTGAGCACAGTGGGACTTATTTGTGAATAAACATGCACTGCATGACCCCTTTTCACAAAAAAAGACTGAAGTGCTTTTGAGCCTCCCACTCTCTGTTGTGGTACGTGTGAGTGTTGCTGTTGCAGTACAGAACACAGGAGGGCAATTAAGTGTACACTGTGCTAGTAATGTATAGGCTTTTGTTTGTATTTAAAGAAAAGCTATCCAAACCTCACATGTAAAAACACCCTGAAGTATTAAACTGATGCCTTGTAGTTATTCATTTTGTAGAAAAAATAGAGACAGACTGATCATTGCAATTTTGCTGACAGCAGCAGTAAATTATTGTTTTTATTATTTATAAAGCATCTAGGAATAGCCAGAGTGCTGTGCACAGATAAAAATAAAAGATAGACCCTGCAGGCTTGGAGTGTAAAAAGCAAGTCTAAGTAAAAGGAGAAGAGAAAATAGATGAAAGGAGGAAGTTTGCTTTAGAAAAGCCAAGATGAAGCACTGAATCTTGAGGAGTCTTTTGAAGGAAGGTAACACACAGGCCAATTAATTGCCAGAAGCAAGGTTGCCTTACTGGAACTACCCATTCACTTATAAATTAACTGTGTTAATGCTGGGTTGATTCTGCAGCCAAATGCTTTAGTTAATGGAGCTCTTATTCCACACCACTCCACTGAAGTTGTGCAATAGCCATGAAATGATGTGATGCTTACATAGATCATTCTGAGTTGTGGATATAAGCCGAGGGATACAAAACTGTATTTACCATGATGATCCCAAAAACATTTATTTCTTTAGTAGGTTAAATTGGCATTTTCTATTATCTTAGCATCTTAAAGGAAAGAAAAACAAAGCAATATTAAAAGGCTCTCACACTTTTCTTGATTGTTTCCCAGGCTCCCCATGGGGGGCCATTAAGTACTAATTTGCATCATGTAGCCATTGGGTGACATTTATTAGTCACTACTGAACATTTGACAGTGATCCCCTATTACTGCGATCACTACTTGTCAAAAGCATCTGAGTGCAAAGTTTTGTGGATTTTTGCATATGTAAAAATGCACTAGGTACACCCAGGAGTTGAATTTTCACTTCTTGCTTTAGCTACTAGCAAAGAATTCAGAAGTTCAACATTGTAATCTAGAATTAATATATTAATCAAGATTGCTTCAGATGTTCTTTCCTTCAGTTATTCACCCTGTGAAGTAATAGTAGTAGTAGTAGTAGTAGTAGTAGTACTGTACGTATTCTGTACCATCTGAAAGACAGTGCAAGTGTATTTTCATCATGACATTTTAGAGAGAAGACTGGACTAGAACTGTCTATGTGCCTCACATGTTAGCCTGCAATCTGAGGTGGTATAATTTGCTTAGTCTATTAAGGCTCTGTCTCTGTTTCATGGATTGTTAAAGTAAAGTAGATCACTGTAAAGGGAGGCACCTTTGACTCTACCACCTTCATGTGTTTCTGCTCATGTTAGTAACATCATTTCCCTCATCCTGTGCATTATGATACTAATCACATAGCAGCATGTTTCTGATATTAGTAGTTTTCTTATTTTTTCACATTAGTGTAAGGTGAAAATGGATAATTGGTTGATAGATATGGGAGTTAGCAATAGCTAAAGATACACTCGTTCAGAAAGGTGCTAGCAACAGGAATAGTTCACAGGAATAAATGTTAATATAGCCCAAGGAACTCCACCTGCCTTCTTTAGAAAACAAATGAGAATTGAGGGAACTCTGTTTCAGAATGGTTGTGGTCATTGTGTTCTTCTTAGTCAAAAACTGCACTTCATATAAAGAATAGTGAGCAGCTAATACTTTCTGACTGCTAATTTTAGTCTAAGGTTCTATTTCTACTCTTCTTGGTTGCTTTTCTTTTAACAAATCATACTTTAGGATTGTAGTAGGAAATTTAGATTTAACCTCAAGCATCATGGTTTTGTCTCATCTCTGTCCTAATGCAGTGCAGATGTTTAACTGCTGTATGTAAGTCAAGGCTTTATTGCAAAGGTTCTCCTTAATGGAAACCATATGAAGGATTGACTATAGGCAACTCTGAGAGCAGGAAGCTCAAAATCATACAGGAAGGTATTCAAAATACCTGAGATTCTTATTTTTGCAGGACACCATCCAGATGTTATACATAGTGCAGCTGTTATTTTTATTTTTAGGGAAGTGGAGGGGGGAATGAGGAGTAATTACATTCTTAAGATAATAAACAATGTGTAGAGTGACAAAGAAAAAAATATTAATATTACTGAGGCTTACCATAAACTTTGATTATCACATTTGCAATCACTATGCGGCCTGCACAACGTAAGACTCCAAGCCCATTTCAGCCTTCTATCTGTGGTCTCCAGTCTGAATTCCAGATTATCAAGAATTGCCGTTTATATGTTTTCTCTTTCGAGTCTGCTGCATATTTCTTTCCCTTCCACAGATGTTCTACAACATTCACACAGATATGTCAACTTAAGTAATGTTCTTCCACTTCAGTCATTATGCCTCTGGCTTTCCCTTTTAGTGAAATGCATTTAATGTTTCAACATGTGTGTTCTGTTTCGGTCAGCTGCTGGCCTGCTATGGCCCAACGAGTTTGCACTATGTGGGATGCTAGGATTCTCTCCTTTTCCCTTTTCCCTCTTTCCAATTTCTTGTCTATGATCAAGCCTGGTTCTGTTTCATAACCATAATGCTATAAGGTTCAGGGCTAGCTTTCTGCATTAATTCACTGCTGGAAACAATGACTGGAGTTTTACTCAGAATTAGGGCTGGGTGATGTTAGGTTTTCAACTTCGCCATGTATCACCAGCCAAACATTGTGGTTTGGTGATAAACAGTGGTGATGAAAGAAGCTGCATTGGCCCTAGCTGACAAGGTGCAGGATGAAACTGCCTTACCTCTCACCGCAGCAGCTGAGGCGCTTATCAATATATCACCCAGGACTACTCAGAATAGATCCATTTAAAGTAACAAGTTAGTCATGTTCATTAATTTCTATGGTTCTACCCTGAGTATGACTAATGTTGAATACAACCCAGTACTTTGTTTTTATTGCAACTGACATTTCACTGGGTTTCCTCATTTGACATAAAAGAGGTGGTTCCTGTGTTGTCTCTGTTCTGTAATTCATCAGGATGTACCTACTACACCGAATTGTTTATACATCTGGGGTAATCTATTCTTTAAAATATTTATCTGGATGCTTACCTAATTGAAATAATACCCACAGCAGCTAAACTGCTGTATATAGCAGGTATGTAGTTCAGTATGTAGTTCAGTAGGTGATTCAGTATGTAGTTTAGTAAGTGATTATTACACTAAGCTGTAATAACTCCTTTATCATATTTTTACTACCACCAATGGCTGGTTAAAGTTAGTGTGTCTGCAGGTTCACTCATTAATATGCATTTAATCAGAGCCAAGGTATAAATATAAGATATGGCAGGGTTTCTTACTTGTAGAGCAGCTCCTCCAAATACTCTCTTCTGCTTTAAGATCTGTCTTCAGAGGTATTGTGTGTTGCCTTTTTTCATTAGGGCATTTGCTCTTCACAACTTCAATAGAGGATCTCCTTTTTAGAAGTGTGTGAATGACCTATTTATTAGACCCAACTGTTTCTGCAGAGTGTGCTGAATCTTTCTTACTATTATTTATTATTTTGGATGCATTGTTGCAAATCACTACGGGGAAAGTGTTGTTTAAAATAAACAAAATGAAAGAAACAAAAACACTAATGTTCATCACCACATAGGCAAATTATTATTATTATTATTAACAACAACATTTGTATACCACCCTATACCTGCAGGTCTCAGGGTGGTTCACAAGATAAAATCACAAAATACTAGTAATCTAGTCCTGGACCAGGGTTAGGGAAATGTGTGTTCTTCCAAATGCTGTTGGACTATACCTCCCATAATCCCCGACAATTGGCTCTCTTGGCTGAAGCTGACAAAATTTGGGAGACTCTGGAGGGCCACAAATTTCTCTATCCCTGTCTTAGAGAAGAGTCACCATAGTTTGAATACCTAGCCAAAGTATCATGTTATATATAGTTATATTATTTTCAAATATTTAAAACTAAAGACACAAAAGCTGCTGCGGATATAACTTTTCTAGATTGCATTACACTGCAAATTTTAAACATTACTTTTATTTGTATACCTATTATGCCTCCAGACATAAGCACACTTTAGAACTTGCATCCAGCCTTGCTTAAAGCAAGACAAGATTTATTACAGAATGATTTTCATACTGAGTGGATGCTTTTTGCTAGAGTTCAGGCGATGTTCCTCAATAAGAAAAACTTGCTTTGGCATTTCCTGCTCCTGATACTATCCAGACATATCTGAGCCAATAATGTTGAGATGTTTGCAAGAGAATAAATACTGGCAGATGTTCCTTGTTAGGCAGCAATTTACTGTGGATTTTACAGTAAAATGGTGTTTCAAGGCAATGATTTACAGAAATGACTACTGTTGTGTTAGAAAAAATTACATGACTGAAAACCTGAGTTTGTTTCATAAACCCAAAGAGTCACATTCTTACTACTTCTATTCCAGGCCTCTTAAAAATTACACACACCCTCCAAGCTGAAGGCAGCCCAAGGAAACTTAGTTACTAAAAGGAAAAATATCAGGTAGCCACACATCCCCCAAAATGGAAGGCATTATTCCTTTTCATTTTCATTCTAGTCCCCACATTCTTTTTGAAGGCAGTCAAATACAATCTGTATTTATTAGTAATTATGATAAAAGCTCATATTTTACCACACAGACTCCATAGTGGATATGAGCAGCAACAACAAAAATGGTAAATGCAGCAAGTATTATTTCCTCCAATCTGCATTGAAATCCAGTTGTTGCTGTGTAGATCACAAGAGCCAATGGAGCAATAAGCCAATGAAGCAATTCAGATCTTGTGTTGGCTACCTGGCACATTATCAATATGGACTGTTGAAATAAAAGTCAGGTTAAGTGGTAAAGGAAACACCAGTTTCACTTGCAGTTCTCGAAAAGGCAATGAAAAGTAGGACAGCACTAAGATTGAGATTTGCCATATATCATTTGCTTTTGCTGCTTTATTGACCAGTGTCATCAAAGCACTTCAGAGAAATGTGGTTCTCCAGAGGATAAAAATACAACTGAGAGAGACTGCTTTCATCTCTAACCCAATCAGTCATAATCTCTGCTGATTGGTTTTTTATGTAACCATTTATATGTGTCATGAATGTCCCAAATTCTTTCCCAAAAGGCAACAATTGCAGTAAAATCGGAAGCTTTATTAGAAGCAATATTGCAGGCATTATAGAGCAGCTAGCCAAGTATTAAGGTCAATGTTTCTCCTTGGTGGATAAAGTCTTGGAATATATAGAAAGAAATGTAGCTTCTGGGTCATGTGTCATGTCCACACATAATAGACCAAACTCCATGAAAAGCCCCACGCTTGTGCATGCAAACCAATCACTCCTTCTTTGCTCCTACTGTCGCAAAAGTGGAATTAGCTATCAGGAGGCCTTGGCTTTTCATTACATCTAAACTATGGATAGTGGTTTGTTGCACCCTAAAAAGTAATTATTGCTAGCTGACCTTCAAACATGGCTTGTTGTTTCTATTATTTCTGTTTTTATTGTTGCTTAGAGACACCTCAGTGCAAAAATGCAAGTAATTAATTAATTGCTCAGTACAGGAGGACAGGCATTAAGGGTGGAATGACAAAGTTTTACACTGTTGTTGTTGTTTAGTCGTTTAGTCGTGTCTGACTCTTCGTGACCCCATGGACCAGAGCACACCAGGCACTTCTATCTTCCACTGCCTCCCGCAGTTTGGCCAAACCCATGCTGGTAGCTTCGCGAACACTATCCAACCATCACGTCCTCTGTCGTCCCCTTCTCCTTTCCCAACATCAGGGTCTTTTCAAGGGAGTCTTCTCTTCTCATGAGGTGGCCAAAGTATTGGAGCCTCAGCTTCACGATCTGTCCTTCCAGTGAGCACTCAGGGCTGATTTCCTTAAGAATGGAGAGGTTTGATCTTCTTGCAGTCCATGGGACTCTCAAGAGTCTCCTCAAACACCATTATTCAAAAGCATAAATTCTTCGGCGATCAGCCTTCCTTATGGTCCAGCTCTCACTTCCATACATCACTACTGGGAAAACCATAGCTTTTACTATACAGACCTTTGTTGGCAAAGTGATGTCTCTACTTTTTAAGATGCTGTTTTACATTACATTCAAAGTAAGTTTTACATTACTTGGAAACAATTTTAAGGCAACAAGTTCTCCTCTCACCAAATACCTGGGAAGAGGGATACATTCTACCAGTGCTTCCCTTGGCCCAATTTCTGTACCCATGAAGTAACAGTCATTGGCATTCTCAAACACATCAGGATTTGAGACTGCTTGGTTACCCATGTGCATTGCGTTTCCTAGAGGAAAGACAGGATATTAATGTAATCAACCAATCAATTTGGCAAACTAAATTAATGCTCCTTTGTGATAATGACACTCTCCAGCTTGTTTACACTAATGATTTCTTTGGGATTGACCTTAACAGATAGATATTTTGCATAGAATATGTGGAAAAGCTTCCTTGGAAAAGCAAATTATCACTGCTGTACAAGTCAAGCGACAGTGGAAGAAGCCAAAGCAACACACATTAGTATCACAGTTATTAACAGAGATTTATTTGGGTCAAATTTTATGCTTGCATAGATAACAGAAGCTAATTTCCTTCAGTCTTGTCTAACCATTCTACCTCATTAACATATTTTCTGTAAAGAAGAATTTCAATGAGGACAGTAGCATTTATCTAAAGTTCCTTTAATGCTACGTGATTAGGAGAACAGTTTGGCTATTGGCTGATGTATACATTCCATTTTCTAATAAAGATGTCCATTATTTTTATGTTTCTAAGTGAAACAATTGAGCCAACATTTCAACATCTACAAGAAGTGAACAAGAAACAATGCCGTACGCACAGTATCAACACTACCAAATATACCTTTTTTTGTAGAAATATGGAATAAAGCACCTTTTTAAAAAAACAAAAACAAAAAGTAGGTGTATTCAAAGTGAAGCAACAAATTATCAGAAGCTCTAACTAAAAGGGTTTAAGATGTGATTCTATAGCTGATATTGCAGATCATCCTGATGACTGTTCCGTTTTGCTCTCACTAATTAAGGATTTCCCAAACTTGGGTCTCCAGCTGTTTTGGGGCTATAATTCCCATCATTTATTTATTTATATTTAATTTCTATGCTGCCCTATACCCGAAGGTCTCAGGGCAGTTCTCATAAAATATCAAATACATAAAATCAAAACAAAACGCAACAACCCAATAAAAAAAAACCCCAAAAGAGTCAGCATTTTAAAAAAGGGTATAGGATGCAGATCAAGTCAGGCAAAGGCATGGTTGAAAAGGAACATTTTTGCCTGGCGCCTAAAGGTGTATAGTGAAGGCGCCAGGCGAACTTCCCTGGGGAGAGCATTCCACAGATGGGGAGTCACTGCAGAGAAGGCCTGTTCTTGTGTTGCCACCCTCCGGACCTCTCATGGAGGACGCAAACAAAGAAGGGCCTCAGAAGATGATCTCAGGGTCTGGGTAGGTTCATATGGAAAGCGGCGGTCCTTGAGGTATTGTGGTCCTGAGGCATTTAAGGCTTTATAGGTCGAAACCAGCCCTTTGAATTGGGCCCGGAAGCTAATTTGTAGCCAGTGCAGTCGGACCAGGATCGGTGTAATATGCCGAAACCATCTTGCTCCGGTGAGCAACCCAGCCACTGAATTCTGCACCAGCTGAAGTTTCCGAATCCCATCATCCCTGACCACTGGTCCTGCTAGCTAGATATTTTGGCTGTTTCTGCCCCATCCCTAGTTTTTCTTCTGAAACTGCTATCCCTTTCTTCTGCAAATAAAAAACTCATGTCAAATGGTTTCATCATCACAAATTATTGGTGCTTAAGTATATCCATTTGCTATATACTGTACATCTTAAATTAAGAAAGACTATACGGAAATGATGCAATAAATTATCAAATTATCTCAAATTGTTTTATGTTTTCATAATACTACATGCTAGATTTATTTTATTTGATCCTCAGAGAGAGTATTATATTCAAGAATTTGGACAAAAACAGAGGGTGCCTTCAGACTGTCATTATTTTGAATTTTAGGTTTGCACAAAGTGGATTAAAACACTCTGTTGCCTTGGCATAACAAATGCACTTTTTAAAAAAATGATTTATTTTTTTTAAAAATTGCTGTTTGGAAAGTGACAGGAAAATGTATTGGAAAGTGTGGGATAAATAAATAATGGGAAGATGTGTAAAAAAATCCACAAGCAAATCAGCATGAATGCAAGGTCTCATTGTCATGCAACTGCCTGTAAGCAAATCTAACAAATACTCAATGAAAACTGGACATAGTCTAGGTTTTTAAATCTTCTGCAAGCAAATCGTGCTGAATGATCAAGAAACAGGTCATCTGAAGGAGCTGGCAGCACTGACATTAGACAAAATATATTCAAATGGTACACCTTCCACTCTTCAAATGCAGCGCAGTCCTGAAATGGGTTTTCTTAATCTGTTTTGTGGGACTTTGTTTCAAATAAGTAACAACGCACCAATACAACTCCCTAGTCTTACATCTCCACCTCAACCTGTCCAGGCTGATCTTGCTGGGTCTCAAATAAATCATTCACACTTTCCTCCATTCCTTTTGAGGAATGTACCAGATTCTCTGCAAGGAGCAGCTAGTGTTTAACCTGTGCTTCAAAACATATTCATGAATAGCGATCACTAGAATAATATATTATTGTGAAATTAACTTCATGTTATTTTCCAATGATTCTGGCTTGATTGCATGTGTAAAGTTGCATTATAAAGAGCATATTGTTTAACGCATGCAATAGAATCATACATCCTCTCAATCAGCCAGTGGATCAGGCCCTGAGCAGGACCTGTTTCTGCTGGTAGGAAGCCTGGACCCAACTTAAGCACACTTACTTTGAATAATATTAATACTGTAAAATTAAACTCATTTCCTCTGTCACCTGTAAGGAAACAAGAAGTACCTTTGGTAACTGAGAGATCATGGGAAGGAGCCATGGAGGGGGTTAAAATGGGGAGAACAATTTCAAGTAGGTATTTACTCTTGGAGTGAAACAGCACTGAGCTTTCCTCCCAGTTCTTAATTACCTGTAAAAGTTCTAATAAAATGACAGCATTGAACTGGAGCCGTAGGGTTGACTTCCCCACATGGAACAATTATTGTTGCACCTTATTTAATTTAGCATTAATGGACAGAGAAAGGATGAAAGCCCCAAAGCCTCCTTCGGATAGTAACCAGGAAGTTCCTTCTGAACTTGATTAGGCCCTTCATAGAACACATGACCTGCTTTGTGTAAATTTTTCTGGAAGCTTCACCAGATGTTGATGTGAATGGCTAAAATCCAAAATCAAGGCCATCTTGGAGAAGGTCATTAAAACAGTGATATATTGTATTGGCTTTAAGTAATAAATGAGTGTTTAAAATATAACACTCTAGTGTGAGCATGCGCTAAAGATTTTCTTCTGCTACAGAGGCACCTTGTATACTCAGAAGGCCCAGTACACATGCAAGGCGTTCAAGACTTGGCCCAGCTGCTACCCTCTTAAGGACTGTCCCAACACATTTTCCTGCTGTGTGCATTTATGTCCACCTGCAGTTCTGGAAATGCATTGGGCCTTCTTCTGTGGAGCTTTGGACTGCATTCCATCTCTCAGTCTGTGTTTCTTAATATGTTCACAGTAGATTCAGGAGCAATTTATTTTTATTGCCGTTCGCTTTGTTTCAAAATGTGATGCAAAGAAAGACATGTACATGGATTAAATAGCCTTTTACTTTTAAAAGTACTTGGCTTTAACCCAACTCAAAGTACCTGAATGAAACCGGTTTATCTATTAGAAAATAGAACACATATAGCCTCATGAAAGTCTATTGAGCTAGGCACCTTGTAACATATACTTTTTTTTATTAAATATGTAAAAAGATAACGCAAGTCAAGTTATTCACATATTCAGAGACCAAAAAAAGTCTACTCTATCATGCGACAATTGGTGGGTAACGTAAAATGATTGATACATCTGAATAAGACTTTTTGCATCTATTAAGTCATTACTTATCTATTTATAATTAACAATACATATGTTTACATTCCTTTCAGTTTACATTTAATATATAACCAAAGCTTTATGGTGTGCTATTTAGTAAAAGTAATTACAAATGCATATTAAAACCATAACGGAATAACAGGGTTACTCACCACGGTGGGGGTTGTCCTCTTTCCCTTTCCAGAGTCTCTCACTCCCCTCAGCACAACTGAGCAGATCAGGCTCCTATATATATTTGTGTACATTATAAATGACTATCCTCCTGCCTCCTAGGCCAGCCACTTTCTGTCTCCTAACAAAAAAGTGGCAGAGTGAAACTGCCCCACAGGTCAATTATACAAAAACAACAGAAGAAAATCAGACACAGTCCACCCCCCTCCCTTTCACACACACATACACACATAGAAGCTAAGTGACAGGACTAGGGGGCAAAGAGGCTTTGATGGGAACTATCAGAGAACAAAGAAACCCAGAAAAGCCCAGAAAGCACTTCAAAAGGAAGTGATCTGAAAATTTGCTCAAGAGGAAAAATGAAACGGATACAACTGCATTTGTGACAATGACTGGGTACTTAAAGGCTGGTTCAGGAAACTTGGAACTGCCCAATCTTCCCTTTGATCACAATGGGCATTTTGGAAACAGCAAAACTAGAATCTTGGGAGACAGCAAGACTAGAAGTAATAATACAATTGTGGGCACTGTAAAACAGAATATGCATTTTTTTCCCTATTCTGCATCATGATAGCATATTACATCCTTCTGAAAGTAACTGTTCTTTTATTGTTTTATGTATAAAGCCTTTAAGTGAAACCAAATCACCTTGAACAATTAAGAAAGGGTAGGGTTAAAAGGGGGGGCACATTGATTTTCATGGTGATAAAGTTGAAAGGGATGGGGGGCCAAGCTGTGTAAATATTTCCAATATGAAGAGATTGATTACAGCTCTGTTGAGCCAAAGGGGTTAAGCTAAGGAGATGCAAACATTTCTTCGAATGTTTAACTGTATTATACATGCTGCCTGAGCTGAATGACTACATATGAGCCACTTTACTGCAAAAAAGGAGCAATTTAAAGATGCGAGAACTTCTTGCTTGAATCAATGAAAAGGTAAAGATAAAGGTAAATGAACCCTGGATGGTTAAGTCCAGTCAAAGGCGACTATGGGGTGCGGCGCTCATCTTCTGGAGTTCAAAAGGCTACATGGACACCTTCAATATTTGTAGCCTGCAGGTTGATATTCCATTAGATTTCTGTTGCTGTACTTGCCTAGCCAAATAACCAGTCAAATATCAAACTGAGGATGAGGAATGAAGTAGCAAGGGAAAAAAACCCCCCACAAATAAATAAAAACAAATAAACCTACAACTGGACTAAGAAAATGTGCAATTTAAGTTTAGGAAATAAGGAATGTTTTAATACATGGTTTGCTATTTTTCTACTACAAAATGTCACCATCTAACTGCAAGATAAATAAAGGTAATATTAAAACCTGTGGCAATGAAACAATTCTGTAAACTAACACTTTGTTCCTGCATTCTGCCAATGCTTTCAGGAGTTGCAGACCACAGAACCATTCCTGTTTTGCGTCTCGGGGTAATGTATCTTTACTTCCCAGGCTAAGCCTGAAAAGTGGCACTAGCATCTGTATGGAAAAGAGGTGCTCAATGAACAATACATTTCAAAGAAGACTATAAAGACTTCAGAGGAAAAACCATGTACGATTGTGCTGGTAAATGTTTTGGCATGTCCAATCCTACAATTAAAAAAAAACATTTCCCCCCAATTTCATGTACACACAAGTAAGAGGAAAGTGGTTGATTCACATAATTGCCATTTCCAACAGTGGAAGTTTGTAGCCAAGTGAAATCTGCAGGTGCAGCTACAGTGGTGAAAGTTTCACGAATGCTTGAACCAACAAGACACTGAATATGGAATTGGGGGGAAAGAACATTTACAGTAGCAAGGAAAGTGTCACAGAGCTCTCAGTGTAAGAATTAGGCAGGCATGTATGCATATTCCGAAATAAAACATATACTGTGTAGATTTCTAACATGCTTTGGTGTACAACATCAGGAGGGTTACAGTTCTGCTTTTTTAAAATAAAAAAAAGGAAAAAGTTGCTCACTTGTGTGTTGTGATAAAAGACGGGGACCAGTATAATTTGAGTGTGGTTTCAATAGTTTCCTCTCCTTTGCACAGTCTGACCAAATTTATGCCCTATTAAAGGCCAAAATTACCACGAAATTGGAGAAATCAAACGGAACAGTACTTTTTGTCATAAGAGATGCCCATATAAATAGTTTTGAACAAATTACAAATGTATCATACTTAAGACAAAAGGAAAAAAATAAATATATATTTTATATATATATATATTTTTAAAAGCTGAACAAATCTCAAGCAGCCAAATATTTGAAGTTGCATTGGTAGAAAATGGGGACAGAGCCCGGAGACCTTCTCAGGTGCATATCCTGAAAGGAGACTTCTGCAAACACATGTTGGCAAAGGATGGGTACAGAATGCAGCTGCTGGCTGACACTCACTATGGTACATTTATGTTAATGGCAGACTGAGAGTGATTGGTTTCAAGTCTGAGGCCACACACGTTCCATTCTTCAGAAGATAAGTTCCCACACAAAATTAAAAAGTAGCAAATGTGCCAGGCTTTTTCAGTATTCTTCCTGCTGCTGGGGCTGTTCATGAACCTGGTCCTCAGCTTCATGTTCATCTGTGTGGCTCTCCTGTGTGTTTAACATAGGGGGGAAAATTACAACCATTGAATGAGTGTGTGTGAAATCTTAGCCAAGTCAACAAGATACTGAAAATACCAAAATGAGATTTACCACCCCGCCTTGTCTGCTAAAAATGGTGGCTATTAATGTATATTTAAATGAACCAAAGGACTATTAAAACCAGAAAATATCAGCACCATTCAATTATTGATTTAATGCAGACCCCAGGACTATGTATGGGAAAGAAGATAATTTCTAAAGTTTCAATAGCCTTTAAAATCCAAATATGTAGCTGTGGAGAAGGTTACAGTGCTGAGGCACAGTGGCTGAACAAGAAATCTACACCTTTATTTCATTAAATGAAAGTTAATGTGTTGCCCTTTATAAAACACCAACATTCAAATCCTACCTGCCCCACACCTTGAATGAGCTTTGTTGCAATCTCAAATAACAAATCTGATTGCTTATATGGCACCCCCCTACTGGTTGCACTATCTGAGAAAGGCCAGATCACATAACCATCAAAAAAGATTATCAGCTTCTTTTTTCAAATAGCACTACAGGAACAGCCCAGAGGGGTAACAAACAACTTCATATAGATGGAGATGTTGTGGATTAAACCAGTTCCTTCTGCATGCAAAGATTGTGCTCATTCATTATGCAATAACCTTTTCTCCAATCCAGATAGATGAAACAGAAGTGTGTTTTTAAAAAGAAAAAATAATTGATAATGTTTTTTCATTGATGTGGTACATCTGCAGAATATGAATAGGGATGAGATGCTATTTAAACAACTGCCACCACCAACACATACACACAATGGAACATTTTCATTTAAGTGAATGCATTTTTCCAAATTGGCAGCACTTGTTTTTGAAGCTTAAGAGAACTGAGGGTTGTATACAGAGACAAAATTATATCCTTGTAAAAGATTTAAAGCACTTTATCCAACGAAAAATCCACTTCCTGCTTGTGGCATTTCAGACCATTTACATTTGGGTATTTAGCTCAAAGATTGGCATGCTTGCAACTAGGAGAAGAATATGCAAAGTTAAAGAACACCTTTGTACTGCCCCTCACTAGGGTAAAGATAGTTCAGGCATAGGCAAACTTGGCCCTCCAGATGTTTTGGGACTACAATTCCCATCATCCATGACCACTGGTCCTGTTAGCTAGGGATGATGGGAGTTGTAGTCCCAAAACATCTGGAGGGCTGAGTTTGCCTATGCCTGAGATAGTTTTACACAGGTTTCAATAAAGAAGAACCTGGGTTGTGGTGCACATGGGTGAACCTTGCTCTGGAACACAAGTAGTAATATTACAGGATGCACAGAGCCGGATTTAGGTTTGATGAGGCCCTAAGCTACTGAAGGTAATGGGGCCCTTTATATGTCCAGCTGTCCTTTGTCAACAACAAATTGTCGCTGTGTCTTGTGTTGAATAAATGCTATATGGTAATTTATGGACCTAATAGGTATCTAAAGCCATTTGCACACAACAAATGTGCAAATAACAATTTGTGGGGCCCATCATTGTGGGGCCCACAACACAAAACACTATTGCTGTATGTAGGTTTTATTTTATTTGTTTTTTATCTTATATTTTGGAAATGTACATCCAGTTTTTTTCCCTTTAAAATTTTTGGGGGCCCCCCAAGAGAGTGGGGTCCTAAGCTATAGCTTGTTTAGCTGATACGTACCGTAATTTTCGCTCCATAACACGCAGTTTTTTCTTCCTCGAAAGTAAGGGGAAATGTCTGTGCGTGTTATGGAGCGAATGCCTACAGATGGCAGGGGAATCTGCTGCAGTTGTGAGCAGTCCGTGGCTCGCTTTGAAACTGCAAAGCGGGTGTAAGCGGCTCCTGTCAGCGAGCCGAGCCGGGAGGAGGGAGAGAAGCAGAGCGGGGTTGGCTGCTTTAAAACTGCTTTAAAACAACCCCGTGCTCTATGTCCCTCTCTCCTCCCCACTGAGCTGCTAAGTAGCAGCAAAGCTTTTCAGCCAGCCTAGCCGGGAGGAGGGAGAGAAGCAGAGTGGGGTTGGTGCTCTCTGTCCCTGCCTGCAGTTTTTTGCTGTCCGATTTTGGATTAGCCACTGTAGGGGCTGTGTGTGTGTGTGCTTGAGCTATCCTCCTCCTCCTCCTGCTTCCTCCCAGCGCCCCTGCGCTCTCCTGCGACTTTAGGATTGATACTCTGTGTGTGTGTGTGTGTGTGTGTGTGTGAGAGAGAGAGAGAGAGAGAGAGAGAGGGATCGTTCTCCTTCTCTTGCTTCCTGTTCACTCTCCCAGCGCCCCTGCCTCTCCTGCGACTTTAGGATTGATACTCTGTGTGTCTCTCTGTGTGTGTGAGGGATTGTTCTCCTTCTCTTGCTTCCCGTTCACTCCCCCAGCACCCCCGCGACTTCCAGCGCCCCTGCGACTTTAGGATTGATACTCTGTGTGTCTCTCTCTGTGTGTGAGGCATCGTTCTCCTTCTCTTGCTTCCCGTTCACTCGCCCCTGCGACTTTAGGGCGACTTTAGCATGGATCCACATGGATCCTCAGGATTTTTGCATTGGGCTACCCCAAACTCACCGTCAGATCACATGTCTGTGGCCACAGCATGAACCACAAAAATCATACATCCACTGTTTCGTTTAGAATATTTTTTTCTTGTTTTCCTCCTCTAAAAACTACGTGCGTGTTATGGTCTGGTGCGTGTTATAGAGCGAAAAATACGGTAAGTCTGGCACTGGATGCACCATTCCTCTGCCAATACACATGCAGAAGGCTCTTAGAATAAATGGGTGGTCTGGGCACAGCTCTCTTATCCCAATCAGATCTTCCCTTCCATCCAGCTTCCACTCAACGCAAGCTGTTATGGATATGAAAGGAACTCACAGAAGACCAACAGGACAAATGGAGGCCTGTACACAGGCAGGAAGATTTGCTGGGTGAGGCAGAAACACAGAGCTCTGCTGAATCTATAGAAAGTCTTCACACATGGGTGCTGTGCCCTTTTGTGTACTAGACATCTAACCATCTATCTGTTAATCACATTTACATTATACTCGCTAGCCAAAAGAGGCTTCGAGAACTTCTCTGTCTCAAACTGCACCTGTACATTTTCATGACTTGTGAATGCAATCTGCTTATCATCTCCAGACATGGTCACACACACAGTTAAGAGCAGGAGGTAGACTGCACGGAAAGAGGGACACGGCAAAATGCTGCTTTACTTGCTTAACATAGCTAAACGAAGCTGTCTTTTTAACTAGATGTGCTACTGTTTTAAGGATCATCGGAATCAATTAATCCACTTCCACAGCAGATTGAAGGAATTAAGGTATAAAGCAGAAGCTTACAGTTAAAGTGTTTGGAATATACCCAGAATGTTCCTGGAAAGGAGTCATCTCTGTAATAGTAGCACAAGATGTTGACACCTCTCCAGTATTTTCCTGGTCACTTTACTGCTAATTATTCTTGAATATACTTGTGCTTGCTGAAGGATGGATAAACTGCTGCACTGCACAGATATGAACACACTCAGTTAACAATTTCCATGAACACGGTACCCCTCTGATGACATGTATAAGTCCAGAGTATATCTAGTGACTCGTGAGTACTTCCCCGCCCCATACAAGGCTTACCCAGCGATAGCAGGCAGGCACATAAAAAGTGGACAGGGAAATGCGGCAGTGGACTCATGAGTGGCTCACTTCTTCTACATTCCTCATGTAATGAAAAATGCAAGTGATTGCCTTGGACTTACGTGTTCTTCTGAAGCATACAGAACTTCCATTAGCCGCTGGACAAGGTCATTATTTTCCTGCCCATGTTCTTGACAGAGAAGCTCGATCTCCCTTAGCTTTCCAAAATAGAAATCCCTTTCCTTCTCCACACCTTCAAGTGCAAGTTTTAATGAATGTACCTGCAAAAACACAGCAGTTCTTAACACTGGATATGCTGCATTTGTCAGTCTGCATAATTGTTAGGGACACTGCATACCTACATACCATAAACACAAACAGAATTGAATTTATTCTCTTACACTCTGAAAAACAAGTGTCTATCTCCCAATTAATCACCTGTACCCTCAAGAACCATTTAAGACAGTGTTTAAACTAGTGCTATATGCACTTGTAAGTATTTCTTTTCACAACTGATATTCCAGGCAAGGAAATATGAACTTCTAGAGGGTCAACATGGACATAAATGTGAGTAAGGAAGGAAAGAAGCAAGACATATTGTTTCCCTTTTCTCATTAAGGCATTTTTCTGTGACAGCTGGGCTAGAGCTGGACAATGTTGCTGCACTTGCCAAGTTTGATGCTATTAGAACTCATTTAGCAGCACAAAGCTATCAGGAAAGGCACACTGTCATCACCTTGTTTGGAAACCTAGAAAATGTCACTAAAACACTCAGGCAAATGGTAGCTTCCCATTTGGTGGCTTAAGCACGTTACCTGTTCGCTGAGCTGTATGACTTGTGTCTCCAAATCTTTATCAGATTTGGATGCTGAGCTGCTTGGTGGTGTCTTTTTTGCTGATGATGGACGAGACGGTGTAGAGCCCGGTTTTGAAGCAGGACTGGATTTGGCAGCACCTGGGGAAAATAAAAACACATTAAGATGTTTTGGAAATGGTACTTGTGGCCTTCACTGCAGAATTGATTTTCATTCAATGTTTACCATTTCAATTGGAAAATGTTTAATGTACTCGACAGAATTGCCCAAATTGTTCAAAGTGGTATGTTTTCTAGCAGCCATCAAACTTGCAGTTTATTTAACTTTATATTTGAGAAAACAAAGTAATTCCTTCATTTATGTTTTGAATATGTACATATGATTCAGCAGACCAGCACAATGCTGCACAATTGAAAACAATTGAGGGAAAAAACCCAAAAACCTTCCTGGTACATTTACATTGGGTGCCTCTTAAACACAAACCTTTTCTTTAATCTTAGAATTTCCTTTTTGAAAGAAAGAAAGAAAGAGAATTTCGGCCATCTCTGTGATGGGCTCAACACAGTTCACACATGCAAGTTTTCTGCAGTATCCACAAGATGTCATCCTCATAAAAATATTTCCCCATATGAGCCTGTATTTACTATTTATGTGGGTTTTAAATGATAATAGTAATACGGGCTCTTTTGCACAAATGCCAAACCTGTGTTAGCATTTGGCTTACTGTATTTTCTGAACCAAGTCTCATGGTTAAACTCTTTTCTCACTTACAATAAATGGTACCCAAGGTTAGTTCTTACCAGTCTGTTTTTCACATGTGGCAAACACCTACCTCCTCATTATGCCTGTCAATAAAACAATTTCCTCAAAATATTCTTTGACCCGTATGTCAGATCATTAGCCACTTCTAACTTTTGACTCATTCAGATGCACGAGTCTTTCCTTATAATTTTGTTCACATCACAAATGATGTTCCCAACAGTTCTACACTCTTTTCGTAAGCAGCAATTTATTTTTTGCCCTAAAGTGATACATAAACTGGATATAACAAGTTTCAAGCATATTACAAAACTCACAGTCATTATATTACTACATGTCCTAAAAGCATAATTACTTCACTTTCATTAGGATTAAAGAGATTTCCCCCTGCAGCATCTATTTTTCTTGCTGCAAAAACAAATTATTAGAGTAATAATAAAAATCCCAAATAGAACTCATTCATGTTGCCTGAATTCCTACGGCTTCATACCTTTTATAGATCAGACTGCCCAGATATATATATCTTATTTGGAGAGATTTCCAATAATTGATTTAAGCATGGCTTTTGCCAAAATTTGAGTAGAACACTAATTTAAAAATTAGTATTACTTTAGTTTAACCAATGGCAAAAGCTGTTTTGCACATAATGGTAAGACAAACTATGGCTTAATGTGAATGTATGAGCTCCCAGAGAAGACACTGCTACTGTGGAGCCTCTTCACCATGTCTTCCTGTTGCTGTGCTGCTCTGAACTAAGCCATGGTTTGGGCTTAGCATGTTATCCAAACCCAGGCTAATGGTTTGTCTTGCTCCAGGACAAACTATGAGCTGTAATCTAGGTTTCTTCTTGGGCTGACAGCTCATGGTTTGTCTAGAGCAAGAAAGACCATGGCTTAGTTCATGGCAGTGCAAAAGCAGAATGGGAACCAGGGGAAATCAGCAGCCATTATTTCACCTCAAGGAGCATTCATGCTTAGACATTCATGCTAAGTCATGGTTGGGCTTAATGTGAAGTGCAACATACAGGGTGATCCCACTCTTCTGCCTTGCATAATTACAGTCACAAGAGCTTGAATGCCTGAACTTTGCTTGTTATCTGCGGTCTGTACAGTCCACTGTAAGTGCTATGTGGATTAAGCATGCCATTAACACAGTTTTAAATTGCATACCATATGCAATATTATGTCAAAAGAAAGGACCAGATTTTCTCCTGAATCTTGATGATCTTTCTTTGGCTAAACTGTTTTGTTGTGTGTTATTGAATACCATGCTGGAGTCCTAAAGCTACTATATAATTAATGTATTCCCAATTAGTACATTAAAAAAAAAATATCCCCTCCATATATTCAGCACTTTTCCTTAGATGTTAATGAAGGAGTGTATAAATGTCACTTCAGGCTAAACACACACACACACACACACACACACACACACACACACTGTTGACTCCATTAAGAATGCCACACTGCAAGGGAACTGTAGTAAGAAATGTGAAAAGTTCTAGTAAAATCTAATTAAGGAACCAAAGGAGGTGATAGCCATTAAAGCAACTGGCCTAAGGGTCAATGTTTCAAGCAGGAAAATATAAAATATATCTAGGAATGTTTGCTCTTACTTAACTTATTTGAATACTAACAATGGGATAGAAATGGGATTCTCAAATTCTTAAGTTTGTTAAATAAGTGCAAATGCTGAGGGAAGTCAGACTTATCCACACATATCTAACAGCAGAATCGTAAGTATTCAGATGAAAACTATTGTTTTAAAATTACACTCCAATAAATATTAATAGATCTGTCTACACAAAAATAAACAAAGTTGCAACCAGGAATCCTGACCGCGTGCAAACACCCCACAACAATAAATAAATGCAAATGCTGGAATGAGACAAACTTAAACTACATTGGTTATAAACAAAACTGGGATGACTAGCAGAGTGAAGGACATCCCTACAAGCAAAGAGTACATGAACAAGACATTTACACAAAATGGTCTATGCATAGGCGCTCAGAGGAACCACCCATATTGTACTCATAATCCTTTGTTATGTTTTATATTTAGCTGGTCTTGTGGGCTGGTACATTGGAGGAGCTTTGTTGTTGCTTGGTTTGTGATGTCATGCACTTTTAGAACATAAACCATTTTTTTTCTTATGAAAGGAATGCTGCTAGCCTCCCATAGTTAGATAGATACATTTGCAAATCAAAGTGGGGTCTGTTAAAGGCTCCAGCAATTAGATAGGTTGCTCTGGCAAGACTACTTAATAATATTCAGTCACTTTCCCCTTTTTAGCCTTCAAACACCTCTGGGCAATCCTTATGTAAAACTTTAAACCCCCCCCCCAAGAAAACAGCATAGAATTTGCATAGTTCAGTATTTATATAGCCATGAATTTACTGCTGTTTTGGTGCTGAATTAGGATTTCTTGGTGTAAACGTATACCTGACTTTCACAAAACCATAGTTTTTAATCTCCAATAGTTTTCATCTTGTACCTCTGCAAAGTTTATGGAAATTATCAGGGGGGAAACAAAAACAGTTTAACCTTATTTACAAGGGCACTAAGCTGATGCAAGACATGGGCTCTTTTGAAAAGCTTGATGTTTATATTTTCATCAGGATTGGTAGTAGAGCCCACGCTCTGCGTGTGGAAGGTCTGGGTTCAATCCCTGGCATCTCCAGCTTAAAAATGAAGAGACAACCAAATGATCAGGGGGCTGGGAGCAACTTCCCTACAAGGAAAGAGTTATGCATAGGGGGCTTTTTATTTTTAGAAAAGGCAATTTAAGAGGAGATGCATGACAGAGGTTTCTAAAATGATGCCTTTCTCCTTCTGCCATCATCAGGGTCATCAAAAGAAAATGATCAGTGGGAGAATGAAGACAGACAAAAGGAAATAATTCCGCAACAGATGGAACTCGCTGCCACAAGATACAGTAATGTCCACTAGCTCCCATCAGAGAGGATTAGACTCTTGGAAGGCAAAGTCATTACTGGAGTCTAGTCAGGAAGGCCACACGGAAGCTGAGGATTCAGAGGCACTCTGCGACTCCATACCAGTGGCAAGAAACTGTGGGAGGGGTCTATTGCCCTCAGGCCCTGCCTGAGCACTTTCCACAGGCATCTAGGTGGCGACTGTAGGAAACAGAATGCTCGACGATGGAGCTTTTGGTGTGCTCCATCACTTACGTTCTTACAATGAAATAATTTGAGCCATATAATTCCCTATGCCGTTCAAAGCAAACTGAGGGCATCCTTATTATTTTTGTGGCCCGAAACAGATTTATTTGTTTGAACCATTTATAAACAGCTTAACTACAGGCAGAGGGCCTTCTCGGTAGTGATGCCCTCCCTGTGGAACACCCTCCCTTCAGATGTCAAGGAAATAAATAACTATCTGACTTTTAGAAGAAATCCGAGGCAGCCCTGTATCAGGACGTTTTAGTATGTTTCGATATATGCTGTGTGCCGCCCAGAGTGGCTGGGGAAACCCAGCCAAATGGACGGGGTATAATAATAATAATAATATACACTCATTTCTAAGTGGTGTACTGTTGCATGTTGCATTTTTAATTACAGGTGAAACTCAAAAAATTAGAATATTGTGGAAAAGTTCATTTATTTCAGTAATTCAACTTAAAAGGTGAAACTAATATGCGAGATATGTCAAGCCTTTATTTGTTATAATTGTGATGTTTACGGCGTACAGCTGATGAAAACCCCAAATTAACAATCTCAGAAAATTAGAATATTAAATGAAATCAGCAAAACAAGTCATGAGTCTATCTCATATATTAGTTTCACCTTTTAAGTTGAATTACTGAAATAAATGAACTTTTCCACAATATTCTAATTTTTTGAGTTTCACCTGTATGGGTGTTCACATATATGCATCATGATTTTTTGTTATACAACTCCATACAGCCAGATCCTGTTTGTAGCTTTAATTCTTTTCTTGGGTGGGGGTGGGGTGGAGTGGGGTGGAGTGGGGTGGGGAAGCTTTAGGAATGTTTTGTAGTGTATTAAATAATTTCTTGCTTTACCATTTTGTCCAAACTCACAATAGTACAGGCAATCTGGAGAGCAATAACATTATCCAGTAGCATCCACAGGTCACCAAGTCAACTCTACTTTCCAAGTAAGAGGCAAGACAACATCAGGGTGGTCAAGAGATTAGTCCTAAGGAACTATTTATGCTACAATTTCCAAGCTGCATTATCCCTGACCTGCAATGACTTGCTAGAACAGTTGCCCTCTTAAGGCACAAGAGATTTTCTGCCATTCTTCATTCATTTAAGTGGGTGAAGTTCGTATTTCTCATGTTTAGTCTCACAGTTCTATTTTATTGGGAAGCTAAAGCGAAGTTTGTTAAATACACATACAGTAATGCTTTTCAAAGTAAAGTTTGAGGGTCTCCCCCTTATTTTGCCATAACATATTTCTGCCTCAATTACAAGTGGCCCATGTATGTTTCAAAAACACCTTATCTCTTTAAAATAAATGGCCATAGTAAGAATAAAAAGACTGAGATTTGAGTAAAAGCCAGGGAAGCATGCTCTGAAATGCATCTTTTATTACTGAGCCATACCACTTTACAAATTTCCTATCAGAAGCAACTATGAGATTAACATTTGTACATCATGATTGCTTTAACACCTCACTACTTGTGCTGATAACAATATTAAAGAACTGGAACTCCCTCAGGTTTGTTTTTCAAAGTATGTATAGTTTGTCACATGCAACCCTGGTGTTACCCTTGATTAAAATGGGCACTCTTTATTCCTTACTCAAGTGGGATTTGCCTTTACTAACACCGCTATCATGCTGAGCGAAAGGTCACAGCCAAATCAGCTTATATTGTGTGTGCATTGTGCATATATGCAAGAGAATTATCAGACGTCCCCGGGGATGTAAATATTCCCAACCAGTACCGCTTGGAAGATAATCATGCAACACTTCAACTCATAATTATTAAAGCAGAACACATATTATAACTCCCAGTCCAGAAAGCCACAGAACACAAGCGGACTTTTTAAAAAACCCAAAAGCTTAGATCAAATCTTTTGAGGAGGAGGAGCTGCTGTTGCAGCAGCCACCAAGCCCTAGTTAAGAGCAGTATTCCACAAAGGCTCTCCGGGATAAAACTGTCTTTGAAAAGAAAGCATCAAAGGGACCAGGCCAGGATGGGCTTGTGTGGTGGAGGTGGCTCACCCTCCCAACATACGGGGGGAACGACGACGACACACCAACCAGAGCACCTGATCGGCTTTGTTGGTGCACTTGTGCAGCACCAACCTCACCACTGTTCTGCCCTGCCCTATCCAGGTAAGATGCAGCAACACCCCTGTCAGGAAGAAGGCTCCACCCCACTGAATGGGACTGCTATTGAGCCAGGCACACCTCTCTCGGAGGTTGCTCTAAAGCTGTTAACAACTAAATAATGGCAAGGATGGCATTTTTCTGCCTCTTCAAGTGACTGCAGCACAATAACAACCGCCTGGTGGTGTTCTAGTACCCACTTGATTACATGGTTACCAAATGATTAGTCATAACTTCAAATTCAGGGGTAGGCAACCTAAGGCCCGGGGGGCCGGATGTGGCCCCATCGCCTTCTCAATCCGGCCCATGGATGGTCCAGGAATCAGTGTGTTTTTACATGAGTAGAATGTGTCCTTTTATTTAAAATGCATCTCTGGGTTATTTGTGGGGCATAGGAATTCATTCATTTTTCCCCTTTCAGAATATAGTCTGCCCCCCCCCCCAGGTCTGAGGAACAGTGGACCAGCCCCCTACTGAAAAAGTTTGCTGACCCCTGTTCTAATTAGTTTAACTAAGGGGAAAGCAATGGAGTACTGCAAGAACTTGCGAGCCACACTAGTGGTCTCCCTCGCATCAAGCTGCCCCCTTCCTTAAGCCAACACACCCCTCATCTCAGCAAACCAACGCTTGCAGCTAGAACAGAAAGGAAGGACTATGATGTGCTGGAGGCCAAAGGGTCAGTTTAGACACACTGTTTTGCTACACAAAAGCAGAAACAGTTTGAGCCTGCTTGGTAGCAGAGATATCCTTTAGCAGCTGCTCAAAGCAGAAGGGGAACCAAGAGAAAGAGAAAGACTGGGAAGCTGTGGAGGTTCAAAGAGAGCCCCTCTCTTGGGGAGAGAAAGAGCAGAGGACAAGGGGGAGTAGCTCCCTTCCCCTTCCCCAGTCAAAAAAGAAGGCTTTATTTACTATTGCTTGTCCTTGCATGCCCTCTAGTGGTTACTAACAGGAGTACAATAACCCAAAGCCTTATTAATGCCAAGAAGGCTTTTTTATTATTATTACGCAGCCCTTGCCTGGCCCTCTCTCAGAAGAACTGGGGAACCCCTTTCGTTTTTCCTCTTTGTGTTATTAAAAGCTTAAGTGCCCAATGAAAGCCATCCCTGCTGGGAGTTGGGAGTCCAGCATAGCACCACTCTCATAAGAATGTGCAAGCTTCTGTTTCCACACTCTTGCCCTTTCCATGACCAGAGCTTGGATGAAGGCTTCTGTGCAATGAAGTATGAAGGCAGGCCTTTCCCCTATCTCCCTCACACTGGAACATCCAGTGCCCCAGAAAAGCCGCTTCCAATGGTGGGTGTATCTTTTGAACATTGTGGAATATGGCATGGGGGAGAATAATGGGAAGGGAAAAGCTGGTGCAAATTGCAGAGGCACCCTCTATCACTCCATTTAGTCCAATGCATTTACATCGTCTTGTGATGCGGAGCGAGTGGCTTAATAATGTTCCAGTTTCAGGACTGTCTACAATATGTACATTATAGGTAGTTATCACTCCTATTTATTTCTGTTCAGAATACAAATAGCCTTCTACAATCAGGCCCAATTAAAGGTCTTAAAAGCAAGAGAGCCAGCCAATCTTTTTTTAAAATTATGCAGACAGCATTCAAATGAATGTCTCCACAAAGGAAGATCTATATGCTGCACAACAGGTGACTGAACTCTCCAGAAAAGTTTAGTGATCATTACAGCATAAATGAGGAATGCTTCACCACCACCCAGTCAGGGACTGCATGTCAGTGGTGGACAGGAGCCCAAGACAATGGTTGGTAGCAGAGCCGTCTTTCCTATTGGGCTTACTGGCGCGTTGCGCCAGGGCGCTGGCCTCTCAGGGGCGCCCCAGGAGCTGCGCGGTTTTGCTGGCAGCCTCCCCTTTCCCTGCACACACGCCAGCTGTGCCCTGTCAACCATATGGCTGGCGTGCGTGCAATTTCCTTCCCAAGCCTCCGCGGGAGGAGAGCGATCCCCGCAGAGGCTTGGGGAAAGGTTGACAACTCTGGGAAACGGGGGGCCGTGGCGCTGGAGGGATCTTTGAACCATGGCGCCGGATATGCTTAAGATGGCCCTGGTTGGTAGGACTACCCCTTTTATCCCTCCTAAATTCTGCCACCCTCTTTCATCTCTGTCTCCCCATCTCTTTCTCTGTATCTCCCCCTTCCCAATCTTCTTACCCAGTAGGCTGCTGGGGGGAAGGAGAGGTTGCTCCTGTAAAATATCTGAACTGCTCACTAGTGGAAGACTTCCCTCCTTTGTTATTCCATCACTTCACCTATTCTGGTTTTTCTATTCCCCCTCACCAGCATGAAATGAGCCCTTTGGCAGTCCATTCCTGATTTCAGAAAGGTAAACAGGTACCCTAACAATTCATTAGAGGGATACCTCAAGACATGCCCATTCACCTTTCAGCGGGTATTGATATATGTGGCTCATTAACTTAAATCATAACCAAACCAAAACAACGTTCTGCCTGTGGTTCCTGAGTGACACATTTGACCTGTATAAAAGTAATGCTTTGGACTCACAAAATTTTCTGTTTTACCCATTGTTGCCACTGTATCACCAATACAAATAAAATAAGAGACAAAAAAATAACCACTAAATGGAATCCCCACATCCCAATTAGCAATCATCTATCTATCTATCTATCTATCTATCTACAGTAGATCATCTAAACATATTTTAAATAAACATATATTGATATATTTTCTATTACTGAGCCAGCACTTAGGATGTGGAAGCTTTCCAATCACCATAAAACTAGATTATGCTAGCAGTTTCCTGTAAGGATAAACGTGAATAAGAAATAAGAGGAGCCACTCGTCCTATTTCTTAATACCTCCTATGCCTATCAGCAGGAACGCTAGCTAGGAATTTGCTCTCCTTTAAGTACAAAAGGACTCCAAGGGATTTATTACCTACGATTTAGTACTCTAGTGAATCATAGCACAGCTTTTTAAAAGGAACGGAAAAAGAAAGGCCAAAAGATTTATATCATTTAAAGCATATTAGCATTTAAAATCCTTCACTTGGGAGCTTCATAGCGGATATTCTGTCCTTTTTACAAAATAAATTGCAAGCAATTAATGAGAAAATAAAATAGGCACACTACTATAGTGCTAACTGATCAGCAAGGTGCTTTCTACCAATGGAAATAGGGGTGGTTTTTTTTTTAAAAAAGAAACATTTCAGATTAAAGGTGTGTGTGGTGGGAGATAAGGGCTCATAATTTGATGCCAACAATATCATATGGATACTGCACAGGTGTGTGGTTTAGGGGCATGTCTAGGCAAGAGAAAAGCTAAAAATGAAGTATCCCAAAGAACAGCACTACGAGGCTGGATTTACTATGCTTACCTAAAATAAAATACTATCAGTCCCTTTATACACCATCATAACTGGAATTTCATATATCACTATGGGGCATCATACCCCCCCTTCAGTTTCAAAATATTTATGACACAGTGCCCATGGATGACGTGAAGTGCAAAAGAGTCCCCTCTTTACAACTCAAGCTACCCCTCAAATTATACTCTGTATTAAAACAATTGTATTATTGTACCGTTAACAAAATCCACCTGCAGAAAAAACCAGAAGTTCAACAATGGTAATACCTGCTGTAGGAGAGTTTGCATGATGAGATTTTTTTGGCAAATTAAAGATCTGTTCACCAGGATCAGGCGGTGGAATAGCATCTTGGCCTTGCCGGGCCTCCACTGGATCATATTCTTTCCCATCATAGTTAGCATCAAAGAATTTCTTAAACCACTGTATGAAATCCAAGTTGTCTTGGAAGCGTCCCTTCACTAATTTCTCCACTGGAATAACCTGCACAAAACAAAGCAAGACACACCAGTGATTTAAAGTGATAACTGAGGTGTTTCAGTGCCAATTCATTTAAGGATTTTAAAACCATACATTGTCTAACAAACAATATCCAGTGCCATATATCTTATTCTGTTTTGCTGAGTTAGACGGCAGCCTCATCTTAAGACATCCTCAGAGTAATATTACTTTATTACTTCTGCTTCTGCTGCTACTACTACTTCTTCTTTTGAGATTTGCTAGACAGAGAGAGCATATGTTTTGAAGGGCTGGATAAAAATTGTTCGAATAAATCAATGAAATAAAAATTGAGAAATATAGTGAGCCAGAAAACACATCTCTGAAATATGACTATAAGTTATCCTATCAAAACTATGTCATAACATGTTCTATAGTTACCTTATCCACATTCATTCGTTTAAATGATGCTTGTAGAAGTTTGAAGTTATGAATATATTCATGTTCCAGCTTTGCTTGAAATTTTACTTTCTTCAAGCTAATACAGCCTGGGAACAACATATCCATGAACTGGCAGTAAGCTGCACCTGAAACAAGAACAAGAAAACACAGCATATTAATCACAATGCAAGTCACTGAAATGGTAAACATTTGTTCACAGAAGACAAAGTAACCGGGCTTACAATCTGCTGCTGAAATATTGTGCATGCATAAAATCCATATCTTATCTTGGTACTGAATACATGCAAAATGCAGAGTTATTTTCATCCACTGGGCAAATCTTTTAAGAAGGTTTTCTAGTTAAATCAGCATCATTAACAGATAAGGGCAAACTGGATGGGGAACCACATGTTGAGATTCCTTCACTGCAGGGGGCTGGACTAGATGACCCTCGGTGGTCCCTTCCAACTCTACGTTCTTTGACACATCCATTGGATTTAGGTTCCATTGATTTTGTATGACACGTTCTTCTAAATCATGCATAAAATAGAGGCACAGGAATCTGCAATTAGCAAAGAGGATGCAAGATTGTATGCCTCTGAATCCTAGATGTTGGGGCTCATGAGGGAGAAGGTGCTATTGCACTCATCCTACTTGTGAGCTTCCCATAAGCATCTGGTCAGCCCCTGTGAGAATAGACTGCTGGACTAGATGAGACTTTAGAAGAGCGCTGCTGGATCAGACTAATGCTCTTAGGTTGTGTTTTGCTTACAGCAGGGGTGGGAAGAGGATCTAGCAGGCAGGCAGAGCCTGAGCTCCCCCCATGAGCCGTTGTGACAGGGCAGCTGATCCCAGTGGTTCTTGGCAGCCAGCCCTGCTTGCCAAGGCACAATTGGGAGTGGACTTCAAGCTTCCTGGTGGTTCCTCTGCAGTCACATTTTGACCTGCCCCATCCTATGATGTCAGGTGTACGGCAGGTGACTTGGGGAAAAAGTATCATGGGCCGAACCAGGACCCCCTACAAGGTCTAATTTGGCCCAAAGGCCACAGTTTCCCCATGCCTGGTTTACAGGATGGCATGAGTAGCAAGAAGTGTAAATTTGATCGCAGTTCACAAATTCTAGTCCGTGGCCATCAATTCCAAGAAGCCACTTCCATTGTTAGGAAACCAGGACAAGGACTACTGAGCATAAGGCAAGGATGAAAAGGAGCTGGGAGGCAAAGACACCAAACTGGAGAAGGATCTCCGTTGAAGAGGCAGAAAGGTTCTGCTAGGTTTCTGTTTTTGAGTTCTCAAGATGATGAGCTGCAGTGGGGAGAACGTGCTAGACCATCAAGGGTCAAAGTTTTCCAACTGTCCCACCTCAACCCATTGGCTAGAGATCCTTATAAGAAGGAGCTGCTCCCTAAGGATTTATTCCTGCTCCCTCTCAACATCTTTTTCTTTGGGGGAGGGGGCTGCCCTTTGCCTTTCGTCAGGAATATGAATGAATTCGGCTTTTAGTCATTGTTTCTTAACTATAACATTTTGAAGTATTAATTTTTTTTGTAAGCTGCTGTGGGGTTTTTATTACTTGAATTTTGTATTTATGTGTTACCTTTGTGAGCTGCCTTGGGGGCCTTTTGTGGCCAAAAGATATAGAAATAAATAGAAACAACAGAAACAAGCAATAATGATGGTGGGGTGGCAGATGCTTTCAGCTTGCATACGTATAGATGAGGATCAGAGTTCTCATTCAGACTTCCTCAAACTGGTGCAAGTCCCACCAGTCAGCATTAAAATCCTATACACCATTACATTAAGTTCCACTGAGATTTGTGTATATATTTAGCAAAAGCTCCACTCATCTTTTTTTGTCTTAATTCACTGCTTACAGGTATTTACAACACAAAATGTGTGTGCATGGCTATTGGAACAACTTGTACATGTGTTTGCACCTGCCAAGTTGAATATATACAACTGCGGCACAGACTACTTGCCATTATCAGCACTATTCAATTACGGTAGTGTTCACAGGCCATCATTCCTTGTCCCTTAATATTCGGCTAGCTTTGTTGCCAATGACAGATACTTGTGTTTCTCCCTCTCCCTGGCATCTGTTTTGTCCTTCCTATTCAGAAACCCAATTTCATGATAATCTTCTATACAAATACTGAAGATGGGGAGAAGAGAGAAAGGAGAACTGCAGGCGGTTGACTTATTAACACACACTCACTCTCTCTCTCTCTCTCTCTCTCTCTCTCTCTCTCTTCCCAATTCAAAGTATAATGTTTCTTTAAAGCAGATGTCTGCCTACAGAATCTTTCCGGTTAGTTTACACAAAATGTAGAACACTCCTCAAACCTGATTTGGAAGTAGAACCTGTCATCACATGAAACAGTGAAAAGGAACAACATGTTAAGAGAATACTAATCCACGTTATGGGATTTGGAAGATATGCCCTCAAGAGGCATGTAGCAATAACCCTAGCTAGTATTAAAAGCCATAAGCAAGAGAATCAGAAGAAGAATAACATAATTAGAAGATAACTGCTTTGGAAACTAACCTTTTATGAACCACAAAAATGAGCCCATACCAGGAACTGCACAAACCAAATGTTTGCTTCAGGCACAACCCTCCTCAATATGCTATTTTTGTTAGGAGAGGTAAGTAACAATGACTGTGTTCTCACGTATAATACTAACATGTTTTGTGCTGTCTGAACAATATCTAGTTTAGGCTCATGTATGTCACACTGAACACTCCTTCTCCTACATGGCCAGAAGGACCTGGACATCTGCTGCATTTAGTTTCACTTTCCATGCATCTTAGTTTGTCCTCACTTACAAACCAGAGATCTGTAAACAACTTCTGGTTGAACAAACCAGCTTCATAACCCATGGGTTGAAGTTGACTTGTTTTCAAATCAGCCAGAATTTGTTTTAAACCATGATCTCTGGTTCATAATAAGGCCAGAGTAGGATTCAGGGAGATTGAAACTAAATGCTTCAGAAGTTGTTCACTAAATGTTTTAAAAGAGTTAATGGATTTGTTGTTGTTGTTTTGGGCAATAGAGGTTATTTGTTCTTAAGGTACTTGATTTAGGATTTATGGCATAAGGGTGGATTAAATCTCTAGCTGAGAGAGCACAGGGCTCAATGCTGGAAGTCATTTCCACAAATGGAAGCCATTACCCTTATCATTATTGTGGAGACCGGAACGTCTCACCCTCCAGATGCTGTTGGACCCTAACTCCCATCAGCCCCAGCTGGATGGGCAATGGCCAGGGTTCATGAGAGCTGGAGGCAAGCAACATCTGGAAAACTAGAGGTACCACACCCATGGTGCAGAGAACAGCTGACGTTTCAGAGTAGGAAAACCACAGAACTCTGCACATGATTAAAAGGTACTCTTTCCTTTGTTAGTACTGGACAATTACTGGTATGGAGAAGGAAGCAACTATTTTAAAAATGTTCCAAAAGTTGTCACTGCAAAGGACCCTAACCAGAGCTGTCAGCATTAAATATACTTTTTGGGGGGCATCTTTCTGAAAGTGGTCCAGTATTTCCTTTGATAGCATAATGTGCTTTATTTCCTCTGGGGTATTGATTTAGTCATCAATGTTTTCAATATTTGCAGGCTGGGTTACAGATTGTATTTGCAAACGTGGCTGTGTTGGCTACATGCATGAGTGGTAACTTATTTTTGACCCAATTAGAATGCAGAAATTCTATACTGCTTCTAGAACTGAACAGAAGGCAACAGACAGCAGATTATACCACTGCTAGTCATTACACAGATCTGGCAAACTAACCCTTCCTTTTCGTTAACTTCCATTACATGTTTGTTTACGTAAAAAAACAGAGTCACGGCCTATCAAGTGTCATCACAAAAAGACTCCTTAACTAATTCGGAACAGCAGGCCAAATATTGCTATTTTTGAAGTTTTCGTTTTTTTTCCTTTTTTTAAAAAAAGGAAAGAAACAAAGGGACATAACTGCAGTTTGACCAACTTCACAGTATATACTGTCACTAATACGTACAGCCTTCAGAAGCTGATAAAAGAATAATTCAAGTTTGGTTTAACAATCAATCTCTGTTCACAGGAAATTCTTGGAATTGTAGCTCTGGAAGGGTAATAGGGGGCTCATAACAATTCTCTGAACCTTTACGAAACTACAGCTCCCAGGATTCTTTGGGAGAAGCCATGACTGTTTAAATATTATCATACTGCTTTAAATGTATGGTGTGAATATGGCCTAGGTGTCCAACAAATCTATAGAAACTATCAGGCACAGAAGGCAGATATAAAGTTGGGTAATATATGTATCTCTCCTTGTCAGGCACAGAATTCAGTTTTTATCCCAAAAGACACAGCTTTCTTTAAAAAGACAAATGAACAAACCTGGTGATAATCAGAAAGGGCAGAAGGGTTGCTGAGAACGATTAAGCTGGAAGCAAAGCTCCAGTTCCCTTTATAACACTTTACTATGACTGGTAAGAGTAGAATAAATAGAAAAAACAGAACAGAATCAGCATGCTGCATTATGTTAAGGGTGTGCAAATTTGCTTAACATGCACCATCTAAACAGGATGAGGAATTCAGCCATGATTGGCACAGAATTTGTGTTACCCGAACACATGATATACACTGTCTAGATTCGATTAAACTTTCTGTTACGCTGCTAAGAGTTCTATCTGTCTGATGCTATTCTGATTCACTAAATTGTACATGGAAACTGCTGTATGTATGTGGCTGGTTGCAATGGGAGGGGTGTGCGCGAGAAGGGCCTTGACACATCATTCCTTACATCTCTCTTCAGCACCACTCCCATGGCCCAGAAAATTTTTAGTGTCACATTGCTTCTTCCCCCTGTTAGATTCAGCTCAGGTATGGTGAGGGAGTTCTCCCCCTACGCCCAATTAAGTAAGACAACATGGCCTTGTTAGCTTAGGAGTCACGTTTGTTGCACCTTTGCAACAAAGCCAAAACCTGGCAGCTGATGTTGCTATGACCTCTGAGTGTCTCTCATGTTCATCTTTGTGGGTATGTGGGTGTGTCAGAAGAGATCCCAGACAACTGGCTTTTGAGCACGAATTATTTTTCTATCAAGAATACATGCACACACACACACACACAGTTTCCAAACAAGAACATGGTATAGTTGGTAAGCTGGGGACAGCACACCCAGTACTCCTACTGTCAGGGACTGGGCAGAGGAGGAGTAATAGTGGAGGCCGCCTCCCCATCCTGACCCTTCCAGGGAGGAGGAGGAGGAAGACAGTATAGATTTACAACAAGGGTTTGAAGGAGGTCATAGCTCAGAGGCAGATGAAGGGAAAAGTTGGGAAATCATGGGAGAGCCAAAATACACCCAGCTGACATGGTGTCATTAGAAAGCATTCCAGACCCTCCATCTCCCAGAACCTGGCAAGCCTTAAAAATAGGAGAGCAGAGAACTCAAAGACAGAAGGCATGTAGCAGCACCCGTAGAGATGATTATGATGATGACAATGAATGAGGAAGTGGGAGAGAGGGGGGGAGGAGGTTCACTCAGGACACTGCCATTATCCAAGAGGCTGGGTTCTACAGCCTCTCTCTGTAAAGTTTGAAATAAAAAAAGGACTGTATGAATCTTTTCCTTGTCTTTATACTTTCCTGAGCAAGCAGCCAGCAGCCACTGACAGCATCCTGACACCTACACCTCTTGCACTGCTGGTAAGTGCAGCCAGAGCTCAAAACGCTGATCATCAGTCTGGGCAGGGGCGAAATCTAAGCTCTTCTTCCTTCTGTTCTCTATGTAATCAGTGAAGTCAGAACTGACATAGTTTGCCAGCTGACTGATGGGTGGAGACAGGAATATCCTTGCGGATTAAGTGAGTACATAACTATGTGTGAACACTTTTGGATGGAGGCCCATATCACCATATAAAAGATGTGCTTATCTGAATACACAACTTGCAAATACTTTCTTGTTGAAATAAAAGTTACTGCCTTCACTTTAATGCATCCCACTCCTTCACATGTATGACCAGTTGCATACAGAAAGCTATTTCCCAAAAGAACTATAATATAAAATGGTCTGGACATCAGAATCTTAGGAGTCTACTAGGTAGCAGCTGAGGAACAAGCTCTCTACAAATTCACAGATGGGACCCACACAGCAGCATCTTGCAATAAAGTATGCATGATGTTACTTTTTTGGCAAGAACAGAAATAGCTGCAGAGCAAAAGCAGATTTGTTTCACAGTGACAACATTCCAAACTTGTGAAAGAAACTTGTTAACATTTTTAGTTATGAAAGCTACTTTGGGTTAAACGTTTGGTTTTGATTTCTAGATACTTAGTTGGACAATGAGTTTCGAGAAAGAGCACTGTATGTTGTTTACAAGTTGGTGTAATGGGTTTTCCTACCCCACCCCCCAACTCGACTCACACATATGAAAACAAGTTTCACCAAGTTCAGAGGCTGCACACAGCTAAAAAACTGTATCAAATATACATACATATGGGAAATCTTTGGCTCTCCAGATGTCGCCAAAGTACAACTCCCATCATTCCTGGCCAATGACCATGCCAAGTCAAGTCAGATCAAGTCGTTTTATTATGGCCAATGACCAGTATCAAGATAAAAATACCAATTACAAAATTTAAAAGCTCAAAGCGGTTAGAATGTCTTATTACTTCAACTAATTGGGAAATGTATTTTTTAAACTTATATTCAGATACTATTTCTGGAAAAGAAGATCCTGGCCATCTTAAGGACCATCTCCCAATATGGCAGCCTGTATCTGTGTCTGAAATTTATAGTCTTGTAGCCCAACTAAAATCAGGGAAGTCCCCAGAGCAGAATTTAATCCCACCACAAGTTATTAAAAACAATTTGGGCTTCTGGGCTCCTATTCTGGCCTCTCTCTTTATTTGCATCAATCGATATGGACAAGCTCCCTTCGATTGAAGATTGGCAGTTATAGTTCCCATTTTCAAAAAAAGGTCAAAGAACGATCTGGCAAACTACAGACCAATTTGTCTACATAATACCATTAGTAAGTTCTATGCAAGACACTTACATAGGAAACTCTTGGACTGGCTGGAGCAAGAGAACATTATAGCAGACAAAAAAGCTGGTTTTAGGAAAAAGTGATCTATTATCGATCAGTGTTTCATATTATATCATTTGATTAGAAAATATTCCTCTAGTGCAGTGGTTCTCAACCTGTGGGTCCCCAGATGTTATTGGACTACAACTCCCATCATCCCTGAGCTCTGGCCTTGCTAGCTAGGGGTGATGGGAGTTGTAGTTCAATAACATCTGGGGACCCACAGGTTGAGAAAGGCTGCTCTAGTGATACAACCTCTCTATATGCTGCCTTTATGGACTTTAGAGCAGCCTTTGACTCTATATCCTGACCCACCTTGTGGGAAAAACTGGATACAGTGATGCCCCGCAAGATAAATGCCTCGCAAGACGAAAAACTCGCTAGACGAAAGACGAAAGCTGCTTCGCAAGACGAATTTCCCTATGGGCTTGCTTCGCAAGACGAAAACGTCTTGCAAGTTTGTTTCCTTTTTCTTAACACCGTTAATACAGTTGCGACTTGACTTCGAGGAGCAACTCATAGAACGCTGTGTGGTAGCCTTTTTTGAGGTTTTTGAAGACTTTGGCGATTTTTGAAGCTTTTCCAAAACTTCTTTTGCAGCCATCTGGTAAGTTAAATTTTTAAAACTTTTTTTTGGGTTTTTGGATTTTGGGTTGGGGTGTTTGGAATTCAAGGACTTGGTGTTGGGGAGGGGTTTGCAAGAATCTGGGAGCTTGTGTGGTTTTTTTTGAATTTTTATGATTTTCTGTGACCATTGGGCCATGTTGTTTTTTTTAAAAAAAAAATTCTGGGTTTGAATTTCTGTGTGGTGGCTGGCTGGGGGAACAGTTGGGGAGGGGTTTGCAATTTCTGTGTGGTGGGTGGGTGGCTGGGGGAACAGTTGAGGTTTTTGAAGACTTTGGTGATTTTTAAAGCTTTTCCAAAACTTCTTTTGCAGCCATTTGGTAAGTTAAACTTTTAAAACTTTTTGGGGGGTTTTTGGATTTTGGGTTGGGTGTTTGGAATTCAAGGACTTGGTTCTGGGTTTGAATTTCTGTGTGGTGGGTGGCTGGGTGCTTTTGAATTTTTTGGATGTGAAGCACTGATTCTTTTTTTTTCTGAGTTTGCGAAGGTAGGAGCTGTGCTGCCATGGGACCCAAGAAGACTGCTGCTGCAGAGGCCGGCGAGAGGAAGAAGGAGAAGGTGACGCTGGAAATGAAGAAGGAGATCATCCGGAAGCACGACGGTGGAATGCGTGTGACAGACCTCGCCAGGGAGTACGGGAGGAATCCATCGACCATCGGGACCATCCTGAAGATGAGGGAGAAGATCCTTGCGACTGATGCAGCCAAGGGAGTCACCAGGATCGTGAAGAACCGCCCAGCTGTTCTGGAGGAGGTCGAGAAGTTGCTACTCATCTGGTTAGAAGAGAAGCAGCGTGCAGGGGACACAGTGACTGAGGCCGTCATTTGTGAGAAGGCCAAGGCCTTGCACGCAGACCTCATCCGGGAACAGCCAGGAACCTCAGGCGAGCCAGAAGTCTTCAAGGCAAGCAGAGGTTGGTTTGACCGGTTCAAGGCAAGATCTGGAATCCACAGCGTGGTCAGGCATGGAGAGGCTGCCAGTTCTGATGTTTCTGCGGCTGAAGACTTTGCAGCGGAGTTCCTGGAGGCTGTGAAGACGGAGGGCTACGTTCCACAGCAGGTCTTCAACTGTGACGAGACCGGGCTGTTTTGGAAGAGGATGCCCAAAAGGACTTTCATCACACAGGAGGCGGCCAGGTTGCCTGGCCACAAGCCCATGAAGGACCATCTGACCCTGCTCTTCTGTGCCAACGCAAGCGGCGACCTGAAGATCAAGCCCCTGCTGGTGTACCACTCGGAGAACCCACGGGCCTTCAAGAAACACAAGGTCGACAAGGAGCAGCTGAGTGTCATGTGGCGATCCAACAGTAAGGCTTGGGTCACACGTGTGCTGTTTGTGGACTGGGTCAATCTTGCTTTTGGCCCTGCTGTCAAACAGTACCTGCTGGACAACGACCTGCCGCTGAAGGCTTTGCTTCTGATGGACAATGCTCCTGCTCATCCTAAAGGCCTTGAGTTGGACTTGTTGGAGGAGTTCAGCTTCATCAGCGTCATGTTCCTGCCGCCTAAACACCACGCCACTGCTCCAGCCGATGGATCAGCAGGTCATTGCCAATTTCAAAAAACTCTACACCAAGGAGCTTTTCGGGCGATGCTTCGAGGTGACTGATTGCACCACCATCACCCTGCGGGAATTCTGGAAGGACCACTTCGACATCGTCACCTGCTTGAAGATGATCACCACGGCCTGGAACGGGATCAGCCAGAGAAATTTGAATTGCGCTTGGCGCAGCCTGTGGCCGGACTGTGTGTCACCAAGTGACTCTGATGCACCAGAGTCAACAGTGGTGCAGGACATTGTTGCCTTGGGGAGGACCATGGGCCTGGAGGTCACAGAGGAGGACATCAGCGAGCTGGTGGAGGAGCATGACCACGAGCTGACCACCCAGGAGCTGGTCGAACTGCAGGCAGAAGCTGCGCAGGAGCAGGCCTCGCTGGAAGAAGAGGAAGCAACTGAGGAACGGCTGTCCTCCAAAGAACTGAGGGACATTCGCCTGAAGTGGAAGGATGTGCAGGCTTTTGCACAGCGGCACCACCCTGACAAGCACGTGGCACATGACCTTGTGAACACTTTTGATATGAGGGTCATGTCGCCTTTCAGGGAGGTGCTGAAAAGGCGGATGAAGCAGCAGACCATGGACAGGTTCTTCAGCAAGCAGCAAAGAGTGGAAGAGGAACCTTCTTCGAGTTGTCCCCCAGAGTCTTAGAAAATGTACTGTACACTTTGTTGATTTTTAAATGTTTTTCTGTCATGTTTAGAAACTTAATTCATTGTTCCTTCAATTTTTGAAATGCTCTTTACAGTACGTGTGACTTTAAAGAGCACTTAATAAACTCTTGTTGTACCAAATTTGGCTTTGTTTGGACTTTTTTTGACCATAGGAACGCATTAATTGAATTTCAATGCATTCCTATGGGATTTCGTGCTTCGCAAGACGAAAAATTCGCTAGACGAAAAAACTCGTGGAACGAATTAATTTTGTCTTGCGAGGCACCACTGTACATCTTTGATCAACAGACAGTTACCCTATCTAATATGAACGTTACACAAAGGGACTTCTCTTAAAGTAAGATATTCTCCCCAGGGGTCATCTTACTAGAGCAATTAAAACTGAGAAGGGAATTAAGCAAGGCTGCATACTGGCATTGGTCATTCTTTCTGGGGCTGATGGAGTCACAGTTCAACAACAGCTGAGAGCCCAAAGGCTCCCCAGACCTGTCTAGATTTTGCTAATGTGATCAGAATGTAGAGGCCTATCTGAAAAGCAAGATAACCACATCCCTATAGATCTTGTGATTAATTTCAGGAAGTAAATTTACTGAAATAGAAGTATGGCTCGAGGATTTGCAGATAAGCAGCAATAATCACAAGAAAGTCAATACAGTAAAATAATTAAAAATCTGTAAACCAATGCAGCCTACGTAAAGAAGCAAGATCTGTTTAATCTCACTCTGCCTTGATCTAAATACTCAGGAGAGCAAAGTGTAACCAATTAACCAAACATATCGCACAGCCTCCATTCCACAGCTATAGAGAGAATGTTCTTTCAATTAAAAGTACATACTGCTTTCACTCCATGAATTCACATTACAATTTTAATCTGGAACATAACTGGATCCTTAAAAAAAAAAAAAAAGCTAACAGTGCAGTCAAGTTGTTTAACCTTTGATGATCTGCTGCTATAACTATTGAGAAATAAGAATATGTGAAAGGCTTTAGAAAGACACCACAGGCACTATAGAAGTAAAATTACAGCAAGCAACATATAAACAGAACTGCAGGGTTCTGCTAAGGAAATGTCTGGACAATCTGGATTTCTGAAGTGAGTATCTGCCAAAGCTTCTGGATCAGAGCAGAAACAATCACAGGGCCTTGCTAAATATGTGCTGAGTCATCTAATAAGATGCATTGCAAATCAACTAAGCCAAACCATGGCTTAGTTTGAACACCTAAATTTAAGTGTTCATGGAGACAAGATGGCAGCCTTCAGCAGCCCTCCTGCTAAGTTAAGCTAAGGTTTGGTTTAGTTTGTTTTCCAAATCTGGGCTTGTGGTTTTCTCCTTCCGGGACATACCATGAGCCCAGGTTTGGACAACACACTAAACCAGACCATGGCTTAGATTAGAACAGCACGGCAGTAGCAAGAATGGGGGAGTAAAATGACCACAACCTCCTCTCCAGCAGCCCATGCATTTGCCGGTTCGATTTCAATTGCTGTTCCACCTAAGTGGTATCTCAAGTCTACAATCCAAATTTAGCCTTATCTGAATGTCATTAGCACCCCTACTGTAAACTACAACCCAAAATTAAAATATTAAATGGGAAGCAATCTAGATTTGTGCTAGAACTCAGCTCCAGAATCTGTTTTCAACACCAGGACTTCTGGATGCATATCAAGGAAGAATAGCCACACCAGGAATTAGGCAATATGTGTATTATGACATCTGTATTGTTCTCTGCCTTGAATCCCATTTTGCCATTTGCAATAATGGCAATAGTTTTGTCACTCTGTCTTCTCTGCCAGCCGTTGCATATCCTCTGCAGAGATGTATCCTGGGTTCCTCTATAATCCATGCTTATCCAGGAGTAAATCTTAAAAACTCCATTTTGAAAACGAAGGTGCAATTTTCTTACACCCACAAGTTTCATGCTAACTGGAAACACATCTTGTTTTATCTTTTCTTTTTGCCATTTAATACTTTTAAAGGAGTGCCCCTAGATGCCACTGAAAGAAAATACCTAGGGTAAAAGCATGCAAAGGAAAAGCTGCTTACAGGCTATCTATTCTTCTTGGTTGTGTGTTTGTCTCTGCTAAGTAGGCAGAATGCAGAACAGGGTTCCCTGTGCTTTCTGACAGCCCACTTAACAGTTATGTGCCAAATGACCTCAGTTCTAAATTTAGCATGCAGATCTACTGACACTGATTTGTGAAAATGAAAGCTAAAGTCTTTTCCATGCATAGAAAGGCCTAACATTCTTAATTCGGGGTGTGTGCATGTTCTCATTGAGAAATGGATTTTTTTTGTCCCTAGGCAATAGGGTTGGGTCCTGTATATATCCATGCACTTTTGGGAAAACCTGAGTAAGAGTATTCCAATTACAGCTGAACAGGGTTGTTCAAATGCACAGAATGGAATGCAAAATCTTAAGAGACAAATAATTGTTCTCATAAGGGATGAATGAATCTGTCAGTTTCTTCTTTTGCTAATCCCAAGCTCAGATATCAGGAAAGTTCATATACATTTAGATAAGCATTTCACCTAATACACAGTTTCGTGAGCGATTTTTTTCATTATAGTGATTTTTTTTTTACAACCCCTCCCCAATGTATACATTTTTATACACACTTTTGGTTGGAGAACTGCACTGCAAAATCCAGAGAAGCACAATTTTAAAAAAATGAATATAGCTGTGCTTTGGTTTGCATATTGGTTTCAGAAGTGCATGTCAGGTAGATTTGCATTCAAAATTAAACTGGACAAATTTCTGCTCCATTTCTAGTTTTTATCCCATCAATTATTTCAAGTAATATGTTACTGGACAAACATTTTATTTTGTATTGCCATTGTTTTTGATTTTTTTCAAATGTTTTGATCCCCCCTTATTTTAAATTAGTCCCATAGCTTGCATTTTATTAAGTTATTTATAATTCGGACAAACTAACCCTTCATTCAAAAGTTGAATTTCCTCCTGCCTTTTAATTTTAGATTGCTCTATACCAGGCATAGGCAAACTCAGCCCCCCAGATGTTTTGGTACTACAACTCCCACGATCCCTAGCTAACAGGACCAGTGGTCAGAGATAATGGGAATTGTAGTCCCAAAACATCTGGAGGGCTGAGTTTCCCTATGCCTGCTCTATGCAGTCAAACCAAAGTCTGAATGTGCCACTCTTTCTTCTAGAGCTCCCTTCCTACCCCAGCAGACTTACCAGCTCTTGAAAAACAAAAATCTAGCACCTGTGTGTGGTACAGGTGTGGCCACCAGGCATGAGAGTGTTTATATAACTACACAGCTATTTCATGTACACACATACCAGATGTATAACACACATCTATGCAGAAATCTATTTTAAAAATGTAATGCTTTGAAGGAGGGCAAAGGAGTATCCAAAGATGAATCCATGGCCAAGAACCCAAATCACATGCAGAGTTCACCTACGAAAATGAACCAGGCTAGATTACAGATGAAGACCACATGCAAGGTGTAATGTGGTCATGAAGTAATATACAGATCAAGTATTTACCCACTGTACACTGCTCTTCAAAAATAAGGACACACACATGGATGTGTTTTCTCACACTGCTCTGATACACAAACTCCCTTCCTCCCTCTGTCTCAGTATCTCTCACACACCCACACTCAAGGAACTTGTTCCTGATTTAGCTGCTGCTACTTATTCCTTGCCCCTTTTCTGTGTTGCTGCTTGTTCATTCAGAAGGGTACTCTACCTCGAAAAGGTTGCTGGGCTGGCCATAACAGCAAGCTCAAACCTCAGCCTCCTGTAGGGGGCCAGAGCAGTAAATGAGCAAGGCTGCTAATCTGGCTCCCTTTTTTGCTATCACTTGTGAGGGAGTGACTTAGGATAGAAGACAACCACTAGGAGTGATGCAGTACAGCGGTACCTCCGCTTGTGCTCGGGATCCATTCCAGAGCTCCGGTTGGATCCTGAGGTGTGCGTATCTGGAGTTGTTGCTTCTGCGCATGTGCACAGTGCGCAAAGCGCTTCTGCGCATGTGTGCATGGCAAAACCCAGAAAAATACTTCCGGGTGTGCTGCGTACGTATTCCAAAGGATATGTAACCAGAGGTGAACGTAAGTAGAGGTACCACTGTATTTGATAGTCGTTTCTCACATCTGCACAACTAGGGATGAGGTGAGCAGTCAAAGCAGAGGTGCTTGAATATGTAGGTATCCCTGCTCAAAAGAATGAGTTGGCATGGAGCAAAGAGCAACTCACCACTTAAGACCCCCTAGTCCCAAGGCTCTTCAGTGCTGGGTCACTTTTACTACACTTACCAGCTATTTTAGAAGTGTACAGTGGATTTAAGTGTGCTTACAGAAATCAGAGGGGGATCGCCATTGATTTCAAGTGATGGGTGGGGGAAGATACGAGACTTTAACCTGCTGCATACCCTCAAAGGGCTAGTTGCAGGGTAGCATCAGAAGCAACTCACCCCTGAAGCTTTGGGCAAATCTGTGTATTGAAATGAATGGGGATATTACACCTCCATTGATTTCAATGGGAACACCAGGTTCTTCCAAGCATTGTTTTCTGAGCACTTTTTTCTGTAAACAGTTGAAGGAAGTTGTCACAAAACCATGAACAATTGCAGGCGGACAACTCTTTGAAATGCTTGTGCATCCTTACTACAACACACACATACAGCTTGGCCTCTGGTTCATCATGAATGCAAAGGCAAAATAAATAAAACTAATATTTTTTAAAAGCAAAAATTGGACAGGCATGGCATTACTGACTTTTCATATATTTTTCAAAACAAGGGGCCTTCATACCTGCCAGGGTGGTTGCTTTCTGGTTAGTTGCCAACGTATTTCCCCAAATATAAATCCAGAATGCCACAACACTTCAAGCATTTTATACAATCCAATTATCTGGCTTGTTCTGAAGTTCACTGTTAATGCTAAGAAATGCTCCTGAATATTGCAGTGCTTCCCACACTCTCTCTTGCCCTTTGAAGTCTCCTGTAAATGCAGATATTTTATGGGGGCTAATGTTACGCTGCATGAAGACTGGAAACGCTTCAAGGAACACTCGTTTTTAAAAGGGGGGAGGGGAAGGAAGGAAGGAAAGAAGGATAAAAGACCAAATTAGATCAGCATAGCAGTTCAAAGATCTGCAGAGTACTACTGAATGACCCGCATACAGCTGGCTATTCGTCTGAAATCATTTCTTTGTCTTGTTCTAGCTTACAAATGTGCTTAAGTAGAAACAGTGAGACAACCTGAAATACAGTACTGCAGAATTTCATTGGAACTCCCAAGAATCCTAGCCTTCATTGGGAAAGGTTTCTGACCCTCATGACTTAAAAAAGAAACAGGATGCAATACCATGGTTTCAGAACCTGGCAAAACACAGTAACCGTAAGGTTAATCATGGCTAAGGTTAACACCAGTAGTGCCAGTGCTTCCCCTTTCATGGGATTAAAAGGCAGGGGGAAGGTAACACACAAAAGACCAGGAAGAGACAGGGAATGAGCATTCTTGAGCTGGGTCCCCCATGATTCATAGGGAGTGATTTGCGCATGCAGTGAAGGCATAAAAAGGGGGCTCCCATTAATAATAATATTCAGATAATTTCACCTTCAAGAATTGATTCCAGCTTTCAGTTGTTTTAATAATAATAATAATAATAATAATAATAATAATAATATTGTAGATTTAGAGTACGTGGGGGTAATCTAAATATGAAACTTGGCAACAATCATGATGATACTACATTAATAACATCCATATTCAGTAGTTCACTATCTATATCTAACACAGCTCTAAAGTTTGACACAGAGTATGGGCTCTTTAAGGACAAGTTGCCCTCACATGTTCTAAAAGCCAACATTTTAGGGCATGCGACTCTTAACAATCAATGGTTTGCTTGTTTGCTTGTTCGCTTGTTTTATTAACTTTCTATACCACACTTCATCTGATGATTACAGGGCAGCTTACAATATGAAAACACAAAAATGCATAACATATATTATGAAATAGCACCTTATACTTTTATTGCAATCATTATGTGGTCTTCAGCAAGCATGGTAAAGTCTTCAGATACCACAGAACAACATTACAGCTGCTAAGTGCAAACACTCCATCAGGAAATTTTATGTGAAGCAGGGTAAGAAAGCAGACAACTTTAAAACCGGTTAGGGTTTTCTCCATATTTACACCCCACTATCTAAATACAAGAACAATGGAGAGTAACAGTTACAGGTGTGCAGGTCAGAAATAAAAGCAAAATAAATAAATGAAAGCTATGAAATTGGTGAATAAGGACAACTTACTAGAATTCCAAGAAACCGAAGTAAGGCTATACTTTCCTTGTAACATGCACTAAAATCATTATTAAAAAGATGATGGAGGAGACGCCACAAAAGAATTATCTGCTTATCACATGTGACCAAGACAGGCAGAGCCACATTTACCATTCCACTGTTCAAAGCCCTTTTGCCCTAGAAAGTCTCGATCGATATATGGCATTGCCACAACCCAAAGATGCAGACCCTTGTTGGATTGAAAGCATGGCTGCAGCATGACTACTCAAGCTCAAAGCTAAACAATATATCAAAGACTGAAGCAATTCTGCTAGACATTCCTGCCAGCTAGTCTTTGATTCAGCAGCAGATCAATGTCCCAAGGTGCCAAAGAATGCACATCAAACAGAGCTACATGCAGGTTCACTTGGAAAAAGTCCCTCATCTCAACTTGTTGCTTGAAACCTTGGAAAGAGAGGTCTACAATCTACACAACAAGACAACCACCCTACTTTCTGTACCAAAATAAAATGTAACATTTCAATATTACAAGGTTCCAAGTAACACAAATGGATTAACGTTATCCTGTACTGTATTGTTCCAGTACATTATAAAGAGACTCCATTTCTCTGTAAGACATTATCTTGCTGTCTACCCTCCTCTGGTTCTAACCATTTGTCTGATGATTTTTACCATGCAAATGATGTCCAAGATTTTAGTTGTCCATTCTCTCATAGATGGGGTTCTCTCCCCTATGCCCCTCCCCCATTTTGACAAATGATAAAGTATAGGTAAAGTATAGTGCATTACTACTTCGATTTCCACAGATCAACTTTTCAAATAAAGGTGCGAATTTGTGATTCACACAGTATTTATTATATTATTTATATATTCATTTACAGACTGCCCTTCATCTAATTAGGATCACAGCGATGTTCACATTACAGTAAAAAAGCACTACACATAAAGTTCTTAACCAGTAAAGTTCAGATCGAAACAGCAATTGGCAACTAATGTCAAAATAGCTCTGTAATTTACTCAAGTCCATTCTATAGATTTGAATATTTAGAGAGCTAAATAATGGTTTTTTAAAAAAATAAAAATAATGTGTATCCTTTAAAATGAATAACATCATGTAAAAAACAACGTAACACAGGCAAAAATACAAATATATGTGTTTGATACCGAGAAAGCTTTTATTCTTCTTCATTATTATTTACAGTATGTCTACACCACTTTTCAGGCAGACCACTGATACAATGTTATTGATAAAATACCAGTCTTTAAAAAAAGTTGCATCTTACCTGAACATAGTTGTTCAACTTTTGTGTAGTTTAAAGCTACTATATCGTTCACCCATGCAATGATGTCATGTCTGCTCATAGTCTCTTGGGTTATAGAGGTAGAATACACGTTGACCGCCATTCCCCAACTGCAAAATCAAATAAGCAGATATATAAGATTGGTTATAATTCTTACGAGGCGCATGCCATCAACAATGTAATTCTCCCCTTACAATCTTCATGTCATAGAGGTCCTCTTAAGAGCTCCAAGCTCAACTTTTGTTATTATTGAAACAGCATACAAATATAAAATCAAATCATATTTGAAAAACATTGTAAAGATTCTGGTTAGCACATCCTGAAACACTTTTAAGAAAATTAGCATTTAGGGTATATATTACGCCTCTAGGCACTTATCTCTTGGAAATGCTAAGTCACTGCATCACATAAAATTGCAACAAGATTCATCTAATGAAAAGTGAGCCAGCCCTCTCTTAAGAAGGCTTTATCAGGAAGCTGAAACACATGTGTCAATCCCAGCGCCAATTTTTCACAGGAAAATGAGGCGTTGCATCTTTTTGTAATTGGTGTTTGACCAGAGACAGCATTTCAATGCATTCTTATCCTGAACTCTCTCCCAAAAAAGCAACATTTAATAGGTGTAGCATGCATTTTCTTACTGTGCATATGGGTTTTTAACAGCATTCAGATCTTTATCTTATACTGGGACTTATCCCCTGTATCAGCTGGTTTGGTAAATTATCTGTGTTACTTGGGAACTGGACTTACAGATTTACTAAGATGTGCTTATATTTTGAAATTCTGAAAGCATTCGTAAAATTAGGAGTGAGATGACAAGCACCACTGAAAAGTATGTAAATATAGTGCATTATAAATGTGTAGATGAGCTTTCTTGTTGTAGCACAATTTTTTTAAAAAGGATGCTATGAATGGTGGCTACATGGTAGCATTTGCTTTTTGCTCCAGGAGAACTCTGTATCAGGATTACATAGTGGGATCAGAAACAAGGCTATGAGAACACAAAATGCCCAAATGATGCTTCAGGGGTGGGGACACTTTTTCAGCCCTTTTTTTTTTTTGTAGGCAACCTCTGAGAGCGAAGTCCCAGTTGTGGGCAAAACAATGGATGTGACAATAGGATATGCAAAAGACAGAGGTGTCTTCATTCTCCCTTGCCTCCATTTACACATCTCTGCATCCTCCTCCTAGACAAACAGGAGCCATTATAATAGTTCCAGGACAGAGTAACAGTTGAAGGAAGATGTGGCACAGGACTAGTGAGGAGCATTGTTGGGGTTGAGGGTTGGGGGTAGTCCTGAGGGCTGAGCACAGAGGACTGGAGTATTTCCCACTCCATTCTAGTTCTTGGCAAGGATGGGGGGAAATCACATGTGACAAGTAGTATCTATGGACATAGTCAAACTGATGCTTTGCATACTTGAGACAAAAGGAATTTGGCTCTTCAGATATTCTTCATGTCATCAATTCCTCAGCCCCCAAATTTGCAGAGCAGCCTTTGGCCTTCAACTTACTCAAAGCAGACCCATTTAAATCAATGAACATGCCTAAGTTAGGTCCATTAATTTCAATAGGTCTACTAGGAGGAAAAATCAGTTGAATACCACCCTGTGCCAAATGACCATACCCAGCAACAAATGATTGATTTAGCCAACCGGAGATTTTAAAAAATAAAATAAATAAAAGATAATGCATTTGAACTGAGCTGGAAACAACTAACAAGATTTTACATCATGTTTATATTATTTTTATTAGCAAACATGTGTTCTGCACAATCTTGCACACACATTACTGGCAACCGATTAATATTTTATTTACCACAGGAAAATGCAGTGATTCTGCCTGTGGGGCAAGACCCCGTGAAGCGGAGTTAGTAGCCTGAATAAAGAGAATGAAAACATTAAATATATGTGTATGGATAAGGTAAGCTGTTAAAGCACCTTTTGCAAAAGCATGTGCACATGTGTGCGGGCACACACACACCCCTACAGACAAGGTTTACTGGAAGAAATGGTCAGGTTTTAAAAAAATAAACGCTGCTTACAATTAAGCAACATATTCATATTCTGACACCACCACTATGCTCCATTAATGAGCTAAACTGGCTCAAGGCTAATATCAGATTGCCTGCCTGTCACTCTTCTTTCTTCCTCTAACACTCTTGCCATTTCCTTTTTCAGCTGCTTTGATCTGGGTGGGCTTTTCGGATGGTCTGGGTTAACACCAGGAGAAAAACTGGGTCATCTCAGCTCACTCTGTGTGTCTCTCTCCCCCCCCCCCCCATTCACAGCTCAGCTGAGTCTCACCCTTTTAGCCTGACATATTACAAGCATCATTCATCCTGGAGAGTGGAGGAGAGAATGAGAAAGAATTTACATTTCAATCCCCTGACTGCCCTCAAGATTATTGCCTTCTGTGTTTTACGTCTGTACATACCAGTCTCTTCAAGTTGTTTTGTGACAAGAGCTAATGGGATTTCTGCAACTGCATAGGGTGACAAGATACAGTCTGAGTAGCTGCCGGTTTCTCACAACTTGTGGGGGTCTTGTAATAAGATATATTTTATTTCCATAGGTTGGCATGACTAAGGCCATGTTCACATGACTGCTGACTCCACATCCAGTGTGCTCCCCAATGTTGTTGTTTTTTTAAGGGGGTAGACTCGTTTTTATTTTACTTTCCAGAACAGCACCTTTCTCATTTTCGTTTCCAAAAGAGGGATTACAAAAAAAAAAGAAAAGAGATATTCGGACCCAGGTGTCGCAGGAAAAAAGAGCAACGGGCCAAGCGCTTCCAAAGGCTGTTGCCTCAAGGCTGGGACGCTTCGACCTTCCCAAGGAATTGCCAAGGTGAAACTGTTCCTCTGACAAAAGAGAGGTGTGGGTCGGGCCTGCGTCATTGCTCCTTGACAAACTGCCCATGGAGAAGGTAAGGAGACTAGAAGTTATGCTGGCAGTTTGAATAAGCCATTCTTAAACCCATTCCTGACCCAAGAGTGATGGGCCACATCGTGCTTTTGAAGATGATGACCGAGAAGACAACACCCAACCCAAAGCCAGCACCCAGCTTGACGGTGGAGTCAGCCAAGCACCGGTCCCACTACCTGCCCAAATCACCCTCCGACGCCATCTTGGCCACCGCCTCCTCTGTGCTCCCCAATGTTAATTTTGGAAGCAGCCTTCACACATTAGCCACAATCCATACTGATCCTGCAGTCTGACAAATACTGCTGTTTGATGCATTTATTTCTCAAACCAGCTTCAGTTTGATTAGAATACTGGATGCAGAGCACAGATGACAAGCTTAATGAACAGGAGTTCCCAGAGATCTCCAGAGGTGGGGGAATCAAAAAGGTCATGCACATCAGGTGAAGACATCCCTGCTCCATCTCTGATATGAACAATGTGGCTTGAAACAAACAGGGGTGGGGGAACGAGCTCACTGTGTTTCAAGCTACTAATGTGAACATGCCCTCCTAAGGCTCAGCTGATTGCTGCCATGTTCTCTGGCCTTAATGCCCACTGTCTCAAAGGGAAATAAGGGAGGAGACAAGACAGAGAGCTATCCTCCGCACTGCACAACCTGTCAGGCCAGAGGACATGGCTTTACCCAGCTCCTCAGATTCTGAGAATACCTTCCTCTCAATGGTCTCCTCACTACCACCATGCCATAGGAACCAGCAAAATTGAACAATGGTCTTTTAAAAAACTGACTACTCTTCAGAAGGGCAGGGTTAACCGCAGCTCCAGACCAGCGAACCTTCATAAGGCCTAAGCATGTCAATGAGACAACAGTTCTCCTTGTATGAGTTCCAGCCAGCATCTGTCATAGTCCATGATCTTGACAGATCATGCTCTGCACTGCCTATCATGATCCTACATAGGGAAGGGCCAAGGCAGCCTATCCAACAACAGCCTGCTCCTCCAGTAAGTGCCGCAGCTTCAGCTCAGCCTCCCTTGTAATACTTGAACCAAGCTAGGACAGGCTTACCACCCTGCCTTTGAGAACCACACTGGGACAGTGTATATTATTGGTCAGGGCTTCTTTGATATCTTCACTATATCTGGGAACCCATAAGAAAACGAGACATAAGGCTGTTATGGGTTTCCAGGTTTTCATGCCACTGGGCATTAGTCACCTCAAATAACTCTGCTGACAGTCCTGTCTGGTTGACTTTGTTGGAGTGTAGTTTTTCTGCACTGGACCGTTTCCTGTCTGAGTTATATTTACATTACAGATACATAAAGTAGTGGCCAAAGTTCAAATTTGTCCTTTGTCTCCTATTTCTTTCCTGGGTCCTGGACCAACAGCAAATGAACTGGGTTCCTACAGGGAATCAGGTTCAAACAGGAGACCCAGATTCAAAAGCTAGTTTAGTCATGAAGTTCATGCGTTACCTTTCACAAGTCCAGATCTAAATCTTATTGCTCAGGCTATTTGCACAGACAGGCAATAAAAACAAGACAGGTACACAAAAACAAATTGATCTATACTATGGTATGATTAAAAGTTATAATACCCTAGTCTTTTTTGTGGATGAAAAGTATATGTATGTACATATACTGTATTGCAACTCAGCCTAATCCACTGTATGAGAAGTCTAAAATAAGGTTGTAATTTGAGACACATTAGATTTGTTGTTCAAGTTTTTTTTAAAAAAATCATCTAAAAGATTTATATACCATCCCATCAGCAAGTTTCCAGGGTGTTTTTCAAAAGCAAGATAAAACAAACATAACAACCAACATATTAAAAGAGGACAAAAGACATTTAAAGTTCTGAGAGAATAAATATATCTTTGCCAGGCAATGAAAGGAGTAAAATGTCGGTGCCAACCAGGCCTTTCTAGGGAGAAATTTGCTCAGTAAGGGCACAACTACTGAGAAGGCCCTCTCTCTAGTTTCCGTGCACTTTCTCACAGGGGGAAGGCTTACCAGAATAGTCAATGGTCAATGATGATGAGAGTTGTAGCCCAACAAAATGTGTAGGGCACCTTGTTGGCTAGCCCTGGTAAAAGGGCAGATATTCCTTCTGGTTCTTTGGTCCTAAACCAGGGGTCAGCAACCTTTTTCAGCCATGGGCCGGTCCACCGTCCCTCAGACCATGTGGTGGGCCGGACTATTATTTTGGGGGGGAAAACTGAACGAATTCCTAAGCCCCACAAATAACCCAGAGATGCATTTTAAATAAAAGCACATATTCTACTCATGTAAAAATACCAGGCAGGCTCCAAAAATAACCTGGAGATGCATTTTAAATAAAAGGACACATTCTACTCATGTAAAAACACACGTGCCGGATTGAGAAGGCGATTGGGCCGCATCTGGCCCACGGGCCTTAGGTTGCCTACCCCTGTCCTAAACCATGCAGGGCTTGGAAAGTAAGTACGGTACTAACAATTTGAACTCTCCTTGAAAACAAAAGTGAAATCCAGTGAAGCTAACACCATTGAGATATGTTACCATTGACTAGTTAACAAGCAAAGCAGCTATCATATTTTTCTGTCTATAAGATGCCCCCATGTATAAGACACCCTCTATTTTGGGGGACTCAGATTTAAGAAAATTGGGGGGAACACTATCCATGAATAAGACGCTCCCTAATTTTTGACATTATTTTTTAGGTGGGGAAACCTAGTTTTATACACAGAAAAATATAGTATATTTTGCATAACCTGCAGTTTCCAAATAATCCTCAAAGGAAGCCTCAAGTACTATGCATTAATAGTACTCAAACTTGGGTGTTGTCTAAGCAATTGAAGGGAACTACTTGCCACAGAAGCTACCTGATCCTGGATACACCTAGATTATGAATTTAAGCACACTTATGACACATCCCCTCAATTCTGTGAATTACTTCTCCCAGCAATTTCATGTAAAATGTTAAAAACCATGTGAGACAAGATATGCAATGGGGTCCTGCAGAGTTCTAGGCAGAATGGAGCTAAGCAGCAGCCCTTGAGCAACACCTTCTGGAACTGCCCCTTCAGGTAAGAATTTGACCCATGATGTCTCCAACCCCCCAGTCCAAGGAATCTACCCAGGAGGATACAGTGCTTGATAGTATAGAACGCTATGGTTCAATGAGAATTAGCAGAGTTACACTTCCCCATCAGGGTGACCAAGGCTGTATCCATTGCAAAATCAGGCCTGAAACCAGACACTAATGGGCTCATATAAACAGTTTCACCCACCACTATCGCACAGCCTTCATCTGCTTGAGTATCTTTGCCCAATAAGGAGATATTAGCAGCCATGCAATAATTGTAACAATCCTTGATATCTAAGGAAGACTTCTTTAGGACTATCAAAATACATAGGCCAATATGACAGATAAACTCTTCTAGAATTTGATTTTTAGTTTTATAGATACCACACCTTTCTTTCCAATAACAAACCAACAGTTTTACAATGCCTATTAATAATACGTGCACAAAATAAACAGGATATAATATATACCAAAAGATAGATAAGGGACATATTGTAGTATTTTTAAAACTATGATCAAAGTGTAACAGTACTGGGCTCTAGTAGACTACCTCAAGGAGAGTTCTACACCCATAATGTTACAGTGGTACCTCGGGTTAAGAACTTAATTCGTTCTGGAGGTCCATTCTTAACCTGAAACTGTTCTTAACCTGAGGTACCACTTTAGCTAATGGGGCCTCCTGCTGCTGCTGCGCCACCGCTGCATGATTTCTGTTTTCATCCTGAAGCAAAGTTCTGAACCCGAGGTACTATTTCTGGGTTAGCGGAGTCTGTAACTTGAAGCGTCTGTAACCTGAAGTGCCTGTAACCTGAGGTACTACTGTACAAGCAACTTCTTCCACATTGTAGCAGATCTTATTTCCTGCATGGATAGCTCCCAAACCAGGGCTTCCCTCACAGGTGGCTTCATTACTGCAACGTGACCAGAAATATCAGCTTGTGCAAAAAGGCTGCCATCAGATTGCCAACTGTTACTGGATAATCAATTACTCCAACATTAAACACTCTACATTGCATATCTTTGTTTCTTCAACTGTTTCAGATTCAAAGTTCTTACAGTGGTGCTGCAGACTCTGTGGAATGCTTCCTTAAAGGAAGTCCACCTATCCCTGATACTCTATACCTTCAGGCAACAGGTAAAATCCTGGCTTTTTCACAGAAGGCTTATCTGGCTAGTTGACACAGTCTACAGATGCTTTCATTTGCTCACTGCATTTGGGGGGGGTTCAAAGGCTTTATTCATGCAGGAATTATTTACAGGATAGACAGAGATGAGAGAGAGGAAAAAACAACAACAATAGACATATTGTCTCAACAAGTTGGGAGAAAACAATAAGCAAAATGGCTCAGCTTTAAGGGTGGAGTTAACTTAGAGAGCCACAAACGAATGCTGGATAGATTGCTGCACACACAGTACTCACTGCATTATTAACTAGATTTTTGTTCACTGCTGCCACATAATTTTTACTATTTGCTTTTTGTGAAAGATATGTTTGTGCATCTGTGTGTGTGTGTGTGTGTGTGTGTCTCACCCATGAAAATATTTTGAAAATGTGATCTGAAAGCCACTTAGTATTTTATGAAGAAAAGGGGAGCAAAAAAATTCAAAGTAAAAAGGTGTATCCAAAAGGAGGGTGCCTGATACAGAAGTTACTCTCAATACACAAATGATTGTTTGAAGAAGCTAGATGGAAATGCCACTGCTTTTAGTGAGGGGCTTCACTTTTTTCTTTTTCAAGAAAAGGAAGCTGCAAAATAGGAAGACAGGTCAGGATGCTGTCTGGTAAGAAAGACTGGAATTCTCAGACAACCACGATGAAGGATGAAGCATGACTGTAGATAACATTGGCCAAGAGGGAGAAAGACCCTGAACCTTTACTCAATGTTTTTCCAGTGGTTTCCTCTCTTCCTAATAAAATGACATGTTTAGAGGCCACCAGCTCTAGCTAGGGACTTTAAGCTGGAAAATAAACACTCTTGGTTCAACAAACTGGTGAACTGAAGCTTTGCTCCTTCTACTGCCTTTGCAAGCTGAAGATTTCAACATCTATGGACTGTAATAGCAAGATTTCAGAGGAAGAAGTCACCTAAAAGAAGAATACCCACCTGAAATATGATTATAAATTTTCCAGGCTGTACAACCTGCATGCTACCAATCTGCTATCAAGTCAAGTTCCAGGTGCTGGTACAAATATTTATGATCCCATACATTTATGGACCAGGTTATTTGAATGATCATCTTGTTCCTTATATACACAGTCAATGGCTGCAGTCTGTGAGAGCTTCTTCTGAATGTTCCAAAGATCTCAGAAGTAACTAGGAGCAGGGCTTTTAGTGTGGCTGTACCAGTTCTGTGGAATGGCATTCCTGTAGAGATATGACAGGTGCCAACGATCTGTACTTTCCGGAAACAACTGAAGACATTTTTGTTTCAAAAGGCTTTCCCAGCTGGAAAAAATAGGTCTTTGCCATGAGTATCTATTTTGTATGGTGCTAGTTTAGCTTTAAATGAATTTACTGTTGTATTGTATTTTAAACTGTTTTTTTATTGATTGTATTGAACAGTGCCTTAAGATGGTTGTATAGACGGTGGTTAATAAATTAACAATAACAGATAATAAAATAAAGTTCTACACAGTCAGAGATCTAGTATTCATACAGTTTAAATAAAGGAAAGTTAGAACTGGCAGTATTTTATTTTTTGCTGCTTGTTCACTTTGACAGGTGTCACACGGTATAAAGAAAGGGAGAGTTGGATTAGCAGATCAAAGCTGTTGCTCAGCAAGGGGAAATGAGAGGGGATAGTCTTAGATATCAGTGCTAATGAACAGGTACCCCTTTCCTTTTAAGGTTCTCTGGCTTACAGTATGTGCTTACACTCTGAACAACTCTATTCATGATGCATTCCCAAAGTTAATAGTTCTTAACTTCAGACAGACTACTAATACATCCAAGGGAATACTTGCAGACAGAAGAAAGAAGCATAGATAGAAGTAGAGAAAGGAAGACATTTCCTGGAAGTGCAAAAGAAAATCAATAAACCTAAGCATTTTGAACTTTATGTTAGTCTATCCATCCTTGGTTCCAACTTTGAACAACATAGGGATTGCGGGTGCATTTTTAGAACAGAAAACTCAACACCATGCTGTATTCTCAAATTGGTTCCAAAAGTTTATTAGCAACTTTAACAAGTTCAAAGGGACCCAATCATCTTTTCCAAGGCTGCATATTAATGACCACATAATGCAATTAGTTAACCCTTAACTTGAGCAATTTAACTGTACCCACATGAGGACAGTAGACAGACTTCCTCCACCCTTTCAGTCTAGTGCAGGAGTGGGGAGCAGAAAAAAAATGATGTTTGCTATGGTTATATGAACCTGCTTAGGATTGGGGCATTAGCCATGTTTAAAAGTTGAAATTGAAAATGATAAAAGCTAAAGTGCTTTTATTGTTTCAAACATCATCAATTGTAAAGTCTACTTCTATGCTAATTTTATTTTTGTAGGTTTCGTTTGCCATAATATGCAATTATGAATATTTTGACAAAAGCAAGCTTAGAATTGGGCCTTGCAACCTAAATAAGACATTCTTCTAAGCAGCCTGCCACTACTGAAGGATTTCCGATAAATGCTACGTCCTTAATCTTCCTCTCACTGATTAATGTTTACATTTCCTTGTGATGAAGAGAAGTATTTTCAAAAGTACAGTAGGAAAAAGAAATCCTACTACATCCTGTTCCCACTAAGAATGCTAGACGTTACACGTGAGAACATTAAATGGGTCAAGGGCAATCACTCGAAAGCCAAATTTTATTTAGGATTCCACATGCTTTGTGTTCTGATGAATATATTAAACATTGCCCAAAAGTACTCTTATAGATCAACAGACCCATATGTGTCTGCTCAAGTCCCAATGAGTTCAACACTGTTTTCTCCCAGGCACATAGAACTGCAACCTTCAGCAAACAAATTGAACTGAAACCACCACAGTTACTGGAGTAGGCAGATGTAGCATTCAAAGGTGCAGTGAAAATAGTTTAGACACCAGCCACTGAAGTGGACAGAATACAACAGGCAACTCGTGAGTCATCACATGTGACAGCAGAGGACACAAAAGCCCACTCCACCCCCTTTTCCAGCCACTTCCAGGTTGCCGCAATGTGCATGTGTGCAGTTGGCCGCCAATTGGACGTGTGTAAATCGGTCATTGCCTGTAGTTTGCTTCTGTCAGACTAAAAAGCTGTTCTCAGAAATTTAGAAGTTCTTAATTTTGAGGTCAGTTTTGTATGCCCCTCTTTGATGTATTTATATTCTTATTACTATGAATGAGTGATATATCTCCTTCCTAATTATTCATATGATGTCATCAGTTCCATATTCTCTAGAAGAGAATGAGAAAGCTGACAATGGATTGGAAAACACGACTCTGGAAGAAGAAGAAATTGCAAGGTATATTTCTCTGTTCTGGATGGTGGTCACACTCAGCCAGAAGGAGCAGATTTGCAGGCTGGAGGCCTGGCAATGATTCTGGCTAGGAAAACCTTTAATCAGCAAAAGCCAATGAGCTGACTGAAACCCTTTCTTTGATTAAAGGGACTTGGACCATATATATCTACAACCCCCATCACTCCTGACCACTGGCTATATTGGCTGTGGCTGATGGGATCTGAAGTCCAACAACATCTGGAGGATCACAGGTTCTCCGTTCTTGGTCTAGAAAGTTCCATTTACGAAACATCCCACTTTCCCATCTCATAACAGAAATGGGCTATGGAGAAAATATGAGACTAAGTCTTATTCAGAAGTCAACTTTTACAGTGTCAAGAATTGCATTCCAAGCATTTCACAAAAGCCACAATTAAATGTGTTTTATTTCTATTGACACAATTAAAAGTAATTGTGTGAAAGTCTCATCTCATTTGAATAACCAAATGAAATCACTAGTACATCTGGCATTGCTAAAACCAGATATACAGAAATCCTCATTAATACACTTGAAATAATATTAGATAGGAAGGTAGATATGGGGCTCCTATTTGTATTCTGGCTACAGCACTTTAAAAAGTACACTGCTCTTGTGTATCCCAAAATAGTTGCAATCATGAAGACTGGTCATTTTTCAGTATTTTTAAATAAAAACTGGATTTGGCCCTAGAAGCCTATACTGTAAACTGCAAAACAAAGGAAACACAAAGCAGCGGAACTGCCTTGGGACTGAACCAAATGTTCCTCTGTCCAGGGTTTCCAGCATCCTCATCTGCAAATCCCCCTTTCAAAATCCAACCAAATATAACAGTGCAGCAGGCTCTTTGACCTCCATATATTCTTATTTTCAAAAGGTTTTCTTATTACATCGCCAATGAATTAAACTTATTCAAATATCTGTCAACCAAAGCGGCAGATTAGCTGCGATAGTGTAATCAAAATAAGACCTAATATGTAGCCTTCTAGTGCAGTAAAGACTTTTTTATGCAGGAATCTAGGTGATCTAGATTGTTAACACACACTCTGTCTCAGTCTAAAAACAACTGTAGAATCACAGCTGGGATTTAACCCCGGCTGCACAGAAGGTTTGGTATCCATAACAGCTATGCAGACAGGCTGAAAACCAATGCCAAATTGTTACATTCGTATCCTGTTCTTCTCTCTAAGGAACTAGCAGAAGCATTTATTTTCACAACAATACAGTTAGGTATGGGTAAGCCAAGAGAATGTACTTGCTCAAAAAGCAACAGAGCAATCTTCATAAATGAATGGAAACATGAATCCGAGTTGCCTTAATCTCACTGTGCCAAATTTACTTGTTAAATAACATTTCTCACCTACCTCGTAGGATTGAGAACCTATGGTAAACACAGGATGATGCAGGCAGTCCAGTGCTTGGCTGTACTACATTTTAATGCATATTAAAAAGCAGAGGCATGACCTGACCCCGATTCTGCAACAGCAGCAGTAATATGTGCTCTTGTGGAGAAATGTGTGCCTGTAATTATGCTATATTTCCCATAATAGTAGGCATTATATGGTGTGGGCTTGCTATTCTCAGCTGTGGCCTGTCCTAAGCTGGAATGCAATGTAAAGCTAACTCCCAAGTCCCATAGCAGACGGTGAGTGTGGTGATTGTATGGCACAGCAGCACCCAGGCTGTATCTCAATGTACGATAGATTATGTTCCAAGTAGCCACATCTAAACTTCCATTCAATTTACATGAGTCCCAAATCCTCAAGGAAAACTTCCATGCATCTAATGAAGTATTCAAATCTTAAAACTTCAAAACATCCATCAAACTGGGGACTTGAAAACAGTGGTCCCAGAACTGGCCTCAAAGAGAGGTGCTGTCTTGTCTCATTTGTGCAGGGTTCTTCACATTGCTCCCTGCAACTGCAACAGAACTAGGAAGAGTGGGTTTGTGCCAAGAACAAATAATGGCTTGGTTTACTGGCCAGTCAAATTTATGGGCTCATTAAGACATCCTTTGTCCACCATCTCTGGTCAAGGTGGAGACTAAGTTGAAGAGTAGTTGCCTCATTAAACGCAATCCATTTTTCAGTTAGCACTTCTATTTTGCAGGGCCCACAGGAAGCAGGCAGTTGATTATTAGGAAGGAGCTGTTTCTGAATGCAGGACACCAGAAATGTGTTGATGAAAATGTATCATTCAGTTACTGGCAAATATAAATAGCACTCACAAACCCATTTTGTTAGTACACAGCTTTAGAAAATACATTAACTGGGTGATTGCTATGAAGAATAAGACTGAAATACTTTGCCTTTGCAGACTTCGTTTGTCTATTTCTGCATTTCCTGATGAGTTTTCACCTCATTTTACACCAGTGTTATTTGCTACAATGCCAGTAACAAAGAATGGCAACCAATTCTGGAAAGTTCTGGGCACTTATCTCTATAAGTAAGAGCTCTTAGGCTAAATTCAGACAACCCTCAAGCCATTTGTTGTTGTTTAGTCGTTTAGTCGTGTCCCCCTCATGCACATATTTGCTTTTTCAAGGGGTTTGGGTCAAAGTTAGGCTCTGTAGAATAAAACAGATCCTCCTGAATTTGCCTGACACAGGGTCTACCAATAGCAGCATCAAATAAAAGCTTATTTTGGTAGAGTGCACATTAAAAATCACAGATCTGGTGCTTGCTAGATCCAAGGCATGGATCCTCATGAGTTTTACACAAGATGGCAATACCACGAGGAAATCATGGAACAAATCTGTGTACACAGAGGTGATCTATGATTTGATGGCTGTTCTAGAAGGGATTCCTTCTAGAAATATACCAGGAATAGATAAAATATAGAAGAATCCATGCCTTGGATTCTCAGCCAAAACAGCACCAGGTTTCGGATTTTCCCCTTTCAGTCAATGGAGACATGTGTGTAGGGGTGTGTGTATGCAAATTCAAACTCACATACATCTTTTCCCTCTCTCTGGCACTCCATTTTCTCTTTCACCTCTCAACTCCTGTGTCAATCATATTTCTTCTTGCTGCCTCCCTACATCGCTATTTTCCCACCCCCACAATCGACCAGATATCTCCCTGTCGCCTCCGTCACTTCATTGCCTGTTCAGCTGCTGATAAGAGTTTTGAGAAACACATAGAGCTGAAAAAAGAAAAGGAAAAGAGAGTTGTTCTCTCCCATTTCCTCCTTCAGTTTTCTGTACTTTCCAAAAAGGGGAGGGGCAGACAGCACCCTTGACACCACATGACAGTGAAGCGGGGAGAGAGGTCTCAGAAGACTCATGGCCACCTGAGGATGTCTGCAAGGGTGTCACTGTACCCATGTATATATAGCCTTTGAGGCCGCAGGTCACCTGGATTGAGCCTTACTAATGTCCTTGCATGCATACTTTGAAAGGAAAACAACTTCAAAATTAAGCTTCTTACGTTATCTTCTTACTATCAATGTCTACTAGCCACAATGGCTACGCTCTGTGTCTACTGTTGGACATATGTCTCTGAATACCAGTTTTGGGGAAACTGCAGAATGGGAAAATGTTGCTGCACTCAGGTTCTGCTTTTGGGCTTCCCATGGGCATCTGCTTGACCACTGTGAGGACAGAATGCTGGCCTAGATGGGCTTTTGGCTTGATCCAGAAGGCCTGTTCTAACAAGTTTCTGTTTGGCTAACCAAATTCTGTAATTCATAAAGCATGTGAGCTGCATGACTTTTTTATTATTATGCTCCTAGATACAATGAAGTATCTATTTAGTTGCAAACAGATATGCTTTGCTAATGCAGCCAGTTAGTGTGCACGTTTTTTCAGGAATTATGTGAATTAAACGACAGGATATTAATTAGACAATTGGAAACATTATCTATCTTGATTTAAATAACTGGCCTTCAGCTACATAATAAAGATTTAGATTTAAATAACTGGCTTTTTTCAGGAGGATGCCTTGCTTGAACCATCTTTAGGTGTGACTATTAGAGCGTCTTGTTTTCACCAGCTTAATCTGATGTATCTGAGAGTCTTCATCACTGAACGCAGTGGAATTCATTTCTATGTAGGCATGCACAGGATTCCATTGAAAATAAAAGCAAGACTTGCATCATAGTTGTATAAACAGATCCATGTACAGATTTCCTTCTGGAAGTCAGTACAGAAGGAATAATACAGTATAATGCTAGCTGGCATCCCGCTGCATCACAAATTGCTGCTATATTTGTTCACTTTCATATAAAGGCTCCCATCTCAAGTTGATCTTGGCATACTTCAGAGAACCAGACCAACTGAGGTAATGACAATTTCATGGTGGCTGCTAAGAATGCACCCTGTTGAAATTCGAACTGCCTGATCTACCACTTTCAGAACCCAGTCTTCAGATTATTCATGGATTTGGGTTTTGAGAGTTTTTATTTTGTTCAGTTTTTGTCTTAAATATATATAGAGAAACACAAGCGCTATGAGTTGCACAACGAGTCATACAGTTAGTAGGTGTCAGAGTCAAGAACACAGAGTCCATCGTCCAGTTCCAATTAGTGTACTGGAGGCAACATTAAATCAGCTCCAAAATCCCTTACACAAATATCCAGGAAAGATGAGGGAAAGAACAAGCCAAAAGCTTTATAAACTGAGTAATGCGGTGATAAAGTAATCCCACACTAGCAAATGATAGAAGGTCAGGGCATGTATTATCAGATTCCTAAAAAGACTATCTGCAGTTATCCCCAAAGTCATATCCTACATTGGATCCCACATCGATCATCAAGCCAATTCCACAGAATGTAGTTTTTGGAACATCTTGGATTAGGCTTTTATGAACGAAACCCCTATTTTTATCCAGATGAAAAATTCCCATTGTAACTGGCTGAAGCATTCTTTTTTAAAAGAATCTGCATGTATGATTAAGCAATAATTTAAGCAGTCCTATGGGACATGGTATTCTTTTCGCTTAGCAGTTTATAAACATACACAAAGCACTCTTTTCGTTCAAGACATACTGATGTAATTAAAATGAAGCAGTTACCAGTTTTCACATTTTTGTGGGGAGGGGGGAAATAGGCCAAATTATGTCCATTTCTCTTAACAGGAAGCTGTTCAGAAGAATTAAGAAATGTGAACAGAGGAAATGAGGGTTTCAGTTTATTATCAGTTAAGGCTTTTTAAAAGCTAAAATTTTAAAAATTGACAGAACAGTAGGCACCAAATTCCCATTCTATATTTCAATTTTCAAATGGCTCAGCACCTTTTTATTCTCTTACTGAATATACTTAAAAGTATCTGCACAGTCTTAAGAAGCCACTGTGTTTTTGAAGAAGTGCCGGCTGAATGCATGTGTTAAAGGGGGGCAGGGGGTGGAGAAGCACTTGGATTCCACAAATAATTCAGCACCTTAAGTCTTAAAAACATTGTTGTGACCTTACCTACTCAAGTAGGAAAGGAAGGGTCTTTAGTTTTCACTGAGCTGGTGGCAAACAGATCAAAGCCATTTCTACACAATATTCACAGGCTATCCAATACTCAGCTGAGCAAACACACACACTTTTTGTTCCAGTTCTACATTTCACTACACACTGTAGCTTAGCCAAATATTTTTATAACGGTTTCAGGGACAGTTTCATTTCCTGTAGCTTGCTCAATGGCATGAACTCTTTTCTTTTTTTTTTAAGCAAGCAAACAACAACAACACATCACAACACAACCCCAAGCATGATTCTGGGGTGGGGAGAGGGGAAAGGGCAGGAAGGAAATTCACTTAGATATGCCTGGCTGTATCTCTTCTACTATTCTAACCTTTCAGAGTGCACACACTGATAAAAGCCCCTCAAAACTAGTTGCATTATTTGCTATAGTGTTATACTTGCTGAAGCAATCTTAATGAGCTTATCTAGAGGAACATATTGTCAGATATGTTAATGCAAAAAAGAAAAAAACCCACCCTGCTGCCAAAAGGTGCAACATGCCAAGCCATTAATCAGAAATGCTGAGGACTGTGACAAAGAAAATAGGCACCATCCTCCTTTTCAAGCAAGGAACACAATGAAAATGTATCACACACACACACACACACACAAAATAACACTAAGCAGGAAGGTCAGTGTCCCCATAAGCAAGCATGATGATACAGCACATAGGCGAGGTGCCACTTGCTTTTAGAAGCCTATGCACAACCCACCTCAGTTCAAAACCCAATATTTGCAGGAGGAATTTTTTTTAGTGTATTCCTGACACCCTGACCTCTGCTGTCAAGCTTTCCACCAATCAGGGTGTGCAGTTCTTACAAAGCTCCATCAATCTGGTGGTTTAACATCACAGACTGCAGTTTAATCTAGAGGATTCCATTTTCCCTTCCACACAACCAAGGCAGTGCACCACCACCACCACCATCACAAGACCCTGTGTTCTTTCTTCTCTCCCCCAGCCTTCCCTTTCCCTGTCCCCGAAATGTCTCCTCTGACAGACACACAGACCAAGAGGACATTGGTATTACGGCTATTATTTATTTATTTGCGCGCACCTCCCTCCCACGCCAGGCGGCTTGTAAACGTTATCAATACGCACAACAGAAAGCAAAAAAGCGCGGGGGGGGAGGGGATCAAGACAGGCGGAGTATTCGCAAGATGTTTTCCATTTGGACAATGCAAAGCGCCCGTTTAAACAGAGCTAGACCACGCTGCACGCTTAGGAGAGGAGACACGCCAGATTAGGTTTAAAGCGCCGCTGTTTTTGTTATGCAATACGCTGCAACCCCCGCTCCTCCTCCTCCCCTCCACCCGGCTCTGCTGCAGCAGTTCCCCGTGTGTGTGTGTGTGTGTGTGTGTGTGTGTGTGTGTGTCCGTCCGTCCGTCCGTCCACGCACACGTACGCGCACGCCCAACACACACAGAGAGAAAGAGAGCGGCTTACCTGTAGGAACGCTCCCCTCGCACTGTGTGCTTCCTGAAAGGGATGATGGTGGTGCCGTTATCTTGGATGATGTCGTTGTTGTTCTCTCCATTTGGGGACAGCGCTTGGGTAGGTCCAGGCATTGGAGCGCTCCCAAAGGCAAGCAGCCCTCACCCGGGTGCCTGTGTGCGGAGAAGCTGGGGCGGGCGGGCTCGCCGTGCGCGCGTCGACTCCTTCGCTACTGACTCGCTCCGTCTCTCTCTGCGCCGCCGGCCCCCTCCCCTTTCCTCCCTGGCCGGTGACGTCAAACCGCCGGGAGCAGCGCCCGGGCCACGTGACACGGCTCCTCGCCATAGCAACCAGCTAACTCATCAGATCTCCCCAATTCACACAGGGCTCGAGCATGACCACAGCCAGGCAGCCAAACAGGCGCACGGGGCAGGCCTAACATCTGGCACGTAAAAACACCAAGCCAGGCGCCCTCCCTCTCTTCCTCTTCGGCTTCCCCTTCAGTCTCACCCTCGGTAAATGCAGCTGTATATACAAAGAGCCAGCCGCTCTTTTCTTTCCTTTTTAAAGAAGGGATCGGGGGCTTAAAAAGGCCAACACTACCCACCCACCCTTAAAAAAATAATATTAGCCATGCAACAATGCGATGCGGAAACCTTCCTGCACGTATCAGAAAATAAGGTTCAGTTGCAACCACGCTAGTCCCAATGTAAGCGGGGGCTGATGGGCGTAGGCAAAACATGCGACAAAACGCGTGGAAAGCCTCAGGTTTAAAATTATGGGGGTCTCTCAAAATGAGCATTTTGTAATCATCACCCTCGGAAGCTTGGATGAAGCACAACACGAGTTCTCAATGGCTAAAGCAAGGGGGCGGGATGGCAGCTTTCCACAAGTATATTTACAAGGCTATTAACCTCTTCTTATTTTAAGGAGCATTTAAGAGAATTTCAGGGGAAGGGCTGCATAGCAAAATGCACGTTCTTCCGCCAAGATAAGCACAGAGACAGAAAAGACACAGCATCCCTCCTCCCCCAACAATCCCTTGCTCTTAAGCACTCAAGTCATTTATTTTTTGTCCTACATTTAAGAGACACAAACAAAACAAAATAAAAACCCAAGCTTTCCCCCTCAAAGCCTCATAATCCATCATCATCTATTCCCTGGATAATTCCAGGTTATTTTTGGTCTCAAGCTACTGGAATTAGTATCAAAACCAGACTCTCATGTACTAAACCCAGATGGCAGCAATAATCCAAACATCAGCAACAGGGCACACAATCTCTAGTTTTCCTTACAGATTAAAAGAGCATGTAGTATATTCTGATCCTTGCTATTTCAAAAATTGCTTCTTCCTTCGAATGCATAATGATCCCCCCCCCTTATTTATTGGTAATAAAAAACCTGAATGAGAAACAGCGGCTGGATTTTTACAAAATATTTTAATAACTGCTCATATTCCTAACAAAATGTTTTTCAACATTCTGTTACAAACCACTGGCAGGAAAGGGTGTCTAAGAACTCTTTCCTTAGACAAAGACTGCTGAAATCACCTTGAAAAGTTCAAATGCATTTAACAGCCTCAGGCCATATACTGAAGCCATTGATGGCTTTCTTCCTTTTGAATATGCTTGCATGAAGAGGGGGTGGGATAGAAGTACATTTGCAAGAATCTACTTGCATTAACACTTTGTTAAAGGATCTTTAAAATAGACATGTTAAGTATCTTCCTTTTGTTTCGGCTGCTCCTGATAGCATCATAGTATCAGACAGACTCCTTGGTCTCCAGTGTCTCTGCATGGCAACAGTTCTTGCTGGATTAGCATATGGTGGTAAACAAACCTTTGATCTTGAAAACTATTTTAAATATCAGGAAACTATATTCAACAGAGTCAAAGGCTATGGGGTAACAAAAATTATACTACTGTATTGCCATTCTTTCTGTCAGACAATGGGATATTCAGTACAACTTCTGCTATGTCAGTTCAGATGAGAAAGCAAAAGTCTTCAATATCTTAAGATATAGCTAGAGATGATAGTTGTGTTAGTCTGTTGCCACAAAAAAAGCACATTCATTTCAAAAGCTAACGTGCCACAAAAAAATTAAGGTGCTACAAGACTCTCTCATTTTCTTTTTCTGTGTTTAATCATCGTTCTACTAAATATGTAAGTTATCTTTCCTCCAAAGGAGCACTGGATAGCTAGTGTACATGGTTCTTTCTGAATGTTATACTTACTACAAGATATGAGGTGTAGGTGAGAGACTGCAACTGGTCCTAGGTCACACAATGAGATTCACAGGCTGAGTGGAGATCTGAACATAAACCCTCCTGGTCCTTAGCAAACACTCCAAAATCACAACACCACACTTAACTCAGCTGTATGGTCAATCCATGTTCCCAAATGAATTGTGACGGGGTTGAAAGATGCCTGCCCACCTGCCTCCAGAGGGATTTCTGGGGGATGAAGAGTGTGGTAAGAGAGATGCATAGCACAGAAGCAGAGGCAGAAATCAGCTGCAGTAAGGGATGGAACTTGTGGAGAGAGAACTTTAACAGAGAAGCATTGTGCATACCTAACAAAACTAACAAATCTCAGAGAAACTAAGGAATCCCAGAGGAAGGGACCTCATAACCTGCCATAATTATCCAAATGAGTTAGTTGCCTAGGTAAGGACTTTACCAACCAAAATTCACACCTCCAGCCTATCTTGCAGCTAGGCCTTGCACCTTTACCATTCAACAGAAAGGGTATCAAACTATCTACTTGACTAGAAAGGAAAGCCTTTAGGAAGCCATCCCAACTTCTTCTGCCAGCCTAGGATAGCCCCTCTCTCTGACACAGCCCACCCAGCACTCCACCTATTCAGTAGCTAAGGAAATCTCCACCCACCCCACAAACACAGTATGCTTTGCCTGCTTTGTTGTACTGTATCTTTGTATTAAGGCAACAAACTATATTGCTTAAGCAAAGCATGCTTCCTGAGCTTTATTTCAGCTTTACCACATTGTGGCGTTCTTTCAGGGCATAATCTGAGCCAGTTTCCACCAAAACCTATATAAACTCATGCAGACTCCAAAAGTGCTTTAGGGGCCGAGCTCTAAAACATGTAAAACAACATAGAGAGACTGAAGGGTACACATTTCCCTCACATTTTGCTCTCACTTAGCATGGATTAGAGAAGTTCCAGTCACAGTCTCAACAATTCTCATTTTCGAATAAGAGGCACCACACTCCAAATATGTGTTGGCACCCTAAACTGCAAAATGATGCCAAGAAGATGACAAATATCAAATCAGCAAAAATAAAAAATAAAATTTCCGTTCACAAACATCAACTTTGATCATTTTTTCACAAGCCTGCTTTGGTGACAAACTCACTGAACAATTGTCAACATAATGGGACAAAGCCTGTTGAACAGGCACATAGACTTAACTCAATTGCTTTTTCATCTTCATCTCCCATATTTAGTCCATGGGGTCCTCCAAATGACCTATTCATTTTGCTTGCACAAAGCTTACATGTAGGTTAGACTATGTCTGGTCTTTACTGAGAATCCATTCTGATTTATTTATGGAGGAATTACATGAAAATGAACATTCATCCCAATTTGTTTGCAGGGTGTCTACACATCTTTCCATTAGTCATTCATTTACCTCATGCTTTCCAATGCATTTGTCTATGACTTTCCAAACCACAAAATATCCATTTGTTTATAAGTAGATTTGTTGTGCCAGAGCAACAGAGCACTTTAACAGCACAAACCTAAAGTTCTGATATGTGCTTGGCTCTCTCCTGCAAGATTTGGACAGTTTGAAGGCAGGTCAGGTCAGGTCATTTCTCCCTGCCCCCATCAACAGAAATTCTGGTCATGTTTGGCCATTTCTCAGCTATACCCTACTGTCTTCTCCTCTGGTCTCCCCTTGTCTCACCAGAGTTCCCTTACATCTATCCATGACTGTGCTGTCAAATATTTTATCTCTATAAGAGATCTGACCACATGGCACCCTACATCCTTCCTATATACTCCCCAATCCTACAGAAGGTCCTTGTCCTTACCTTTACATCTATCCATGTTCTTGCTCCCTTATTCTCGCTACTGTTATATCTCAATACTTTCTTGTGATCTTCACTCCTCCAGTTATATTACCCTCAACCACCCAAAGGTGTCCTGCTCCCTCAAAAGACTTTGGCCTTTCTCCCCCATATGCTTGGAACTGCCTCCTAGAACACTTGCATGATGTTAACCTGTCACCAGTTGTTCCTTTGCAGATGTGGTTTGCATTCAGCACTGTTTAAATCTGGCACCAAATGGAAGTCATGGCTGCAAAGGAATAATCAGGAGCATACTCTAAGCTGTGCATGCCTGATAGGTTCCCCCCCTCCCATGCCTGACATCATATGCTAGTTGATGGGTGTGGCCACCTGCCAGTCAATCCACCCAATGTGGCTTACAGAAGGTTGGCCACTTCTGGTTCCCACCCTCTGGCCAAAAGGGTGCTCTCCTGTAACTTAGCTTAAGCACATGTAACCAACATAATATTTCTTCCCTGTTAGCCTTTCCTTACTTCTGTCCCCTTCGATTGCCTCTTTGTTCAATTCTAATTGTAAGCTCCTCAGGAAAGGGATCTCTGTTCTTCTAAAAGCATCATTGAGGATGATGACAGTATATAAATGATAATGATAAAATGGCACATAAGGTTTCCCATGGCTTGCCAGAAGTGAGGAATGAAGGATGAGCTTTGACACATGTTTGTGCATTTAAAAGACCAATGACAACAACCACAAAAAGTAATTGACAGGTAGGCAAATAGATACTGGTTGGATGAGAACTCATCTCAGTGTAGAGATGAGAACTGGATAGCCTCCAAATGTCCTAGAACATGAAGATTTGCCGTTCTTTGATGAAAATAGGGATGTCCCATTCCATAATGATAATTTTACTATTTATATCCCACACATCTTACTGGATTGCCCCAGCACTCTGGGCAGCTTCCAACATATAAAAAACATAATAAAACATTTAAAAAACCCTTCCCCATACAGGATTGCCTTCAGATGGCTCTGGGGTCGGAAAACTCCATTTCCTCCCACATATCTCCAGTGAAAATAGGGACATCTTAGGAAAAGCGGGACATTCTGGGATCAAATCCGAAACTAGGATGTCTCTGGAAAATAGGGACACTTGGAGGGTCTGGGAGAACAATATAGTAAATGAAATGTCTGCTCATTCTCACTACTTTGGGTGGGACGGGGGGGGGGGGGGGAGACACACACACATATCAAACTAAGAGTATGAAACGGCAGCATTTTTTTGTTGTTGTTAATGTAGGTGCAGCACATTTACTACTTTTCCTGGCAGATCTGAACCCCTTAAATGCTCTTTTCTTCTCACTGTGTCTCTTAAAATTATGGTGCAAGCACAGAGAGGGGAGGGGAAGCTTTATCTGAAAAGTCTTCTTTCCCTTTACAGCTACAACCCTGCCAATGCAATACTGAGAACAGAGGGGAGGAATAATATGGGTTCCATATGGATGACATACCTTTTGGCCTAGCTGACATTTCAACATTTTGAAACAATGCACATATTACAGATGTAGTTAATTTGGTCCTTACTGCAAACCACTACATATACAGTAAATCATCTTGTAGGTTTCCTCCTCCCACATTCATAGCTGTGTGCAGAACAATTCCAATAAGCAGCAGACCAACTGACATAAAATGTAGACCACAAGCCAGTTGTTAGAATGCAATTCCAGTCTCTAGAGAGTTCCTTTAAGTAAATAGAAGGAACAACAGTTTGGAGTGTTGGAGGTTTACAGCCGAAGTGGGTGTAATGCTAACGAAAGCCAAAGATTTCTTATCAAATGTTACTTCAGTGAATAATAGGAGAAACCTCTTTTTTAATGGACAGTCTGCTTCTTCTATGGCTTCTGTCTCCGAAATTCCCTTCCTTTTCATATGAGATTTCATTCAAAAGGAGCACTTTCAGGAAATTCCAACAATATTTTCAGTCAATAATGCAAATACTCAATTTGACCAATTCTTACTAGAATATGAAAATAATCTGGTAATCTACATTTGTAGTAATCTACATTTTGGAAAGCCGACAAGCAGCATTTCAGGGAAGTGCTTTATTTTCACAATTTCTTTATTGATTATGTCCTCTCCCAAACTAGTGTACAGGCCAATTTTTTTTATAAGGTTGTCTAGATTGTGTACAGATGAGCATCCTATTCCACACAAATGATGTCAACACAGACTTGGAGACTGATCCAGGAAAAAGAAAGAGCTTTTTCAACATGTGTAATAAAAATGCAATATCTGTGTTGGTTAGAATGCTCTTCCACACTACAACCACTTTTTCTATCGCATTCATATTGATATGTTCACATTATTAGCAGAAGAGAGACTCAAAGGAGATTTTACCCTAAGAATGTTTTGTGAACAATGACTGCTCTCCTACGCCTTCAGTGCTAAGCTGTCAAGGCACTTGTCCAGCTATCCAGATGCAGCACAGCAAAGCTTTAATTTTCTGAGAATAGAAAAGTGGTTGAGCAGTTAAACTGCCCAAGTACTTGGGGTGACCAAAAACAAATTTTAAAAATGAGATTTTATCTCATCATCCCAGTAATGGAAAGAGTACCGGACTATAACTTTGGATACCCAAGTTAAATTCCCTAGTCAGCAGTGAAGATCACTTCAGTGACTCCTCCTTAGTCTAAACAGCCACATTAAGTTGTCTTATGGATAAAATATGTGACGGAGAGCCATATTAAGGTTACCAGATTTTTTTCAATGAATCTGGGGACACTTTTCAACTTCAATGGATTTTGTATGGGGACTGATTTGTAAATCCAGGGACTGTCCCTGGGAAATGGGGACGTCTGGTAACCTTACTATATATGCCATCTTGAGCTCCTTGGAAGGAAGGTAGGATGTAAGTGTAATAAATAGATAAATAAACTCAAAGAACCTAAGCCATTTCTGGATCAATATGGCAACCCTACCTTCTTTTTTTCTACTCAAAAAAAGCCACCATAGGGTTATACTAGTGCAAACTTAGATAGGGTATGTTTACCAGTGCATGGTATTTCTAATGAATTTTAAGAGTCAGCACAGACATACATACAAACTTCCCAGCACTATTCCCTTCCTTGGGCAGGAGCTCATTTTCACACTGCATACTCAAGGTGGTGCATATTAGAGCTAAAAACTAGATAGATATTTTATTCCTCTTTGATGAGGTGTTTGCAATCCCTCCTAGTTGTGTGTTATCTGCAAATCTAAGGATCCTCTCCACCTCAAGTCATTGAAGATTGTTTGGTCCAGGACAGAGTCCTGAGGCACCCAACTTGTAACCTCCCTCAAAAGTTTGATGAGAAACCACTGGTACTCTTTGAGTATGAATTTACAACCAGTTTTGAATCCACTCAACGGTACAGTGTGCCCAGAGCTTTGATGATCTGCTTTTTCAATCTCATCCCAACAGTGTTTTCCTTTAAAATACGTATATTATTTCTATGGTCAGGTTTATATTTATTCAATGAGAACTTTATTGTGCCAGGAAGCTGGGCAACAAAATGTCATTTAGCAATTGCTCAATAGGCAGATGTAATTAAGCAGCTTATTTATGGTACATAAATTCATGGCACATTATAAGAACCAATAATGTATTGCTATTTTGCATTATCACATGCATATGCTAGACTAACAAGTAGCAGCTAACAACCATCTTGAGCACATCAGATCAGACACAGTATAAAGCATTTATACTAAGGTTTTGCAGGAAGAGTACATATTTCGTTTGCTTACCATAGGCTATTGTAACCACACTGGTTAGCCCACTGAGAATATCTAAATGTTATAATAAATCTTATCTCGGGACTTTACTATCAGTTTGATAAACATTTCAGGTAATTTCAGTAGTGACTTTACAAATTACATATCTTTAAGAACAGAATAGTAAAGACACTACAAACTTCCTTCCACACTTCCTGTATATAAAGAGCAAGCCTTCCTATTCTTTTATGATACAATACTGCCATTTCCTGGTACCCGATTTTGTTACTCACAGAAAGGGCCCACAAACATGTATCCCCCACATGAAAGGGATCGACATCGATGTAGAACAAAGGAGTCACTTCCTTTAAGAGAAGCCCCACCACCACCATAAAAAAAACATCCAACTTGTTGCTTAATTTAGTACTACCATTGCAGATAGCATCATGGTGAGTGGGTCAGGGGAGCCACACAAAAACAGGAGGAGGGAAAGGTAGCGTTGGCAGAGTTCCATCACTATATCTTTTATTATTGGTAGCCTCAGCCATAAGTTTTTTTGGGATAGTCACAAAAGCCAAACTGATCTGGCAGGAAAGAGAGATGACGGTAATGAATTATATAGATGGAAATAGGCAAGTATGCTGAAGTTTATGGCACAGCAGGAAACTAGGCCATATTGTGCTACATACTAGGCTTGTTGCAAATGCAAAAGAACTGATTTGTTCCCAATAATTAACACAGTCTTCAAAAAGGAAAAAGAAAGCCAGTCAATAGAGCTCAGGGACCTGTTTGTAGGTCAGTATCATTACCCAAAACTGAGGCTAAGTTGGAGTAGGGAACCGGGTCTGAAAAATGACTTCTTTGTGCCTTTGAGAACTGTAGAGTGCCAAAAGGACATGTTTTAATAGTGAAGGAAGCACTACAAAGGGATGCATGTAGGTGAAGCCTTTCCCTTCAATAGATACTTATGGATAGCGACTGCATGCCTAATCCTTACCAGAGTCAAGACTACTTTCCTTCTGTTCCGCAGTGACACATTCAGACACAACCAAAGTAGTTTATTGCTGGTTTGGCCTTCCTTACATTGTGCAACAGTATAGACCATAGCAAAGGCCTGTGGTAAGGAAGGGCAGTATGGAAAGCTGAATGAAAATATAAAAACACTAGAAAAGTGTTCTGGAGTTGTGTCACACATTTATCACAGCAGAAAGAAAGAAACATGCCACTATTCCTCTGTGCTAATAAAATCCCACATATTTATATTTTAAAAACTTAAATTTAGGTGTTACATTTTCACGTTTCTCTTATTTGTTATCAATATTTATTACATTTCTATACTGCCCTCTATCTGAGGAACAGGGCAGTTTACAGTGTAACTGGGGATTGTGTACACTGGGTATTAAAAGGGGGTGAAACTATCCCAACTCTATGTCTGAATTTCATGCAAGTTCAAATTCAGTGCACTTTGTGTTGGCTTTCATTTATTTGAAATGTATATCTGAAATATACATCTGAACACTAGAATTTTTTTATGAGGTATCACATAAAAAATGTGTTGTGCGTTCTCTGTATTTTTTATCAAGTTTTCCTAAATATATTACAGATGGGCTTCATAGAACATGAGCTGTAAATATTACTAGATCCTGTCTTCACATGCAGGGGAAGTCCCTAACACACAGAGAGACTCATTGGCTACCCTCACCTTGATAAGCCAGCCAGTTGAAGCCATTCCTGAGATATGGCTTTTGTTGCATGCTAGCAGCTTCTAAGAGCCACAGGTGAGAGCTGAGTGCAGGGTGGGACCAAAGGTGGACAAACCTTTGCCTTCAGCTGTGGATGGCAAGGAGCAGGTGGCCGTGCACTGCCACTCCACCACCTTTCTACCTAGCCTTGGTCCACTGCCTGAGTCATGAGACTTGCTTTGGCTCACTGGAGGAACAGCCCTGAACCCAGTAACCAGAGTAATTTGCTGGGAGGTGGTATGTTCCTATTTATTTCTGGACTCAGTTTAAAATGCTAGTCTTAGCCCAGGGGTCAGCAACCTTTTTCAGCAGTGGGCTGGTCCACCGTCCCTCACACCATGTGGTGAGCCAGACTATTTTTTTGGGGGGGGGGAATGAACAAATTCCTATGCCCCACAAATAACCCACGGATGCATTTTAAATAAAAGGACACATTCTACTCATGTAAAAACATGCTTATTCCCGGACCATCTGGGGGCCAGATTCAGAAGGCGATTGGGCCACATCTGTCCCATGGGCCTTAGGTTGCCTACCCCTGTCTTAGCCTATAAAGCTCTAAGAAACTTTGATGAAGTTGGAAGATGGAATCTTCTTTGTGGTCACACCAATATGAATCATTGTAGCGCAAGGGTGGGGAATCTTAGGTTTGGTGACCAAACACAACGCTCCAAGCCCCTCTCTATCTAGCCCTTGGGACCCTCTCCAGGCCATGTTTTTCACTGATGCTGCTCTACAACCAAACAGTCTCTCAACCACCCAGTGCTTTTGCCTGGCGGGATTGTTTCTGTGAACTGAATACTGTACTTCTTGCTTGCCTGAATAGAGGGTAGAGAGTGGAGAGGTGTGGCCGTGTGTAAAAATTTCTGGTTTTTGCATGGCTGGAATGCAGAGCTAATGTGCAAATGAAAGAGTTGCATCTCTTTTCACCCACTTTTCACAACTGACCACACCCACTTTTACTTCTGGTTCCCAAAAGCCTAAATTGTCCACATTTAGGCTGAAATAAGATTCCCTACTGCTATTGTGGAGATTTGCCTAGCTCTTACCAGTTATCTTTCATATAGATATTTAAATTATTTTTATTCAAAAAGGCTTTTAATACCTCATTCTGTTACTGTGTTCAGTGATTTCAACAACTATTTTTCATGCCTAGTTTGTAACCTGCTCTAGCAGAAGGATGGCATATAGATACAAAAATAAATAATGAGTGCATCATATAATTTCTGGCAACTCTACACCCCATGAATAGTTGCAGAGTCAGCCTCATATTCCTTTATTTCAAATCTACTGTTTTTAGGGGTTTGTTATTGTTTTTCCTTAAGCATGGGAAGACATTGATACTTTCCCCTTGATGGGGAAATGTTAACTTAAATGGAATGTTTGTTTATACTTCTAGATTGCTTGTTTATTTTAGTAATGGTAAGCTAGGCTCAGTGCCCTTGTAAGGACCTGTTTAAAAACGATCTGAATTTTTTTATACAGCCCCCCCCATTCTATTACTGGATATTATCCCTTGGGAGTTATACTAACTGACTAGTAATAAACCTGCCTCCTAGACAGCACAGTTGGATTCATTCAAACAAGTAATATAAAATTAAGGATGAACATTTGCAATTAATTCTGAATTAACAAAATCTCACTAAAGAATCCTTTATGTGTGATTTTGGGAATGTGTTTCTGTTAGATATAGGTTCCAGTTGGAACCCAGAGTTTAGCAAGCATCTTGCAGCAAAAAAATTATTCTCCTTCAAATGTTGGTTATCTTGGAGATCAAGCACACATGGCGATTTCCTTTTACCTTTGTCAAATGATCAAGATGATAGATTCTAGTAACCCCACCATACATCCTTTAAGCTTTGCATTTTTCCTCTGCTGGCTTCTGTGTGCTGCAGAATAGTATCTTCTTTCTAAAAGGGACCTGCTATTCCACTGACCCCCTGCTGTCTTATTGTTTCTTTGTGCTCCCTCTTCTCTTACTCTCTTGTTGTCTTTAGATTTATCACCTACCCTTTCCAAGGTCTTGGGTTGAGTAACAATCTGTTTCCCTTAAAAAAAGCCCATGCTAGAATGCAAACATAAAGTTAATGGCTCTGTTTCTCTCCATAGACTTCAACCCAGTATGCTGACAGTGGTTGTTATCTGAAAGAGTGTTGTTAGTTGTCCCCCATGTTCCAGAGGCCAACCAGAAGCTGTGCATTTAGTGCCACTGGTTCCATGCTGCAGAAAACCCTTCCAAACAGAGACTCAGCAGGCATCCTTGCTTTTGCCTTTTGACTCTTGAAGACATTTTCATGCTGACAGGGCCCATACAGTTGTTTTGAATTTTCTTGAGTAGCCAGTCATTTCAATAATGGTACTGTGCTATTTTTAATGGCTTATCTTTTTATATTGTTGTACACTGCACTTATATTTTATGAGAGAGCAGCATATAAATACTTCTATAAATATAAATATATAGCAAACAATACAGTGGTACCTCGCAAGACGAATGCCTCGCAAGACAAAAAACTCGCTAGACGAAAGGGTTTTTCGTTTTTTGAGCTGCTTCGCAAGACGATTTTCCCTATGGGCTTGCTTTGCAAGACGGACACGTCTTGCAAGTTTGTTTCCTTTTGCTTAACACCGTTACTACAGTTGCGACTTGACTTCGGGGAGCAACTCATAGACCGCGGTGTGGTAGCCTTTTTTGAGGTTTTTAAAGACTTTGGTGATTTTTGAAGCTTTTCCAAAACTTTCCCGACACCGTGCTTTGCAAGACGAAAAAAATCGCAAGACGACAAAACTTGCGGAACGAATTAATTTCGTCTTGCGAGGCACCACTGTATGTTCAACCTAAACTGGTAAAATATTTCAGGCCGTGGGATAAATATAGCTGCATATGAAAATTGTAATTGATTTTACAAGCCCCAGACAAGAACCAATTAAAAGCTTCTGAACAAAACTTGCTACTTCTACAACATCATGATGAAGCCATGTACTGTGAAGTTGCAATGCAGCTTATTATGCTATAAAATATATTGCAATAGATGATGGCATCCCTTTGGGGGGGAAATATTACGTGGCAGGCAGAATTCAATGGGGAATTATTTAGGAAACTGACTGTTGATCTAGGGAAGAGACACTCCCGGAAACATATGGCTTCCAAGATCAGTTTTTATTATCTATGGCACTGTTCTAAGTGGGCTTCTGTAGTCCCTCAGTGGTATTTAACATTCATTCCACTTGTAAGTTATAACACTGCCAGTTTTGATACACTAGCGTAGTGTAGTGTAGGTTGTCAGAATTTGTTTTAAGAGCACTAGCAAGAAGCAGATACTCACAAGTAGCAGCTAGACTTAGACCTGCTTTGCCTGTAACTCTAAGCCAATGCTGGGAAAGCTGTGGACCTAATGTAGCTGGACTCAAACTCCCACTATCCCTGACTGCAGACCATGCTGGCTGGGGCTGAAATAAGTTGGAGATCAGTAACATCTAGAGGGCCATAGGTTCCCCAGCCCTGTCCAAAGCCAAAGCATGCCTTAGCGTGACTGAGCAAATGTACAAGCTTCCAGTGAGAAGATTGTGGTTGCTTTGCTTCTGTATCGTAACTGTGGGCGAATCTGTCATTTGGCTTACTGTTACATCCTAACCTGGGCTCATGGTTTATCTCTTCCAAACAAGCCACAAGCAATGCATCATAGAACAAGTATTGACTGCATCTTATGGTTTGTCTGGAGCAAAATAAACCATGAGCCCAGGTTTGGCTGCAATGCTAAGCCAAATCACAGTGAAGCTCAAAGCAGTGTGGCAGCAGCAAAACTAGGAGGAGCACAGCAGCTGCAATGTTCTCAATGGGAACCCACATGTTGGCTCATTCAAGCTAAGCCATGGTTTGCTTTCATGTTAAGTGTGTATTGGGCATTAGTGGCATGACAGGCTACATGTTTCTTGAACCATCCGAACAGGCAGCACCTCTGTCTTGCTTGAATTTAACATCAGCTTGTTTCCCTCATCCATCCCCAAACTGCACTAGTTTGAATTTCCACAGGCTCTGAGATTTAAAAAAAAAGGGGAGGTGAGAGCTGGAAACTCAGAAACATACCAACAAAACTATAGCTTAAACTTCCAGATGACTTTCCCCAGCATTATCATGATAGATGTTTAAGATCAGGAGGTACAATATCGATTCTGTGGAACCCCTTTGGCCAAAGGCCAGGGAATGGAGCTAAGTCCTGCAGTATCACCTTATGGAAACAACCAAAACAATGCCTCCTAAGCCCAGCCCAAGAGATCCAGAAAGATACCATGGTTGATGGTACTGAAACCAATGAGAGGTCCAGAAAAACTAGTAGGGTAGCGTTCCCCACATAGGTTATCTTGCTCAAGTCATCTGTCAAGGCAACAAAACTGTTTCATCCCACAACCAAGCTTGAAACCAGATTGGAATTGATGCTTCGTTCAAGTCTACCTTGAGATGACAGGCTGCCAAGTACAACAGAAAGCATGCATACTTACATACATACTACATACTTAAACCAAATTCCATGCTATAGATTTCTCTTGCATTTAAAATCCAGGGCACATAAAAGAAGCGTTAGTTTTTTTAAAAAGCATTTTTAGAATAGTACATTCTGCCACAGCATCTTCTTATTTCACGCTTCTATTTTAGAAAGACTTTCTACACATTGCCACCTTGTGGATATATCACCTAACTGTATTATTGTTCTCCAGTCTTCACATCACATTGCTTTTCATGTTTTATACAGCTTGCTGCATATATTGGATTAGTTACTGGATCAGTTAGTTAAGTGAGATACTTAAACTAATATTTTAAAAATCCAATAAAATTCTCAGTCATTTGTCATTATAAATATGGTATGCCACTGAATGGCTTTATTGTTTAGAAATACTGATTGCAATGTTTTTGAATTGTTTTACATGTACTGCCAGCCACTTTAGGCTTCCTGTAGGAAGAAAAAGAAGGTCATAAATATGAAATTCAGTCAATATCTGTCTTAGTAATGCAACAAAAACACAAAACTTACTTTGTGCATTCATGCACCTTCCCCAATTGCTAGAATGAAATGATTCTTTGCAGCAATTCAGTTCTGAAAAAGAAAATAAAGCATTGTTTAGCTCAACAAGAAAATCAGAAGCAGCAACCTAAGACATTTGTTTTTACAGAGGCACAGTCATATAGCCATAGAAAGATGAGAAAATATTCATTACAGTGCACACTATCAAACATAGAGCTACTGTTAACAAGATGCATCTCCTATATTGTGATGTTTCCTTGATCTAGGCATAACACATGCCTGAAATCTGAAAAAACACAAAAGGTAATTGGAAAGACAGACTGTAATCACTTCTTCATTCTAATGAGCAGGCCCCACTAAGCCCTGGGAATTCAACATGGTGCAATCCTTACACAATTATTTATATAAATAGTTAGAGTGCGAATACCCATAGGACACATCAGGATATCTGTATGAATGTTACATCATGCTGCAGTACAAAGGTGTTTATCTCCAAGATAAAAAACACACACAGAGAGAAACTGTTCAGAGATGTTTGAACCTAAGCAAAAAACAAAAAGTGCTTTATATGTCTTCTCCAGAATAAAAGACTGGTTGATAGCCTAAATGTGAAAATACTGAAACTTAGGCCTGTAATATAAAATGAAGGATATGGCAGAGAAGCAGTGTGGCTCTCTGGATTGGTTGTAGGTAAGAAAGCAGGCAGGTGCAGGGTGGGCTGAGGGCAGACTGAGGTTGGTGGGACGATTCCCATGCAGCAGTAATATCTCACCTTGTTCTTCTTTTGGTATCTGTACACATGGAAAAGCACTATTTGTTTGCAACGTTCAGTCATGTAACACTGTGTGTGAGCTATCTGGGGTAGCTAAATACTTAGCCACCTCACAGCCATCTTCTAGTTGCTATGGTTAGGTAAGATTTGTTCTCCTTGCACCCTCCAAACAGATTGCCTCTCAGGACACAGAGATCCTTCAGATTCATAGTGAAGCAATACTTTCCCCTCTTGAATGGCAACATTCGAAAATGCGTCAAGTGAACTGATATTACCCTTCATTTACTTTCCAGTTCTTAACAGCTTCCATTCGCTTCAGCATATCACTTGATATCTTCCAAGTACAAGCTGTCAGTTCCCCTGAAACTCTTACCCCCGAGCACCAAGACCTTGCCACATTTCCTTTCCAACACTTTCATGCACATGACAGAAAGGTGCAAATTTAAATTTCCCAGTTATATGGAGTGCTAAACCAAGTGATTTCAATGATTAATATTCATTAAATGATGCATGGAATAGGAAGCTACTTAAGGAAGCAGGACAAAAAGCTGAGTCAGATCATTGCTCCATCTCACTGAGTATTGTCCAATGCAGCCAACGTGGTGCCCTCCAGGTGTTGTTGGGACTACAACTCCTATCAGTGCCAGTCAACAATGGTCAGAGACAATGGAAGCCATAGCCCATCAACTATTGCTGACCCTGCGCCACATATATATTTGCGTGGCTGGAACATGTCCTTGAGCTATAGTGTAGTGGATGGTAGGGAGCGGTGTGAAAGTCTGTGCAGAAGCTGGCCTAGTGTACAAAGATAAAATTCACACCCATTGCTCTGCTTGCTTTTGCCTCTGGCTTCATCCACCACTGGTGTGTGCCCCTCAGAAGATTGCTCAGCAAGGAATGGAGTCCCCAGGCTGAAAAAGGATTCTCAGCCCTGATTTAGGTAGAGGATCATTCTCTGAAGAGAAACTCCCTTAAGCTATTAGCTCACCTCAGTTCTCCAATCTTAGAAGCACACACTGCTAAGTGTTCCATTACAACAAATGAAAATGTATTATAAGCCAGGCACAAAAGCTCTGCAAGATAAGGGGGATCACTAACTTCTGGACTATACCAGGTTCCTTGACTGATACATGGTAACCTTCTGGCTTGTCAACCTAGTTTGTGTGTGTGCACAAGTAGGATAGCACGAGGGGCTCTGTTTTTGTATGCTTGTGTGTGTGTGTGTGTGTGTGTGTGTGTGTGTGTGTGTGTGCGCGCGTACATACCTAGCACCAATTGAAGAGGGAAGATAAAGGCTTTCTAACTTATGCTTTTATTCACAAATCTATTAGTTCTTTCATTTTGGTTGGGACAGGCAGTGTGGTACCCTCCAGATGTTTTGGACTCCAATATCCACCAGTTCCAGTCAGCATGGTCAGAGATCAGGGATGGTGGGAGTTGTAGCTCAAGAAGGTCTGCATGGAATCATGTTGACTATTTTTGCCTCAATGAGTTGGCAGTTGGATGCCTCCCTCTCTTCTTGTCATCAGAGGTTTCCTCTGCCAATCTCTGGTCAAATCAATTCTGCCCAGCGGCAACTCCTCTGCCTCAACTCAATTTGGGACATCAAGCAGGTCACATTTTTCTTCTGTGTTCAGGGAATCTGACATATTACAAGGCTGAAGGTATGACATATTATGTCAGTTGTTTTGCTTTGAGAAATCATGATGAGGTGCAAAAAGCAATGAAAGGCACTGAAGCATCACTTCCAGACCACTAAAAATTCTACCCATTTGCCACCCCTGCCACCTGTACTGCCTTGCTTTGGTTGCTGACCGTTCTCCAGGCATAGCATACTTATAGACTTGGAAGGCTAATTTGCCAGTGGTACCATCAGGGCAGGACTTTGGGGCAGGTATCCAGAGCCTCACTCAGCAGAATGAGGTTCCCCCAAACTCATCAGGGTTGGCTTACCACAATTTGAAGTGAATGAAGCAATACAGCCATCTAAAGAAGGGAGGCCCGATTAAACTACCAAGTTCAGAGTCTGAGGTTACAGAACTGTACTACTGAACTTGATTTAGAAAGGGGGAGTGAATTAGATAAAAAGTTGATAATCTTAGGATGTTGGATCAATGGCAGTTTTCTATACAGTCCTGTTCATGATCCACCTCTGTGGAAAACCACAAAAAAATGGAGATACCACCAAAAACCAATGCAAAGAGAACTGGGAAGGTCCATAGAAAATTGATTCACATACACACAAAATTTAAAAGCCACAGTGAGTCTTCTGCTACACAGATCTACTTTTGAAGAGAAATGGGGGGGAAATGCTTTTTGCACGTATTGCATAGAACTATCACAGTAATCACAAACAATCGTCTTATGTTCCACTGTATTCTCTCCCATCATTATTATTTGCCCCAGCCTATGAGCCAGTTCTTTCATTATAGGAGCCACATGGCTGCCACTCCCTTCTTACTCCACCCCACACTCCCCATAGCAACATAAGAATGTAGGGAACAACATGGGAGGGAAGGACATGATTGTATGGAAAAAATGATGCTGGCATCAGAGTGTGGAGGATTACCATGGCTCTTGCAGTGAGATCCTTCCATGTGGTTTCTATGTGGTATGGGGCCCTCAAAGAGAAGTAACCACTAAGCTCTTGTAATATAAGAACAAAAGGGCAGAACATAAGAGCAAAAAGTCTGAAGCATTGGGGGGGGGGATCCACCCAGATGATGTGAAGATGTTCTAGATCTTCTATTGCTCAGGACGCATGCAATGTATATGTTTTCCCCACCCCAACAATAGCCAAAGTCCATAAATTCTTTAGAGTAACAAGCTTTCATGTTATCAGTCCACATATACAGGATATTCACTTCCACACTCAGGGGCTGGGGTGCCTATTAGAGGGAATGATAGAACTGCAGAGACATTCCAGACCAGTCTGTACAGGTAAGTAAAGGACTCAGAACTCTGCTAATGTCACATCAAAGACACCAGGGACATAGCTACATTAGTAAAGAAATAGTGTTTTAAATGCATTATAACACTGGGACACCAGATGGTGCTGTGGAGTTCCATCTTTCACCAATGTGCTTTCCCATTACAGTGGTACCTTGGGTTACAGACGCCTCAGGTTACGCGATTTTGGGTTGTGCACTGCGCTGAACCCGAAAGTACCAGAACGGGTTACTTCTGGGTTTTGGTGCTCACGCATGCACAGAAGTGCTAAATCGTGCTTTGTGCAGAAGCATCGAATCACAACCCGCACGCGCAGACGTGGCACTGTGGGTTGTGAACACTGCGAGTTTCGAATGTGCCTCCCACACAGATCACATTAGCAACCCGAGGGTCCACTGCATGAGGTTTACAACACGTTTTCCCGAAACATTTTTTTGATGTGTCTAGATCCAGTCCGGTACTGCTAGATTGTTACTCCAGTGCTGATGGTCAAATAATGACTTATGCAAATATAAAGACGGTGCTACTGGGCTGGTTTAGGCAGCAATCCTAAACATGCATTATGAAATCAGTTCCATGGAACTTAGTAGGACTTCATTCCAAACAAACTTGTTTAAGACTGGATTGTTAGTTTCAGAACTTGATAATCATCCACTTAAATGCCCAGTAGACACACACAGAAGCAGCAACACGAGAAACTTTTCACTGTAGAAAACAATATGTGAGATTATTTTTAGTGCCATTAAAGTCTCTGCAATAAATGCACTTTAAAGCTCTTACCAACATTATGTCCCCTAATCTTCAGGGCCAAGGATACCACTTTTCATTATCAATGAGCCTGACAAGCATTCATCTGAACAACTCTCACTTGAGCCCTCTGGTGCTCAATTGATTTCACAGTGAGTTAAGAGCTTGCAGCACCTGACATTCCATAACAAGATCTATAGAATTCGCTCAAGGCCACAGGCAGAACTGTCGAAGTTCTCCATCATGCTGTCTAAAGATGTCTTCAAAATTTTCATAGGCAAGTGATCATATCCATAGGAATACAGTCATAAATATTTTATTGGTTACTATTAAACCATGGACACCAGAACAAGTAGAACAAGTATGTTGACATACATGGTGGCCTTTTGTAATTGTAAGTAAGCCTATGCAAAGCTATCCAAACTGCTTCCAGATTAGAACACTAGTTGATGTAGTTTCTTGTGCTGAACTTTACTGAACAAAAGCTATCTATCTCACAGTCAAATTAAGTAGGACATCAGTGATGCATTAATACAATTCCAATGTCTCTTTGCTCTCTCAGTCTTTTTGCTAATTGTAGCCACTGGGCATTCAAAGTTGGATCAGATTCCAACCAAAATGTTTATTCGGCTTTACGCCCATCATAAAGCACAACACACAAAACAAATCAAATAAAACAGCGGTCTCGAACAAGCCACAAGTAATATAACACAATTCACAGCTCACAAGGACAAATATTGGCAAATCAAAACAGAAATTTAAGATTAAAGTTAAAAATTTGGGCACTACGCTAAATCAATTTCTGATGTCAATATCAAAAATTCTTATAAGTATCAATAATCAGTTAACATTCCATTCCGTCTCTTGTACGAGAGAACGGCTGTTAGGAATTTAGCAACCTGTAGAGTAATATAAGGATCTACATCTTGAAGAACCCAGGCAAGCTGTAGGTCTACTGGTTTGTCAGCCATAGGCTGGATTATGGAGTTTAGTATACTAGCGCGAGCTAAACTGTACATAGGGCAGATAAACATAACATGATGTAAAGATTCAGATGTTTTCATTTCACAAGCACACATTGAAGGGACTTGGCCCTTAGTGAATCTATGTCTCAGCACGTTTGTTGGGAAAACATTGAACCTGGCTCTAATGAAGGCATATCGGTGAGATGCGGCTATAAGCGTTGGATCAGATTGTGTCAGGAGGGCGGAAGGCCCTTAACGGCTACTTTCAGCCAAAGGGAGAGAAAGAGACAGATGCCTTCACACATCTAACACCATGTCGAGTTTGGCTCCCAGCTATGTAGTTTTGCTCACAAATATCTTATCAGAACACTCTTGTGGTATTTCAGCCCCAGGAACTTGACTTTCTGAAGTATCAAGGAATCAGGGGTTATTAAAGTGAACACCAGGTTAACTGACTGATATAATAACATGAAAAGGCCCTGCTCCATTTGCTTTTGTCCAGAGACAGTTCTGTAAATCAAAAGAGGCAACCTGTTTCAAAGTTAGCCTTTACTCTGCATTTCTATTCCCAGTCCAACCATTGCTCCAAGGCCCAGATCCTAGCAGCAAGTGATCATGCACTGAGGCACACATTCACATGGAAAAAAGTTAAGTGGGACTCAGCTGCATACACAGCAATTTCTGTTATTGGTCTAGAAGTTATGGTTCCTGAATATATGCTCGCATGGAGAAGATAAAGCACTGCCTGCTTTTGTGAATCAGTTCTATGGTATATTTAAAGCACTGCCCAAAATCATTCTTTCTTTTTCCTTCAGGATAACCTTTGAGTGTCCATAAATGCATACAAAATGTCCTAGGTTAAAATTGTGGCTATTCCAATTAAAAGTATCATGGGGGGCTGAGAAAGATTTATTCCCAAGACTTTGGAGAGCTATTGCCAAAGCAGACAGTTCTAGATGGACAAACAGTCTGGCTAAGTATAAAGCATCTGTATAAGATGACATTTATGCACCACTATATTAATCCAAGCACCATTCCAGAGTGCGTTTCCTGCGTTTTAAAATGCTAAAGGAAAAAGGCCGAGAATCTTTAGAAAGGTTCTTCAAAACATGGGGAAACAGCCATTGCCGATTCCTTCTCAGCAACCATCAGTGCATCCTGAAATTATTCTGCATCTGGCAGAGACTATTGTAATTAAGTATTCCTACCATCCCCTGAAATCCACCTTAACACTATTACACACAACAGACTTTGAAGTCTCCCAACAAACATCATGCCCAGGCAGGACAAGTGCAAGACATTCCACCATCTCAAGATGGGATGGTGTTGCCACCACCTTCTCCTCATTTTCCCCGCTGCCACCTCTTCCATCTTCCTTCTCTTCCTCCAGTGCTGCTGCTACTCCCCCATGCTGCCAACAAAGTGGCAGCAGTGCAGACATTCCATGTCTTGCACAAAGGGGTCATTCCACAGAGAGAAGCATTGTGGGCAAGGTTGCCTAGAGGGCACATATGCCGCTGATGCTTAACCACAATGGTGGCAAATTTCCTGTCTAAAGTTACATGAAACCTTTAAAAGTATCTGGACTATTCCAGTTTCTTTACTGTGAAGTAGAAACAATAACCCAAAGACATACTGAGACTTTTAAAAGGAGCTAGCTACACTTACAGCCAGCATTAAAAATGTTATTTTATAAAAGCAACTGTAGCTATGATCAGATCTCTAACAGCAAGACTACGAGTATGATCAGTAGGAAGAATTGGAGGACAGAGTGATATATGTTGCTACCCTCAACACCGAACCTGCCCTGATTTAAACCATTTATTCATGGCTGAGATCAGACACCATCCCTTTGCTTGCAGATGGGAAGTCTGGAATCTTACTTGTTGATTTTACTAGCTCTGACTTGTGACTTAGTTACAGGGGACAGAAGCCCACTGGAGTAAGAAAGCCAGTATGTAAAAAAGAAGAAGAAGAGTTTGGATTTGATATCCCGCCTTTCACTCCCTTTAAGGAGTCTCAAAGCGGCTAACATTCTCCTTTCCTTCCTCCCCCACAACAAACACTCTGTGAGGTGAGCGGGGCTGAGAGACTTCAGAGAAGTGTGACTGGCCCAAGGTCACCCAGCAGCTGCATGTGGAGGATCGGAGACGCGAACCCGGTTCCCCAGATTACGTGACTACCGCTCTCAAAGTATCCCTATTCCAAAAAGGATAGAGTTGTTACTTTTTAAAAAACAACAACAATAACACCAAACAAGCCAGGGATCTGTTCTATGTAGAAATGCAGTAAGGAATTGTATTTTGTAGTGATGTTCAACAGATGATCAGCAATGCCAGGAACAAAGAAGGGTTGCTTTCTAATAGGTCAGTTGAAAGGGAAATGGATTAACGGCTCCATCCAACTGAGTGTGATTCATTTCAAGGAACAAAAGCAGTGCCAGTAACCAGTAGCTCTTTTCAAGTAGAAGAAAACAATATCTATGCCCCCATTCAGGAAGATGTCTGGCTGCCAAGAAATCATCAGTGTTTTAGGTCCTATCACTTTGCAACCTTATCAAAGTATTCTGTTTCCTTTTCCATCACATTTGTTTGCCAGCTGAAGCCCAGAACAAACTCCGCATAAAACAACCTCTGCAAAACACATGAATCAAACCATAAAATGCAGGCTTATTAGAAACCTCAAATGTGTAATCTTTTTGACAATTACATCTTATGCAACAAAAGTTAATAGTTTCAGAAAACTTCACTTAGATAAGGAAATCTGATTTAAGCACAGACCTGTAATTAAATATTATACAGTTACTCAGATATTATAAACATTAGTTATTGAAACTTTGAAGTAAAAGTACAAATAGCACATAATAGTTATCACAAACAACTTATCCGGTTATCAGAAGAGGACAAATGTCACTATGCTATTTAAATAAACTCAAACACAATGCTGTAAATGACACAAAATGACTATAAATATTATTACTAAATTGCAGTAGACTGTTGCAGAGTAATTTTTTGTGTGTAAATCTACACAGTATGCAATACTGAGCACAAAGAACAGTTTCAACCTACAGTCACCTGACTGGACCAAAAAAGACTGTCAAACACCTTAGTGGTAAAGTTTATTTTAGTGTGCTTACAAAATTGAAAAGCAGTGTAAAAATGTTTCAGATACTGTAACTGCAAACTGAACTTCAGCTATGTGTATCTAGGTTCTGCAGTTTCTGCTCTCTGCTACAAAAGTCAGACCACACTCATTTCTTCTTCAACCCAAATCCTTTAGGAGACAACAGCTGCCAGCTAGACTGCAGAGCAATGAACCACGAGGTGACAATCTAACAACAGGAGATGTCTCCTGGTTAGCAGCCGTATCTGTACCTGGGATTACAACCACTGATAGCATTATTTGACGTATGCATATCTAGTGGCTCTGCACTGAGGAACTCAATGGAGATCAAGGCAGCATTGATCATGTGACATGAAAGGACAGGAGGGTATTAGAAATTTAAGGATTTCATTTGATAAGGGTTTGTCATTCTGTGGCTGCATACACACAATACAAAGCACCCACCCACACCAGGTCATGGGAATTGTGGGTGCTGGGAACTGTAGCTCTGTGAGAGGTAAATTACAGCTCCCAAGAGCCTTTTCTGAGGGGGGTGCAGATGTGCTTTAAATGTATGGTATGTATACAGCCATGTGCTCAATGTTGCAATGCTATGCACACATCTCTATGAGAAAGATCCACTGAATAAAGGGCATTGCCTGGTCTTCTTTTCAGCAACCTTACTATTCACCCAGGCCTTTTAAAATTTAAGTTTTGCAATTTCTCTGTTTGGCCTGCAAAGTTACCAGATGTGACACTGTTCCGTCCTCCAGACTCCAGTGCCTTACAGTCCCAGATAACATAACTGATCTCTCTGTTAGCCACACTTTCTCTAGCTAAATATACTGTAATTTTAGAGAGCCAAGTTCTGCCTAATTTTTGAATTTTAGTACTGTATACTCAATCCTTGATATGATGGGTCTCTGAACATTTACCTCGCTCCCATAGATATTGTATAACATTCATAACCTAAACTGAAATCTAAATTTGAAGCAAATTGCAAGCAAGACAAAAATAATAATTAGCCGTGCAATTTCTTATTCGCCTAGGACAAATCAGAGCTGTGCCAAGGCAAGGATTCAAGATTCAGCTGCATTGCTGTTGCTCTTTTTGCTCATGTTCCCATAGCTTCAGTTTCCTTTATCACTGCTACAACCAACAAAATGTAGTACACCTCCATAACAAACAGCTTTGTATAAACTCTCTTCTAGTCCATGCTTTATATGGAAAATGCCCTAAAGCCCAGAGTAAGAAAGACATGTGTTCTAATACCGACTAAGAAAGAGCAGCAATCATTGCAGAACCCATACAGGAAGTAGCAGCAACAACAGAGGAGGAGCTGCAGTGAGAAAAGTTGCTGATAGAAAGGGAGAATCAGTCCAGAGAACTGATTCTTCAAGACAGTTGATGACCTTTTGCTACAATGCACAAACTCCATTTACTGTAAATGCAGGCACACTTAACATAAACAGGTTAAGATGTATCTTGGATGCTCTGAAACCATTGCATAGCGTAGGGCAGCTTTTGCCCAAAAGGGTACCCTCTTAATGTTTTGCACTACAACTCCCATCAACAACCCCAACCAGCATGTGCTGGTGTAGGACATCAGAAAATCAAAAGGTATTACAGTAGAAGGCACTATGACACCAGTTAGGATCAAAGGACTCTAAGCTACAGCAAACATGCAATTAGATGCAGGGCAGCCCCTATGAGTTCCACGTGGAAAGGATAGTATTAATACTTTCTTACATGGGATGCACAAGAAAATAATGGCATCTACTTCTATACTCAGTTTTGCAGTGTTTCTAAATCCTAGAGAGTCCATTACATTCTGCAAAGATGGATATAAAAAACTAACTCCGTTGCTTACCTTGCATTATTCAGCATAAGAGGCGTTTAAAGAGCTATTCCCTAAAGTGAAGATTTTGAAGTGCCTTGGCATGGGAACCACAAAATCAGGCAATAAGCAAACCACAGTACAATTATAAGGATGAATACAGTGCTTTAAAGCTTTCTTTAAAATACAGCAAGCCACCCAGAGAAGCATCTTTTCTAAGCCTGCTCATGGGGTAGAGATTCACATTTTCACCTTTCCTAACTTTGCCTAGAGTTAGCATAGAATAGTCTTCCCCAACCTCATGCCTTCCAGAGGTCCCCATCTGCTCCAGCCAGCACAATCATCCCAATCAGGTTTTGTTTACAGTGGTACCTTGGGTTACATACGCTTTGGGTTACAGACGCTTCAGGTTACAGACTCCACTAACCCAGAAATAGTACCACAGGTTAAGAACTTTGCTTCAGGATGAGAACAGAAATCATCTCCGGTGGCACGGCGGCAGCAGGAGGCCCCATTAGCTAAAGTGGTGCTTCAGGTTAAGAACAGTTTCAGGTTAAGAACGGACCTCCGGAACGAATTAAATTCTTAACCCAAGGTACCACTGTACTGGTGGAGTGACAAACAGGTTTTGTGTATCAGTTTAAAGGGTATGGAGAAAGAGTAGCCCACACTACACAACCAATGTACAGAAGTTGTTTTATAATTTATGATCTACATGTGACCTGGTGCACAGCGACACATTTACTCAGAAATAAGTCCCATTGAGTTCAATAGGCATCACTCCTAGCCCAGCTAAATGGTGTATATCTGGGAGTACTGCAATCCATTGCTGTTCATTATTTCAATGCTGTATTAAAAAAACATGAGAAGTCTGACAGAAGGTAATTTCTAAAGCAATGTTAGTTTGCTTTAAAAAGAAAAGAAAAAAGCCCAGTGATTTTTCACACTTTCTTGGTTTGCCCACATCTCTGTCATAGCCAAAGTTGTTTTATATCTCATTAGTTCCTATCCAGAATGGGGAAGTAATTCTGACTTTTCATCTGTTATGTCATCACTGAGAATAGAATACTATCTGTAGGCCTTCTGGAGTGGAATCCACATATGAGCTATCTGGTGGTGTTCCAACATCTAGCCACGTCCCTAACATTTTACAGTTGTCTCATATACTTTCACAGGCTATGCATTTCCTAACAAGAACTGCACAAGCAACAGCCCACCAACTACTACCTTAACCACTTCCTTTGTTTAAGCCTGATGACAGGGCTTTCCTTCCTGAAGTGAATTAGCAAGCAAGGACTTTATTCTGAAGCCCCTCATTTACTAACACAAACACTTTCCCTTTTTGATATCTTTATCTAGCTTTGGAAGAAAGTAAGAAAGTAAGAGACAGTTTGAAAGTATTATTTAGACTGCAACCTTTTAATAACTACTTTGGAGTAAGTTCTATTAAACACAGAGGGATGAATTTAGAAGTAAAATTGATAGGTCTTTACTGCTAGATAAATCAATATCCATATTTTCAGCATCACAAACTAACTACTTCTTGCCTCGATTTTTAACTAGACTTTAACTAGTAGCCTTGGGAGTCAAGCTGGATGATATTAGGAGTTGGTTAGAAGAGAGAAAAGAAAGAAGAAAACAGCTTAGGAGAGACAGGGAAGGAAGTAACTATGCTTGCAGTTCTGCTTACCTGGGAGTAAGCCCCACTGGATTCAATGTAACTTATGCCATGGCTAAGGAGCACACTGTAACTAACAGCACCATGCATTTAAAGGTTATTCAATGCACTATAGAACACATGACTTCCTCACAGAATCCTAGGAAGTGTAGTTTCCCCCCCACAGAGCTTCAATTACCAGCACTCTTAAACTACACTTCCCAGGATTCTTTGGGGGCTGGAGTCATGTGTTTTGAATATGTGTTGAATAAGCTTTAAATGTATGGTGTGGATCTGCCCCACCTGGGGCATTCAGAAAGAAGGGGATAGAGCTGTCTCCTGCTTTCTTTTTACCCCTCTGCAATTTTATAGAAAAAAGCTTTGGTTTAGCTAGTTTTAAAAATTGTACTCCTGGGAAATACCATTGATTATAAATAGCTTCAACTCAAAGTTTGTTTGTTTGGCACTATGATTCACAATTTCTTTGAACAGATTTAATGACTCATGTACCATAGCATACAGTATAAGGAAAATGTGGTTTAAAATCCATCTAACGAAGTTTAATGTTGTCCTTCAATACTTGTTAATTTCAAGATGTCTTCACCATTTTAGTGAGGATCCCATAGGGAACTTGAGATGTTGTATGTGAAAGTAATGGAATGTGTATTATTAAAAATTTCCCTAGGTCTAGCTGCATACAGAAAGTAATAGCAAGCATGTCCTGTTCTTCTTTCCCAAGTCATTAACTTCCTCCCTTAAGCATTTCATTTGCTAGGTGGCCTTAGCTTTGCTTTGTCATACCAGATTGTGAAACTAAGTATTAAACTTAGATGTAAAAGAAGGAATCTTTTTCTGATGTTAATCTAATAAAAAGAAAGAGATCAGCTACAAGTTGGAGTAGCTCAGTTGGTAGAGCATGAGGCTCTTAATCTTAGGGTCGTGGGTTTGAGCCCCATGTTGGGCAAAAGATTTCTGCACTGCAGAGGGTTGGACTAGATAACCCTCGGGGTCCCTTCCAACTCTACTATTCTATGATTCCAAGTTACAAAGCTGTTACAACTCAGAGAATAAGTGCCATTATAACTGCAAGAAAGGTTACTCTAAAATTAAATGCAACTTCGCAGTTTGATAGAAGACGTATATGATATGAGCTGAGTCATATTTCTATCATCTTTGATAAAGATGAAATTAACTGAAAATAGTTGTTTATATTTTAGCAATTATCATTTAATATCTCATTTACTGAAGTCTAGGGCAAAAGTCTAGGGCTGTAGTAAGCTGCACTACAGACAAGCTTTATTTGCTTAGATAGACTAAAAGGTAAAAACTTCAGTATTTTAATTAGGGAGGCATTAATGAAATCCAGAAGCCCCAGATTCTCCCCCATATCCATTTTAGTCATTATGGTCCCCATGCTGTTAAGGGGGCTTCCCCCTGTAATTCAAACGCTGCAAAATTTCCTACAAAAGCACACTGTCATATTGGCAGAAATCCTGTTTACTGTTATCCACAGTTAATTGCAAAGTCCTGCAATTCCATTCTGCTATGGCAACAGCTTTGGGTTCACTGTACAAGATCTCAGTCTAGTTCCTGTACTACTGGAGTCAAACACCGCCTTGGGATGCAAATGGTAGTAGTACTGTCCTGCTCTGGTATTTTGGGTATGTTGTACAAATGTATTATTTGGCACAGGACAGCGCCCCTGGTGGAACAGTGATTCTAAAAATAATATTTCCATTGCAGTTAAAATGGATGCACAAGTTGTTTCAAATGCTGATAAGAGAGTGGGGGAAATGGTTGGAAGGTCAGAAAGGTCTTTAGAGTGAGAATGGCCAGGTGCAAATAAGGCTTGCAGGATAGTTTCAGGCGTTCTGCAAGGCCCATTTGTCAAACTCATATCTGTTCCTTCTCAAATTAAATAACTGAGCAAGGGAAAGTTCATTTCCAAAGTGGCCAATATCTGTAGTGGCTAAGGGTATTTCAAAGAGAGAGAAATGCAACTTGAAAGTGAAACATGTCCTGTGGTATATTTTGACAACATCTCCCCTGATCCAAGTTTATGTATTCAGATGTAGCGTGTGAAACACCTCAGGCTCAGGTTTCTCTTACAGCTGGGCTGCTTTTGGAAGATTTTTTTTGAAAGAGGAACCAGGGATCCAAACTGACTCCTTACATTGAAAGAGATGCTGCCACATTTACATGTTATCAAGTGAGAACTGCAGAAACCACCAAAGCTCAAAGTCCCCTGCAGTGTTCACCTTTTAATGGTGCTGAATTCTCAAAGAGGCATATTTCTCAGAATATTTTATTTCAGGGCTATATCCACAAATGGATTTACTAGGATAGTCCCCCTCTCCTAAACTCCAACTCTAATCACCCACAGTGCAACTGATTCTCCTTACCTTTTCAACCTTCAGAATCCTATTTCACAGTAGTTTACCAATATTATGTGGCCTTTCCATTGCAATAGGTCAACTTCCAAGCATTGTGCAGTCAGTAGGTCCTTGTGGCTAATCTGCTGTGAGTGCTATTCAGAATAAAGGTGGCTTTCAGCCTTAGAATTTGTTTGAGCCTTTGAATTTGTTTGTGCCTTTGAATTTTAAGTCAGTTTGTAATCCATGCGGAAATGGAAGAAGAACAACTAAAGGAGAGACAATAGCAGCAGAATAAAATCCCCTGCCAAAATTCTTCTGGGCAGTTCCTTCACCACTGTCTCTTTCAAGAACAATGCAGTATTGTGCATGTCTACTGACTAGCAAGTCCTCACTCCCACCAGAGCATTGAGTCCCAACAGTGTCCCCTAGTTTTTAAGACTTAGCTGTCATTCCTAGTTAAACACCACATATATTACAGCACCTCTCTTAACCTGTTTTTCTGATGTTTTGTTAAGGGCTCCAAAAGCAGAGTCATTCATGCATAATTTATTCTGCAGCATTTCCCCCACGCTTGGGTATACTGGGTGGAGCACCAGCTCTGCCCTTACTCTGAAGCCACAAACTGAGTTGTTTATATCTCTTGACATATTTAATCATAGAACAGGATGATTAAAAGAGCATGGGAAGCTAGCTTAAGTTACAAAAATGTTAAGGGTTGAAAGAACAATCAACGATGCAAAAATGTTAGCCAGCTTCTGTCCTAGATGCCATATGAAGCAAAATCAGTAGTGAGGACCGTAATTCACAAACTTTAGGTGTGTATTTTAGGAGTAAATAACACAGGAATCCTATACTAAATGATTTCCCATAATTTCTGTTGTCCATTCATTTCTCTCCTTAATTTTGCACATTACTTTAAGTTCATGGTCCTTACCTCTAAAGTTGTCTGCCCGTGTCCCCAAATACTCTTCCATGATTTCCCCTTTCTCCCATTTCTATTCTCTTGTTCAGAGCATCTACTATTTTTAGTATTCTATGTCTACATAGTGCCATCAGGGTGCCCAGAGTTGTACAGAACTTAGAAGTAACCAAGTCCTTGCTCACCAGACCTGCTTGACAACACAAGGCTAGCACTGGTTTCCACTGCAGATGTGTTTTCTTTTGTTCTGCCCCACAAGATAGACTAATGATCCTGGGTACTGTAGTTTGCTAACGTGGCTGGGAATTGTAGGGGCAAGGCATGTCTTTTAAATGTGTGTTGGACATGTTCTAAAAGTATAGTGTGGATTTGCCTTCCATCCCTCCCTTTAAGTCTTTCCTCAAAGCTTATTTGGACTTTGCCCAAATTTATTCATTCTGTGCTCACTGTCTGCTACCATCTAACTCCCTTAACTTTACTATAAAACACAGATCCTTTTCTCTGAAATTGTGTTCATCTCATTTAGCGTAAAAAACCCACAGCTCAAGTGACCCCCTCAGTTCTGCGTGCTGTACAATGTCCAGCACACATTGTTGGTGGGTTACTAATAATAATCTAACCTTGAATAACACAAGCAACAGACTGGTGGCTGATTGCCCAAAAAACTATTTTTAAACCCAGACTTCAGTCTTACTCATATTTAAAAGCAAAGTACTTATGCAGCTAGCAGATAAGAGCTGCCCACCATACGAGCAAATTAACTCCTGACATAAGCCCATGAAGCGGAGCAAGTTCAAAGCAGGATCCCCATAATTCTGAATCATACTCAGTGTTGGGTGTAGCCTGTGAGTAATTTGTTGCCTACTTCTGCTGCAAACTATTTGACTTTCCACTGTGATAACAAACAGTTCAGTCCCTAACGTCATTCAACCCTATTTAGAGGAAGGTCCTAGAAGAGGATAGATTCTAAAAACATTGTATTTTGAGGGGGGAAGGGGTCAGGATAAAAATTTCAGTGACTGCTTTTCCACCCTGCTTATATTATTCTTTCAGTAGACCTCCAGTGACCTCCCCCCATATGACTCAGTAGGATTAAACACTGTCACAAATCATAGGCTTCAACAAGGGGTCAACAAATCGTCATGTCTGAATCCTGTCCTAAAGTATTCCCTTGGAACAATAAAATGTAGATTCCAGGCTTGCTGTTGACAGAAGAAGCATAAGGGCAGATACTCTTCTCCTTTGACAGGCCCACTGCGAGTTGCATTCTGACACATCATGTACAAGGCACATTAGAGTGGCTGACATAATTCTTGTTCACCAAAGAATTGCTTCTTCTCAAGGTGCAGACAGACATATATTCTAAAATTGCCGTCATGTGCTCACTTTCCTGGGAGAAAGCCCCACTGAACTAAGTTGGACATACTTATGAGTAGGTGTGTATAGGATTGCACTACTAATAGGGTGGAGGTGGTTTGAATGCACAATTATCTGCCTCAGAAACATGCCTCATAACGCAGTGAATGTGGTGGCAAATGCACTTCCACCACACCCCAAGCACTCCCTACCACATCAGCTCCTTGTCAGTTTCACTCAAGAGTTTACAGTGTTTGACAATGAATACCTAAGTGCTGATTGCTTTAACAATGTTGTTCCATATTTCTCTAGTCCTAATTGATATGGTGAGGCACAATGCAAACAAAAGGAGCGGTGGCTATGAAAGACATACAGGCACCTGCACAGAAATGGGTCCAGACTATGTAGCATTTGATCACCTGCAATCTGACTTGCATACTCTTCATTCTGAAATAAGGCTTGGCCTAATTTGCAAAGTTATTCATAAACAGACTTTTAAAAGAGAACATATAGACATATAAATATTTTATGTAAAGAATATGTAAAGTATGAGATGTTAAATAGAAATGTCTTGGCCTTTTATCTCTAAAGGTATACAGTGGTACCCCGGGTTAAGAACTTAATTCATTCCAGAGGTCCATTCTTAACCTGAAACTGTTATTAACCTGAAGAATCTCCTTTAGCTAATGGGGCCTCCTGCTGCCACCGCGCCGCCATAGCGTGATTTCTGTTCTCATCCTGAAGCAAAGTTCTTAACCCAAGGTACTATTTCTGGGTTAGCGGAGTCTGTAACCTGAAGTGTCTGTAACCCGAGGTACCACTGTACATCCTTTGCACCCAAAAGGAAACTGTCTCAAACATGCATGGATGTAGTTCAATAATATCTTACCCCCTCAAAATGGGTATTTGTTGCCATTAGAAAGTAATGTTTGCCAAACTTTTGAATGAGCCATGCTTTTAACAAACAGGATATTTGTTTGAGCATAAGAAATTTGACCACCATCTAATTCCTCTTTAGGACAGGTGGTGTTAAAAGATGCCCTGGACGTCAGTTAAAATAAGGGAATCCATATCCCATTTTAAACTTTTAGAATATACCTTTGTTTGACTGCAAACTAGTGAGCATGCATCTGAGTGCAACAGAATGTGCTTCTACCAAAATAAGCAGATCTGCCACACAGAGGCATATCTAGGCTCCCTTGTGCCCCTGGCAATGAGCTGTATTGGCACCTTTCCATCCCTTGCGCCCTTGCCAGAGGAACCTGTGCACTTTGCCCGGCTTCCTAGAGCAGCAGAGGAGCAACACAGGAAGCGTGTGGATGGGCAAACAGGCTTCTTCTAGCCATTCTGAGCCACAGGCCTTTGGCATAAGCTGCCCTAACCAAGCCCTAGATACACCTCTGCTCCCACATACTGTTGGGATTTAAGGGTATATTATCCCTCTCAACATTGCAATGTAAGTAATGCTTACCACTGTTTGGAACAATCAGTAGATGTGCCTGTGTAGGAAACAGAACTGTGAAGTTAATAATTTATCCAAGTTAAGTTCTTCTGCAGAATCTTACATGAAGTTTTGCTGTAGTTTTAGCCTTTTTATCACTGCTATTCTCAATAAAGACCAAATTCTAGCAAATTCTCCTAGTGTCTCTCAGGGTCCATAGAAAAAGCGGCTCTGGTTAACTACTACTCAGCTACTGCAAAAAGATTTCTAGTTTACATAATCAAAAGGTATTGATGCAATGACAAATAAATACAACGGTCCCAATCCATCTATAGCTAGTTGTGTATAGCTAGTGCAATCCTATGTATATTTACTCAGAAGTCTCACTGTTTTCAGTTAACTTGTCCCATTGGCTTCAATGGAATTTGGTTACAGCTAACTTTAGATGAACCAGGACGGGACCTCATTCCAGCCTATTCATCAGTTGTATAGCCAAAGGGGGGGGGGGAACCCAGCTAAAAGTAAGTTTATACTTCAGTATTAAATGGCTTAATTTAACACAGCTTAATTACAGGAAGGATTTCTACCACCTACAGTTGTTGCATTTACTTTCTACATGGCAGCATCAGCTGTGCACTCTCAATTAATGCCACCTTCCCTTGCAAGAAACAGCGGAACAAAGTGCCTTTAATAAGATTTAGTAGCCAAATGATTCCTGACATTAGTCAATATGCCTTGTCCCTCCCCTGTGGCTGTTATGGCACTTTCAGATGCCTGCTTCCCTGCACCCCCCACCCCGAGATCATAGTGCTTTTGAGAGTGCCTGTCACACTGATATGCTAAACATCTACAAGCCAGATGTAAAATTTATTCCCATTTCAAACATACTAGCAGGATCAGCAGAGGAGAAAAACAACCATCACATAACACACACACACACACACACACACACACACACAGCCCTGCAACACCTTTATAAGATACTTCCTGCTTTTCTGTAAGGTTTATTTATTTAACAACGTACTTTGTTTTAATCAAAACAAGGTATCCAAGGTGGATAACAAATCAATAAAAGTTAAAAGGAATTTTTAAAAATCAGTATATTAACATCTTCATATATATAGGGGAAGTGGTTAAAACTTTCAAAACTTTCAAATGAAACAGTAAAATAGCCTGCCAAGGACATTGGTATAACCAAGTTTCTATAGGTCTCCTGAGAGACAAAGCCTAGCAGACTTCAGTTGGCAGAGCATTCTGTAGGGTAGGTGCCACTACAGAAAATACTCTTTCCCTGGCAGCTGCCCACTGGGCTTCACAGGGTTGAAGGTCTGAAGTACAGTAGAGCCTCTGCTGATGAACAGAGCATGCAGGGAAGAATGCAAGAAGAAGCCAGTCCTTAAAATACTCAGATCTCATGCCATTTTGGGCTTTAAAGGTAAACACCAGCACCTTCAATTCAGCATGGAAACAAACTGTATCTTACTTTTCTCCACTGTGAAACAAGAATAATGTCAAAAAGACTTTCAGTTAAAAACACCACTGTGTTTTTGTTAGACTCTACTACTATTCCTATCATACAACTGAGCATGGAGAACAAGGTTTCCTGGAAAAACCTAGTCTATATACCTACTGCCCCTGAGACCAGCTGGAGATAACACATATATTGGAATATTTCAGGGCACAGGGGAATCTTGGATGTTAACTAGCTGCTGAGGTCACACCAGTTAATGTTCAATTCAAACAGCTGTGCATTTTATCTACTGAATTTTTTATTAAACTCTCTCTCTCCCCCCTCTCTCTCACACACTTGCTCTCTAGCTCAACAGCAAGACCTAACTAAAGCATTTAGCATAAATAAATCAGCAGCCCTTACTGATTTTAAGACAGAATAATCCTGAGAGTGACTGTAACTCAAAGCAACCAAAGATTTATTATTTCCATATCTAGCAGTAGTACTGTCCATACACAATGCTATATGAACTATGCAAAGCTGGGGTTGGGGGAGTGAATAGCTAGCACAGAAATATTATTTTTGTAGCTATTCTGTTCATTTGTACAACATCCATAATTTGTACAGGGCTTGGTTTGTTAAGGAGATCACTGAACAGATCAGGCCAAGTTTGCTTTTTTTTAAAGTGAAGTGAGAAACTGAATCTTTCCTGCCTCCAGATCATATCTAGCCTTTTAGACATCCTTGATGAATGTAGCTGTTCTTCAAGATGAGCATGTCTTAAAATAGATAACCAATGAGCAAATCCCTATGCCCAATGAAATTAAATACCCTCTTCTCTACATACACACCGGGTTCACAGCTTGCCAGAGTTATTTGTGTGTGCATGAATCCCTTTGCCCACCCACAGAAAGAGGCCAAATGGTTTAAGTTGCACCACTCTCTCTATGGCATTGATTTGCAAACTTTGAAGTGGTCCCCCATAGGGTGTGTGTGCAATACACCTGTGTGCGTGGCATGCATGCGTGCATATTGAAGTTTGAGGGGAGGATAGAAACCTGCACCAAAGCAGGGACAGGAACACATTCCCCCCCAGCTACAATGATCTAGCATTACAGACATCAAAATGCCAAGCATGAGTGCCTCAGAGAACTTTTCATTCCAGCCTCCTTCCCCAGCTTTAGGAGGGAGTCTGAGGGCCAACGTTTAAACAAACATCCTTCGCCTGGAAGTTTTTACTTTGCAGAAAAAGCAATGATGGCCCTCAGATCCAGAACATGCACCTGATCAGGGTCAGAGTCCAAGACCAGTTTTCTGCTGAAAATGGCCACCTGCCTACCTACCTGCCTGCCTGCCTGCTATTTGGCCCCAAGTGTACTCATTTCAGAGAAGTGGTTTGCAGCAGAAAATTGGTGTTGGGCCATGATCCAAATCAAGAGCACATTGTGGCCCCTCCCAGTTTTATGATTCTATGGGGCATCTGCAGCTGTTTTCCTCCCCACTATAGAAGTGACAAGATTAAGTAAGCTTGCTCATTTAAACATAAAGCCAATGTCACAAGCAGTTCCAGTACAGCATTGGCTTAGGGCCCTTGCCCATAGATCTCTGGGCACACAGCAATGCTGTGAGTATGTAGGAGGGCCCTGTGTGTTGGCTAGGACTGGGGTAGGAAAGTCAGCTAAATTTTGATGGAGCTTGAGTTTGAAAAGTTTGAAAGTAACTGCTCTGTGTTAAAACACAGAATGCCCTCAATAGCTAACATTTCAGTTGAATGTCTGGCAAGTTTAAGATCAATGCTTGAACTACTTCAATTCCTACACCAAGCAATCCAGCCCCTCCCAACAAGGAAACACCTTTTTCCAAGGGAACAGGTAGGGTTGCTGCTGTCTAGAAAGTATTTGCACACTTGCCTATCCAGTGTGCTTGCCAGTGTTTGGGAAGCAAGTGTTTACTATGTCTACTCTGAAGCCTCAATTTCGTTTTTAGGCAGCTTACTCACAGCTCACAGTCTGTCTCCTGGCAGCTTTTCTCCCTTCCTTCCAGGGATGCCGTGTTAGGAATGCAGCCTTAGATGATTCAAGCGGTGGTGCCATTTCTCCTGCTATTGAGGCCACCTCCCAGCCCACTAGTCCACCTTGTGCTCCTCCACTGAAACCTGCCAAGCAAAGCCCCTGACCTGTCAAAACTTCACGGAGCTCCGCCCACTAGCCCATCCTGCCTCTGCCCATTGGCCTGGTTTTTTTTAAACCCCAAGTTGGCAGCCCAAGGCGCGCGCGCGGGGGGGGGGGTGGAGTGCCGCGGGTTTCATCCCCAGCCCTGGCAGCTTTGTTTTGAGAGGCTCCTCCTGGGGCTGGCAGCGACTTCCCTCCTCGGCAAACAGGGCTTCTTTGTACCTCGGCTGCCTCTTGCCAATCTCCTGGCGCTTCGTGGCGAGAGCCTCCCTCTCCGCTTCCTCTCCTTCCCACGCAGACCAAAAACAACTCCTCTCTCCCCTTCCTCCCGAGCTTCACTTCAGCCGCGCAATGACGCCCCTGCCCACCGCGGAAAGCGCGCGCCTCGGCTGCTTTCGCCGGCTCTGTGGAAAGCCCCTCAGAGCGCCGCTCGTCGCTCCTGCCAGCGTGGCAGCCCCGAGTTTCCCCCCTCGCCCTGGCAGCCTGGGCAAGAGCGAGTCCCGTTCCCTCGCACCAGGCAGACGTCGAACCCAACCTGGAGCCAGCCGGCCAGCTACCTACCAGCGGGCTGCTCTGCGGGCAACTAAGTCTGAGGCGCGCGCTGAGGTGAGGGGAGAGAAGCGCCGCCGCCGTCGCCGCCGCCACCTTCTTCTCCTCACGCGGCACGTCACTCACCTGCTACTGCCGGGCTGGGCCGCCGCTGCCGCCAAACGCGCCGCTCTCCTCCTTTGACAGCTGCCTTTTGTTTTCCCCACCCTCCTCGGTCTCCGCTTCGGCTGCCGCTCCACCCCGAGAGCCACGTGAATCAAGCCGGGCGGGCGAGGCGGGCTACTCCGGGGAGGGGCGGTCCTGGCGCGCCGCGAGGGAGCGGCGGGCGAAAAAGGGAAGAGGGACTGGAGCCAACGGCGAGAGCCCAGCCCAGAGGCGGAGTGTGTCACGCGCCTGTGTGGGGCTGCCGGCGGAGGCGGGAGAGTTCTCTCTGTCACGCCGGCGACCAACGCCGCGCGCCTTCCTTATCTTCCTGCTTGCTCAGTCATCGCCTCGGTGAGCTCAGGTCACCTCCAGTAACAGCAGCATCCACAGCCCTGCTGCAGCGGCAGCAGCAGCACAAAGGAGCACTTCCTGTGTCGCTCTGCTCCTTAGGAGATGCTCTGCCTTTCAGCAGCTGCGAAATGGGAACTTTCAAGTCTGCACGTGCAGATGGAGGTCCCTTGCCTATGCAGAGGATGCCCTGTCTCTCTAGACAAGGACCTGATAATCTGGTGTCACAGAAAGGGGGGACCTGTGGCCGGCTGCAGGTGTTATTAGACTCCAGCTCCCTTGGCCGAGGCCGTTGCTGGTTGCCAAACTTAATGTACTGCTATCAGAAGATTGCACACATAACCAGCCCTGCCATCTGTTAAACTGGACAAGGAGTAAACATGGACCAGGGGAGGGGCAAGGTGGTAGCGAGGTCAGTGCAGGTACAGTGGTGGAGCCAGTCCAGCGCTTTTCCCACATGCCCACGCTGTGCCACTCTTCCTGCCACCCTCTCAGTTACTGGCAGCAATGTCAACATTGGGGAGCTGGGGGAGCCATGTTGCCCCACTCTGCTCCTCCGGCTGCTACTGTGACTAGTTGATTAAAGGACAATGAATTAACACATGCGTTTCTTGCCTAATTTTCTGGGAGTGTCTTTTTGCAAATCCTGATGGAAAAGAGGAAATTTGCCATCAGTGTAAGACTTACACTGTACCATCACTGTGTCCACTTCAGCATGTGGCAGCTGTAGGTAGCGCTGAGCTATTTCAGCCTGTGGAAAAGCTGGTCATACTGCACATATGCCTCCATCCACAGGATTCAGTTTCTGCTGCTGCTTTTTTTTGGGGGGGGGGTGGTTGCACTAGCACGACAAAAGCCAACCACAGTGTGCACTACCAAAAGATCACAAACGTAACAGGTTTACCAGCTGCTAAAGTGATTGGGAGCAAACACGGGCAAGACTCTTACCATGGCCATGAGTACCAAAAGACAAAGTCACAGGAACCTGTGAGACAATAATGGCTATAGCTTGGAGAATACATGTTTGTATTTTGTATTCAATCCGTATATACCCATGTGCGTACATATGTAATAATATTGAAAAAAGCATTTCATTTCATTGTCTCTTGATTTCCTGTCACTCTGTCAATGGATACTTAATATTTGCCAACTCCCTCATCTGTTTTTTGCATCCTGTGTGATGGCCATCATGTCTTATCCTGATTGTGGGACTAGTTTCTTTCATAAAATGTAGGTACTGATTGATGGTAAAAAAACCCCCTTAAATAATACTTCATTACAATTTAACAAACTAAAGCTGCAGTCCTTGATAGGAGAGGATATATTGAAATGCCAGCTATTATTTCCTGGTTTCATGTTATTATTTATAATTCTTATTTGTAATCTTGTAACCTACTTCCCCCTTATTATCTGCCAATTAGACATGCTTCTGATTTAATCTCATTTCTGTTTGTTCATGTTTTACCATCTCTTTATCATGCTTCAGAACCTGCCAATATTGCAATTATTTTATAAGTTATATTAAAATGCAGTTTGGGACTTCTCTTGTTTGGTCAGGTGAATGGAAATCCAGTGCTGACAGAGGATGGAAGTGCAAAGTTGTGTCTTTACTAATGAATATCTGGGGTGGCATTTAGCAGGCAACAGACTGCTGGCTTTGTTCAGGATAATTGGGTCTGGTAAGGTTAAAGATCCCATCACCACTGCAAAGGCCAGTCTGACTGAGCTGTCTCCACTTGCCTGGAGCTCCAGGGCATCTGATCTCTAGGCTGGCCGGCAAGGTCAAAGCAACTTGGTCAGAAAAACAACAAAAGCCAGCCTGACTGAACTGCTGCTGCTGCTATTCAGCCTATGAGGAGCATCTGATAATATAGACTGCAATGCAGTGCTTTTTTAAAGAAAAAAGGGTGCTGGTATTCACCATGAAGTTGTTACAGTAAGTGCCACACTTTTAACGTTTGAAAAAAAAGGTGTTGGCACTCTGTACCCTTGAGTACTCCCAGAAAAAAGTACCGGTACTACTGCAATGGTTTGTGTGTGAGAGATGTGCATTTATAGGTACACTTTACTAAATTCATTTTTGTAGACATTCCTTGGATAGAAAACTGCATTGCAAAATTCAGGGATATGTGTATTTTGAAGGATAACTGTGTTGTGGTTTATCAACTGTTTTAGAAAGTGTAGGTTTAGTAGGTTTGTCTTTAAATGTGAACTGACTCAGATTACTCCTCCATCCCTGGTTATGGTATAAGGCTCAACTGGGGATAGGAGCAGGGTTACAGAAAATTCTGTGTCCTGACAGCAAGATTCCCATTTGGTTTCCTCCCCTAATGAAATGAAATAGGACAAATAAACAGGAATAATAAATATAGAATAAACAGGAAAAGTGGATACAGTACTATGTTTTATTTGACTTTTTAAAAAATGCATGTAGCTCTTTTTAAAAAGGAGTTTTACTCTTCATGAGCTTGAAAAATATGCAGATATTAACAGCACATATCTTATGGCACACCATGTATATAATAATGCCACTATGCTAATGGATTGCTAAATATTCCCTCATATTTTATATAAGTGAATACCCAGGTTCAGAAATGAGCTACTTCATCTAGCATGGGTATGATTTAATGTCAAGCACCAGGCAAGTTTTCCAAAATAGCAAAAGGCAGATGACACATGCCTGAACAAAGATAAAAAACCTTTCAGTCCTCTAAGCTGTTAGTTCCCATAATAATAAGCATGAATATTAATATAATGTCAGCAGCATAAGAAGTACGGTAGCTAACACTTGCAGCATTGTTCATGCTTTCTCATGCATGTAGTATAATGTTCCAAGTTTTTTGTTTTTTGTTTAAAAAAAGCTGGTCTCTGTGGTTAGAGCTGTTTTTCTGCTAAGTTGGTTAAAGCCTCAATCTCCATCGTTAATGTTGCTAGCACCATGTTTACAAGTGCAAGGATAGTAAGCTGAAAAGCTGGATGGAAGCATGGCAGTGAAATACATCGTTTGGTGGTTTCATCTCAATTCCTTTAATAATTGCCTGGAGGAATATGGATTTAATGCTTGTCAATCAAATACACAAGCTCCTTGGATCTAGGGTGACAACTGCAACATTTTCCTTCACTCATTCTTTGTTCTTTGCATATTCTATCAACATTGAGAAAGATAACTAGTTGGCTGCTCCAAATATTTGAAAATAGCTATTAGGTAGATGGTTCCAACGCAGCACCTGAAAAAGGGACTATTTTGCTTTCCACTGAACTCAGAAGTCCCTTTCAAAAAATGGGATTGCTCACATATTAAGTTCTTTGCTGCCATTCAGCAGATTGTTCTGAGACTGCAGTGCAGCTGGGTAGTTTTAGACCCTGTGCTAAGTGGTCTTAAGGGGAGGGGGCTCAAGCTAATCTACCCCTGCTGTGTTTGGGCAGCTTTCTGCTCACTTTGCGGTGTGAGGCCTTGGACCTCTGCCCCAAAGTCTTGCACTCATGGCACCACTGCCTGAGAACTCCCTAAATCAGTACTGAAAGAACCAGAAGATGAGAAATTAATTGGGGGGGACATATAATTATAAGTGGAATACAAAAATACTATCCTGAAAGCCCTGCATGGTTACCAAGCTTGCAGCTTTGTTAATTATAGCTTTTTTCTGCTTCCGTTAGCTTAAAAACTTTTATGTCCTGTTGAAAAGCTTGAGAGTAATTTTTCAGGGGCCACATGCCAACAGTGTTGGGGGCCAGAGCTACTCCTCTTTCTCTCAGTTTCTGCCATCCCCTTTTATCTCTCCCTCCCACCCTTATCCAACAGACTACAGAGGGAAGAACAGATCACTCTTGTCAGAGCTCTCCTCACACTTCCATCTCCATCTGCTTTTGTTCTTCCCCTCTTCCATGCTCCTTCTCTCTCTCCCTCCCCCCCTTTCTGTGTTCCCACATGCCCTGAGTTTAGGATGGCTTTTACAGGGTACCAGGGACCAAGCCCTTACTGTGGTAGGCTTGCCAATAGAGGTTTGGCAGGAGCCATACTTGCTAGTTTTTAGGTATTTCCTAAAAACGGTATCATTCAGACAAGCCTTTCAAACTTGAGATACTCTGGCAGCAAGCTCTTACTGATTTGTTTGGTTTTTTTTATAACTGTAATACTGTGTTTCTAGTCTGTATACTGCCTTGTGATGTTTTATGTGACTACTAAAAACCCCCAGATAAATCTATAAATGAAGTGGCTGAGAACCTACTGCAGGGCTGCAGGATTCCCAAGTGCACTCTGCATAAAGAAACTTGGCCCTGCAGAGGTTGTTGAATCCCAACTCCAATCAGCCCCAGTCAGCATATTCGACAATCAGGGATGATGGAACTTGTAGTCCAACAACATATGGAGGGCTGCAGGTCTCTCAAACCTATGTTAAGAGAATGAGTTATTAGCTGCAAAGTCTCCAGTGCATTTTTCACTTTAGCCATAAATATGACTCCACCTGTGACACAGGTATAAATAATACAGGTATTATACAAATAGTATTATTACAGGTATTATAATGCTCCCTATCTTACTTTGGGGGTTGGTTGTGTGGGCATGTGTGTTTCTGCAATTATTAATGAGAGAGTGTACCTGAAGTACTCTTAACTCCTTGGAAAATCACTCTGTAAATACCGTTATGCTTAATGGGAAGGTTTTTGAAGAGGAAAATACAATATTAATGCAAATTGCAACACATTTCTCTATCTTTAGTGATAATTTCCCCCATGTCCCCAGTACAGTGGTACCTCGGGTTACATACGCTTCAGGTTACAGACTCTGCTAACCCAGAAATAGTACCTCGGGTTAAGAACTTTGCTTCAGGAT